ACTATCAATAGAGACTGTTTCGGCCCACTGTTTAGAAATAATACGTCAACATACAATCTCAGGTTAATCCACTTAGCACAAAGATGGTGTGTTGCTGGGAGTTGATTTGTTAAGTCTGATTTCAATGTAGTTGTCTTTGTTAAATGAGTTTCAGATAGAGATCATTCGCTTTCAGAGATGACCAGTCGGTCTCATGGACTGCGATAAGGACAGCACAAATAGTGCTAGCGAAATAAGTTATTCAACATAGAGAGTCATCATTTTTTGTCGACTTTCAGGTCGATGCTCGCACGTGAAATCCAACTCTTGCAACCTCTCTTACCAGCGCGCCACTTGACTTTCTGGCTTGCGAAACGAACGAAGTCATTAGAGTGCACGATGGTCCGCGAGAAGGACATTCTATTAGGCAGTGACAAAAATGTTGCAAACATTATTCTTCATTATAATTCGTGTTGTAGAATATCCTATTTCCCTCTTATATGGCTGCTGGCCAATGCACACTACGACCCGCTCCTGTCAATCTCGTGTTATCTAAAATAGCACTGCCTGGATAGCTACTTCAATATCAAAGTCAATCATTTTGCACAGACAATCGAGTCGCTCCAATTTTACTAGCCACCTTTTGATTATTTGCTAGTGACTGATTAGCTGAATAGTTTGTATTTGTGTGTAAATGGGTGTGGACCTGTTTATCCACTTATAGAAATTAATTTATGCGAGCAAAACAGGGAAATTAGCTCAATAGCCTACTGAACAAATTTGTGTCTTGATTTATGTAGCTTGGTTGTATGATGAGTAAAAAAGAACAATGCACAAATATGATGTACAAATGGAAACGTGCAACATGGTTACAAGAGCTGACAAGTACATGTATCAAAAATGCTGGCATATAGCAGACCATTAACATCACTTCTGATCAGCTTAGAAGGAGGGTAGAAAGTAATTAATAATTCACATACCGCCCTTCTATATCAGGAAACGCTTGTATGCGGCACTACACACTACAAGCAAGATAATTCAACAGCTCACTAAGTAAACTGACCGGTGGAGCAAACGATAGTAACTATCAAGTCAAAGTCAATTCTTATCACATATTGCATGAATGATTATAACATTCACTAAACGATATAAACCTCACACGATTCGCGCTGAGTTAAAACGCTTTAATATTTACACAAAGTCTGCTGTGCATATTTGGCTGAATAGGTAAAGTCGTGGCATATTTTATATTACGCTTCTCGATTACACTATGTTATCTGAAATTGTCTAGGAATTTTCAGCTTGGGAGAATCAGTAAGAAAAGATTAAGAAAACAGACGAGCCAGTAACTCATGAAAGCAACAGTAGGATGTCAAATTAGATAGAATCTCTTACGTAAGCTGTTTCTCACAGAAAATCATTTAGTTATTTAACCCATCGTTTGCTGGTTGCCTTATGTTTTTGTTGCTTAGATAACGCGTGGATGAGAGCAGTCAATGTCATCTACGATTCCTAGATGAGTTTATTGGTATTGGTTTGAAATCTGCTGATATAAATGCGATAATACCCCTGTTTTACAAAACACAGACGGTAACAGATGATCACAAACATTTAACGGATGTTATTGTTTGGTTTTCCTTCCAGCTTCGAAATTTCCACATATTGAATGGATTTGTTTGAGTCCGCTAAAACCAATGTTTGAATATTTACATCAGATAGTGTACCAATTGAATATCTTTTCCGTTGGGTTATGTTTCCGGTGTTTTTGTTTTCATTCTCATACTAGTGTTCCTAGTGATAAATTATTTTTTAAAGTAAGTTTTTATTCCTTCAAAATTACATATTTTCCGTTTTGTTGTTCATTTTTTTATATGCTTCTTAAACTTGATATTAGGCAAATTTAAAGATCATTACGGCACCCAACAATTCAATACTAAAATCAATTATCAGAAATATCATTAACAGTGGACAAATTTATAATTTGAGCGTTTTCGAACGTTTCAAATCAAATATCGGTGGTTCATTTTTGTCTTCTAAAAGCTTCCAAGTTATATATTGAAAATTTATATCTGTATTATTCAAAACACAATATCTGCCTGCTGCAATTTCGTGTTTGGCAACACCCTATTTCGAAACTTCATGGGGTTTCATCACAGCATTACAGTCGCATTTCCATTTGCAGACAAGATAGTAAACTCGACACTAACAGTATAAAAACCGCAATCATAAAATGACATGGTGAATGTACGAAATTATTTACAAGTGCAGAATGAAATAATCATGGCTATATATAAGGAGCTAGTTGTTTCACTAGTCATCACTAATAACCAAATGTAGAATAAGGATTTCTTCAAGGTACTCAGTGAAATAGCTAATGTGATGCATAAGGCTGAGCATGTGTGGAGCATTTAGCATTAATTAATGAGTATGATTTCCGTGAGCGTAGTTTACCTCATAAGAAGTGTTTAATCAGTCTTTACTCGTTTTTGGGTCAATTTTCTTATCTCTGCTGATTTCTCACTAGTACTTTTGTGAGAAGTATGAGTTATCAGCGACTCAGAAGTCGTTAATTTGACCGTGAGAATGTAGCTGACGACCGTAATTGAGGCACCATATTACCTTCATTCACAGTTTCTTAAGTAATGGAAACAATTACTACTACCTTAGGTGAAAATTTTATCAACTGTGTAAGCTGTCGTTCCGGATTAAGTGCATTAACCTCGACCATAAGCTTATCTCCTAAACGATGTTTCGAAGCTTACTTTGTTAGTATACTCACGAAATCTCTCACCGTACGACCATTCAGAAAAGCCGTTCTACAGTATTCTTATCAGCGATTGAAGTTACCTGTTTTCACATGACTTGGTGATAGTTGCTTGAGTTTATCATAATGTATTGAAATGAATTTGGCAGGAAAACCCAGTTTTCCGGCAAGCTGTAGACAACTGTTTCCAATAAATATAAAGTAATAGTCTACAATGTTGTCATCCTTACTGTTTTTCGTATACACTGAATCTCATCCCAATCCATATTTTCCTGCAAAACCCCACCATTTCAATTAACATCCATCTGCACAATACTAGGCTGCAGGCCAACGCCAAACACAATGACCAAGCGTTTTGTATTTAATTAGTATTGTGTAAATTGCAGATCTATATAAGCATCTTCTAGTATCAATAAGTAGTGAATAAAGATTAAAAGAACCTAAACACATGGACTTAATAGACGGGAATAGATAATTAACGTTCATAATACTATACGAAGCATTAGTCATCCAATACAGTCAGCTAAGAAATGTACCTTATTTTACTTTACGATCAAAGCACCCGTAAGTTCTGTTTCCCCCTTAGGCTTTAGTAAATAGCAACTGACAACATGATGACTACTGATAGTTATCCTGATGATTTGTGGTTTCATTTATATCTTATTTCGCTTAGAAAAAATAGAAATACTGTTTTAACATCTTGTGTTTTAATGTCTTGCCATCTTATGCATGAATTTAATTCATATACCACCAAGTAATCAGCTTTGGATCTTTCAATTGGTTAGTTATGATTAAGTGTAATCAATAAAATATAAAAACGTATAAATCATTACTCACAGACAAAACATCAATATAAATTAAATCTGATTCTTTGATAGGACGGTATTAATATTTGGATATAAGTATTTTTATTGATTGATCAGACCTGAGAGGTTTTCAGTCATGTCCATTCCTGTATCAGAAACTTTCACAACATGTCTGAATTTGATATAAGTCATAGGCTTTATGAAATTGCATAGTACTACTATTATTGTTTCGAGCTTTCAGTTAAGACCTTTGAGGAATCTAGTGAAAAATTTATTTGTTATCAGTAGTAAACTATTGTTAATGAGTTAACTTATCTAACTTGACCATACGGAGTTATTAAATTGAGTAAGTTGGCCAATCCACCCATCTAATCAGATTCTAGAACCCTATTATGAAAACGGATGGATCTTTTATATCCATTACTTGCTTGTTTACTTGCCCATGCCTGTTACCTCTCGTGAAGGAGCATAGGCCCCCCGCCATCACTCTCCATCCAACCTTGTCATGGGCAATTCTTCCCCGTTGTTTCCTGTAGCTATTCATCCTTTTCATTATCGCTTCTATTTCCCAACGTAGTGTTTTCTTTGGCCTTACTCTTTTCTGTTTCCCTTCAGGATTCTAAGTTAGGGTTTGCCTCGTGATGCAGTTTGATGATTTCTGCAATGTTTATCCTATCCATTTCCAACGTCTTTTCCTAATTTCCTCTTCAGATGGAAGCTGGTTTGTCCTGCCACATATTAGACTAATGCTGATGATATCCGGTCAACAAACATTGGCATTATTGTGCAGACAATTGTTTTTGAACAGTTGTTGAGGTCTACTGATGCAGAAGCTGCTGCTATACCGGTTGTCTTCATCTGCATTTGTTTGTTTGTATGGGATAGAAGGGTTAAGTCATCTGTGAAATCCAAATCGTCTAGTTGATTCGGAGCTGTCCTTTGTATCCCGTGCTTCCCCTGAGATGCCGAGGTCTTTATAATCCAGTCAATCACCAGAAGAAAGAGGAAGGAGGAGAGTAGACAGTCTTGTCTGACTCCGGCCTTCACTTAAAATTCATCTGTCAGCTGTCCTCCATGCACCACTTAGCATTGTAGTCCGTCATATGAGTTCTGGATAATGTTGACAATCTTCTCAGGAACTCCATAGTGCCGAATAAGTTTCCATAATGTTCTCCTGTCCACACTGTCAAACGCCTTCTCATAGTTAATGAAGTTGATTTTCAGTGACGAGTTTCACAATGATTCGTAGTGTCGCGATTCGGTCTGTGCACCACCGATCCTTATGGAATCAAGCCTGTTGATCTCGAAGTTGTGTGCCTACTGCATCTTTCATCCGCTTCAGCAACACTCTGTTGAAAATACTTCCTGACACCGACGGTAGTGTGATACCTCATCATTTCTCACATTTACTCAGATCTCCTTTCTTTTGTATCTTGATGAAATATACTTCATTACAATCTGTCAGTGTCACCTGTTCTTCCTCCAAAATCTTCTTGATTATAGTGTGAAGCATGATTGTAGTTACTTCTAAATGTGACTTTAGTATTTCTACTGGTATAATGTCAGGTCCTTCTGCTTTCCCATTACAAAAATATAATAACTTCCCAAAAATTTGGTAGAGCGAATCATTTATAACGGCATCATTATATCCAGGTAACTACAAAAATAATTGCTCTGAGTTTGAGTTATTTTAAAGAGTACTGTTAGCCGTGAGCAGCATTGAAACATATAATTCCAAAATATGAGATATTGTACTTTCACACAACTAGATTTGAGCTAAGCATTTTTCGTGAAGGTTAATGAATCTAATAGGTTGTCAAAACCAAAGTACGTAGGCCTAGGCTTTAACTCAGTGGATTAATGTTGTGTCCTGCATTCACTAAGCTACTTTAGAAAAGTGAACTTCTAGGGAAGTAAATTAAATGTACGAAATCCATTAAGGAAAGCTAACGATCTCAATTGATTTATTACTCTGAATTATGGTTCATAATTAATTTAAAACTAAAAATAAAAGCCGAGTTAAGATCAATCTTATGGCCTGTTTTGATTATATGTTTGGTAATAGAGGATGATGGATGTTTATCCTCTACTCTTATTGGGTCATTCGACTATTTTTCTTTGCAACCATTTTGGTACATGTTCACCCACCCTAATTTTCAGATCACATCCCACTGCGTTTACCAATTTAAATGTGTGTGTGGTCACACATACATATGGAGGAGCAATCGTGATCGAAAAATAAAAATTACAAAATGTAAAGCCTATTGAATGAAATTTAAATATCCACACATTTTATAAGAATTTGAATTTGCTACTGAATATTTTGCAAGTAGTTAAACTGTTTATTATAAAATAAACCAATGATATCTGTTTTTTTCTTTCTAGCTGAAATCAAATGTGTCATTATTTGATATTATTCATTGCAATCATTATTTCTTTCGTAAACACACAGAAGCAAGAAGGTTACAAACTTGATCCATTAACGTAAGTTATTTAATAACTATTATTAATTATTATTAGATCGTATGTAATTCTAGCACCGAATCGTATCAGAGCGAATGAACTTGTACAAATCAGTGTATCCATATTTGAATTACTCTATGAACAGCTAACAATACGATTGGCTATTAAAGTTAATTCAACTGAAATTATATCTAGTCGAGAAGTGTTTAAATCTACTGGAACGAGAATTATGCAATTAAAAGTAAGCTCATTTTATTTTATTTTTATTTAAACACATTATTATTGGTACAAAGAAGCACCGGATACATATGCGCCTCACAAATCTCATTCGATTTGTGTGGGGGCTGTGATATTGTCCAGGTGCCCAAACTGAAGCAGGTGGTTTTCTTAAGGGGCCACATCCGGGGCCTTTACCGAAAGGTCTGATCCACAAGGCAGTGGAGCATCGTAAGGAGATGCAGTCCCATGATAGCCGGTGACCAAAGATTGGTTCATATACGATTTGTTCCCTTAGAATACTGGAATCCATGTGCACGATTGGTTTGGAATGAGGGTTTTCCAACTCTCCTAGGTAAACTCTCTGTGTTCACCAACCCGTTTAAAGCGCCGGACATTCACTTTTCGTCCTCTCAATTTCGTAAGCAACACCGGTGTCACGAGAAGGCAGTGAGTAGGACTTCCCTGTCAGAGGCTGTATACGCGTGGTCATGTGAGAGCAATTCCAGAGAGATAGTTGATTCTCCCCACTCTCGGGCGTACCAGAGCATTTTAAATATTTGCACTACACTCACATTAGCCTTGAATCAATAGCTGAATAAGTGTTATAAATATATCCTAATACCCTATAGTTACAAGATCTCATTGACCAAGAGTTGTGGTCGAACTTCGGTTTCAAGTATTATGACACAATGATACTCCTTTATTTAACATCAGTTATTTGCATTCGCCTTATATAAAGTTATGATTTCCTACCTCATATTCTAGTTAATTTTCAGAGCACATGTTTCCAGCGGTAGATATTAGAAATATACCTTGGTTTTACCGAAAATACCTTTAAAAATCTGATTTTTGAAGTCAAAATGTTTTCCCAAAAGCGCAATTAAGTGAAATGTGAATTAATTCAACCTGAACTTTTATTAATTTGACTGTCAATAATTCTTTTTTTTCATAGTTGAAATCATGAGTCAATTGAAGCTAGACCACCATGGAAAAACTGGAAGCACTAGATGGCCGTTTCGTCCCATTATGGGACTCCTCAGTGCGCATCCACGATCCCGCCTCGCCAGAATCGACTGAATTCAAGACACATGTCCTGGAATTCTAGTGGGAAGCAGTGACCAGTGTAGTTCAACCACGTCTGTTGTGAGATAATAACTCACTGAAGAGAATTAGTGAACGGTTGCTCAAACATCGTGGATTGGTTGAAGTTAGACATTAACACCGTTGGATGCTGGCTCAGTGGTCTATCGGTTAAGTGCTCTGGTGCGAGACTGTTAGGTCCTGAGTCCGAATCTCAGCCAATCCACGATGTTTGAGCAACCGTTCACTAATTCTCTTCAGTGAGTTGATATCTCCACAACAGACTTGGTTGAACTCCACTGATCACTGCTTCCCACTAGAACTCAAGGAAACATCCCCTGCAGTCAGTCACTAGTGAGCATATGATTATAGATCTGATCAATAATACTTTTGCCCAATTGTATGATCATTACCTGTACAAAATTAATTTTTTCTTTTAAACTTTTTTCTCAGGTACCTAATTATGCTCGAACTGGTACATACTGGTTACATGTTGAAGGTTCTATTGTATCCAATGCTTCAATTTTATTTTCAAATCTTACAAAACTAACATTTTCTGAACAATCTGAATCAATCTTTATACATGTAAGTGATTAGAAAAGATTAAAAAGTGTTTTCTTTTTCTTCAGTTGAAGTATTTCAATAAATATTAACATAATTACTGTTTATTAGAGTGAAGTTCAACTTACTTTTCACAGAAAGTCCGAAATTATCTACTCTTGATTTTGTTCTGCTTTCTTGGTCATTTCAAATCTGTATTTTTAAAAACTCCTTGGTAAAGCTTATTCTGCAGCAATTCGGAAGACTCTTCCTGTCTCCCACATTGTCCGGACATTCCATGTACCTATAAAAATTGTTGCTCTGGTTGTTAGAAGGTGCATCGGCCTCATGACTTTCGAAGGAACTCGACTTTCATCATGAGACGTCATAATTATTCCTTCTACTCCCAGGGCAGAGTTTAAATGATTTTAATAATTTTTTTCTGGTTAGCGTTTTTTTAGCGAGATAGCTTTTCTACGGGATAGGGTCGCTGACCCCATGCCCAACCCAATTCCTTTACCCGGGCTTGGGAACGGCAGTAATCCCAGGAGGAACTACAGGCGGAGTTGGTTAAGCTTATTATCAACTTACATTTCTGTGATTAGATATTTCACTAATGAACTTGCACCCTGATCAACATTACAGTTTAGACAACATTACATTGATTATTAATCAATGACTAACTGACTGAATCATTGATAAATTAATTTGCGAACATTTCAATACTATAGGAGATCTCTAGTTGGTCAGATCAGCTATGAAACTATGTCTGACTAAGGTACTGAGTAACATGGATTTGAATCTTTTTGAGGGCATAAATTGTTCAATACACCTTGATGAAGGACACTTTCTTGTTGGTATTTAACTTTAATCTGGAAATTTCTTTCATTTAGATGGTTAGATAAGAAATAAAATGTTGACAGTCATTTTATACAATCTTTCCCCATAGTTTAAGCGATACAAACCAAAATCTATAAACTTTGAGAAAATATGTAACACAATATCTTCAGTTAAATATAAATTTTCTAGTCACTCATTATCATTTTAGGTGACTAAAGGTAGCCAACGGTAAACCCTAGACCTTGGTTTTATGCTATATGACACTCGTCAGCAAGGAATAGCTATGATCTTGGGAGAACTAATACTCATTTAAGGATTCTAACCCACCTCACCAAGCCTAACAGTTAAGATATTACCACTGAACCATTCGGTCCATGACTGACCTATTGAATAACCAATCGTAACTTCAAATCTATGCTTCCATTTACGTGAAGCAATTTAATACAGAATCTAATGATTAATGACTTTGGTTGTACGCACAACAGAAAGTTGCAAACGAATGCAAATTAGATTAAAATAAAGGCAAGAGTGACTGTATTATTGATTATTTTGATATTACATTACTTCTTTAAGCATTTTTCTTAAGAAAGACCATTATATATTTTCTGGCACTCTAGACCAGTTATAGTTAGTTTTTCCTTCAATAAAATCTAGTATGTAACTGATAACGACTTATTTAATGAAGACATTTATAAATAAAGCCGGTGACCATGCCACGTTGAAAGCATCGGTTCTCGTCCGATCACCGCAGTTAAGCAACGTTGGGCCCGGTCAGTACAATCAAATTTAGATAATGAAGATCATATTCAGAAATACCATTGTAGTGAACAGAACATCAGTTGGGGACAATCGAATGTATTTAAACACAAATTACGAACTATCTTACTAAGATCTGATAATCATACAGCAAATAGCTAATTTGCAAAATAACAATCAATTGTCTCAATCTTCACTGTTCCTTCTGTAAATTTCGGTCGGTCTTCTCTCATTTCATTGTTCATGCATTTTCTTACCGATTGCGCTTCATTCATCTTCGTTCCTTATCAATCTTCTGCCAAAATACATTCTATGTCTGACCATCACCATATACTACTTATGAGGATATAAGTAGACCACACCACACCATAATCTCTCAAGTTTATTGAGATTTATCAGATGTTATAAATAATCAATATTCATTGTTTCAACTGAAAGATCGAATCAGGAAAAAATTGCATAGTAACTAAGTTACTTATCACTTAGTATGGTTTGTTTGAATCTTCTTATTTATGTTTAGGACTGTAACTGGTCAGTTTCTGCTTATAAGTTACTTATCTTTTTTTAAAACGAATTATTATCGTGGATTGGTTGAAGTTAGACATTAACACCGTTAGATGCCGGATAAATGCTATGGCGAGAGACTGATAGGTCCTGGGTTCGAATCTCACGAATACGGAATCGTGGATGTGCACTGCTGAGGAGTCCCACAATAGGACGAAACGGCCACGCAGTGCTTCCAGGTTTTATATGATGGTCTAGCTTCAATTGACTCATGATTTCACCTATGAAAATTATTATTTCTTAATTTTTAATACATAAAAAATATTGTTCTACATTTTACTTATTCATTAAGGTTAGTAAACCAATATATCATCAAAGTCAAATAGTTCGATTCCGTGTTATTCCAATGCTTCCAGATTTAACTCCTGCTTATGGTTCATTAGTTAGTATTGATGTAATTGATGCATCAGGGAATTTATTTAAACGATGGTTAAATCCAATGACAAATATTGGTGGTGAGTTAGTAGTGTTTAATAATACCATTTTTTGTTTATTATTTTTAACTAAGAAAATACTTCATTTTATATAATTTAAATAGACTTGATCTTCTACCATTACCATAATTAGTTAACAACTGAATGATACTACTAATAAATATAAGTAGTCACTAAATATTCAAGTGAAAATGGATAAGATATAGAAGGCGAGACTATAATTTCTGGACGACCTTTGAAGGAATCTCAAGTGACCTTAAGAAATATTAGCTGATCAGGTAACAGTTAGTATGGGGTAAGAATATCTTATACAACACCAAAGAATTAGAGTAGGTACACTTCTTTTACATGGTCCAAAAACTTGTCAAGGTTAGAAGAATGTTCAAAGGTTCTAAAATCGTAATACATAAGGTAGAGGAACTCATCCATATGGCTACATAATCCTAGGTCTCGGAGGCCATGATAAGGTCACAAAACTCTTTCAGCCTCGACCACATAGCTTCAATATTGTTTGCATATACTCCGGTTGTGTAGGTTTGTGATTTTTATTACGCGTATATCCCTACAAAACGCATACCTCTGAACAGCCGAAGCTTCAGTAACATCTGCGAATATTTCAGTCAATAATACTGGTGTTTTTATTATACAGTTCACAGCAATAATTAAAATTTGCCCTAGTCCTAATCTGGATCGAGAGAAAAAGTTTTTATTCTAGCAGACTTCTTCCTCTAACATATATATTACATCGAAAGATAGCATCATCGAGGTAGTGTGCATAAAGTCTACAAGTCATTTGATTACCGCAATTACAAATAAAGGAACTTCTTAGTAGTCCCATTTATTGTAGCTGCTTAATTGTCACGTTTTCTCTAAAGTCCTCTGTGAACCGATTGTACATGAGCATCAGGTACTGAAATTGGCGCTGTGACCTTGAAATTCCTCAAATGCTTCAGATTGTCTTTTCCATAAATTATAGTCTCACCGTCATAATATTGAAGAAAAAAATTAATTTTTTACGGGCTGTTATTCACATGAATTGATTTCTAAAAAGTGATAGTGACGATAGATTTTCAAAACAATAAGTATTGAAGGAAGAATAATAGATCTTCTAGCAAAAGTATACTATACTGATAACCTTGAGCAACTTATCATCCAATCAAGGAGCTTTGCTTAATTATGAAACAATCAACAATAAAGTTAAATTACATATTAGGAGTTGATCTGTTGTTGTAAGTTAAGATTATATCGTAGTGAGGTTTCTGTCAACCAAATGGTATCAGGTATAATGTAATAATATTGTATATTACGATAACAAAAGTCTTATCAATAATTAAACATAAGAATTAAGAGGTCAGACATGGGTAAATAGACTGGAATAGTAATCACAAAACATTAAAATCATTACGTAATAAGAAGTATGTAAGTAAATAGATAGTGAAGAATACAAACGGAAAGAGGTAGAAAATTACACACAAAAAAGATAACCAAAATAAAAAAAATTTTACAAATAATAATTATGTCATTTATAGAGTTGAGATCATGAGTCAATTGAAGCTAGACCACCATGGAAAACCTGGAAGCACTGGACGGCCGTTTCGTCCTATTATGGGACTCCTCAGCACCGTTGGATGCCAGCTCAGTGGTCTATCGGTTAAGGGCTTCGGCTTGAAACTGGTAGGTCCTGGGTTCGAATCCCGCGAGAGTGGGTTCGTGGATGCGCACTGCTGAGGAGTCCCATAATAGGACGAAACAGCCGTCCAGTGCTTCCAGGTTTTCCATGGTGGTCTAGCTTCAATTGACTCATGATCTCAACTCTATAACTTACTAAAATCTCCACAAAACCCCTTCTGACAATTATGTCATTTATTAAGTTATGTCCGGCCATGGAAGGGATAGGGGGGTTACGAATTTCTTCTGTACACATAAATTGGGATGGAATGTACGAATTCCTATGGCTTCTGCTATATGAAGTAGATGGGAGCGAACTCCGTTGAGAAATGATGGATGTATACGATAGATTACTTGAAATGATTTCAATTTATCAACAATATGACCACTATCAATTAGATGTGCAAATATAGAACTGCGTATTGTTTTTATTTGGCCCTTTCCAAACCATGCTGGTAGATGTTCACTCATTCGTTGGTTAAGTTGCCTAGTAGTACGCCCGATATAGCTATCTCCACAGGAGCAGCTGAATTTATCAGTACACCTTTCTTCCCACTATCAACTTATACTTTTAACTATTATTATGCTTGGTAACGTATTCTATTTCATTATGATTAATATTGACTCAAATAGCCTTGATTGGTCTAACATTTTCATATAAATAATATTGTGTAACTGATATATTCCGACGAGAATTGTGAATGGTAACTGTTGGGATCCATTTATAGACTAATACTATGTATGTATTTTTATTGTGTAATTGTTAGGAATAAACTATGTATATTCATAAACCTCTTATTATAAGCTTTATTCTGATCTATGGACTATCATCATACGATTTACCGTTCTTAAGTTGTACCTAGTCTATTAATTACAGTCTCACACAATCAATAGCACTTTTGGCTGGATCTTGTACAAATGTTATTTTTTATTTTATCGTGTCATGTGGTCTATTTAGTTTGTATATAAACCCAGTATATTTGTAATATACTATTCGTATCGCGAAGGCTGAGATTGGTATTCTGGACTCAATATACAGGGCTGAGCAGGAAGAAGGACTGATTAGGAATCTAGACTGCTCGTACGGGTTTGTACGTCATTGGTCCGGTCAATAACTCACTGTTCTTTAATTGGCGGTATCATTACGTTATATATTAATAGGGTACTAGGCCACAAGTTATAATAGTATCCCTTTTGTTCATAAAGTTATAAGAAAATCAGGGCTGGTATTTAAAGTTGGGAGTTAAAGTGAGAGATTACTATCCGGCTACACAATCGCACTTGACTATACACTGAATCACAGCAATTACTTAAACTGAATCTGGATCAGGCGTAAATATTTCTTGCAATTTTGCTCAAACATCATGTCATGTTTACTATTTGATTGCATTGTAGATATTTCTCATCGATTTCAAGTATTTCAGACACCAAACATTCCCAGATTTCACCCTGTTACTATTAACTTGCAAGCTACCGTACAGTGTGTTTTCAATTTCGCACAAAAATCCATAGGCGCCGTCATAATTGTGGTTGCTTCACTTAAGGTCAATAGTATGGTATAACTTCACCCTTCTTTCTTCGTATTTTAAAAGTGAATTTGGAGTGAACGAACACCTAGGTGAGGACAACCAATCGATTAATCAACGCAAAATTACGGAGTTCTTTATTAATATATAAAAACAATACATTAAATAATTAATTTTCAAATCTTTCAACGGTTGTCTCAAACTTCATCGTCCCTTAATTTCTATTACAATTACTCTCTGCTCACAATTCCCTTCTCTTCAATTCGATTTTCTCAACCTTCTTCTTCCAAGCATTTCACTTCTGATTAGTGTTACATACTACTTATGTCTGTCGACATAAAAAGCATACGCCACACTCATCCCCCTCCTTTAAAAAACCTCTCTTCTGGCTGTTCGGCTAGCCGTGCCACCTTGTTCTTTGCCACAACCTAGGTCACACTCATCAAAATACCGGGTCCGTCAACGCATTGACCACCATAGTATTGTCAACCCACTGAGTCATTTATATCCAAAGTCCTTGAAGAAGCCTCACGTCCCACTGCTTCTCTCCGTCAACAGCAACCGTCATCTTCCTACACCAGACCGTCTGTCGATATAATTAGCATACACCACAATTGTACATAATTATCACTAAGAATCCCATTTTGAATGATGACTTAGATTAGCAGCAAAAGGTTTAAAGTTAATGATTTCTTATGTTATTTTTAGATACCCTGCCACTCTTATCTATGTTACATCACTGGTACCAAAATCATAACTGTACATGAGTTATGAAATGTAGCTTAAAACACAAGTTATAGATTTTGTAGGCCATTTGTCTGTTAATGAATTAAAATTTCTAATTATTAGATATCATTCTTACCATCTGTATCAAGCAATTAAAAGTGTCGCTATATCAACCACACTTTATGGCCACTTCAACATTGATCATTATAAGTGATGAGATATGAATTGAAATAGATAGTGAAATATAACCAACAGCTCTTTATGTAACCACTCAACCGAGAACTAGAAATAATGTAAGCTTCTTTTCCAAATTTAATTCTTTTATTCACCATATCATTAACTTGTATATGATACAGTTAAATTGCTTACAACAATCTATGACGATAATTACACTTCCCCTGTGATGTATGCTACTTATGTCTGTCGACACAAGTAGTATTTAAAACCAGTCAGAAGCGGCATGCCTGACAACAGAAGGTTGATAAGACCGAATTGAAGAGAACAGAAATGTAAACAAAGAGTAATTGTTATGACAACAGAGATGGAGGAACGATGAATTTTGTAAGAGACACTTGATGGAAAACATGCAAATTATGTATTTAATGCATAGTTTTCACATTCCATCAAGACTTACCGCAATTTTGTATTAGATAATAAAGTGGTCTTCTTCATCTGAATGTTCGTTCACTTCATTTGGTGTAGCTGAAAAAGGAGAGGCGGAGAGGATGAAGTTCTGTGGACTCCATTGCGGGACTGGGAGGGGAGGTACTAGTTCGGGAGGTCTGGTACAGGAAGGTGGTTTCGAGTGAAGTGTTCTGGTGGGGCGGCGTTGGCTATAGCAGTCGACGGAGGAAGAGAGTGGGACGTTCCAGGTGCTGAGCAAACATTGGATTTAGATGATCCGGCAAGTTGGTATCGCTTCGGAGGTCAGCGCTCCGGTGGATTCAATATTTTGACGGAGAGCGTGGCACAGAGTGCAGCATAGAAGACAGTGGTATGGTGAGCAGAACAACTGAAAGAGTGACCGCTTAAATAAATTTGTCTTCCCCACCTGAGTACTCATTCACTACATCTAAAACTATAATTTATCAAGATTTGTTATCTAAAAATAAGAAAGAACTCAATATAACAGCAGTTTTTTTCGATTCAATAATTTCAGGTATAATTGAATTAGATTTTCCATTATCTGATCAAGTTCATGAAGGTGTCTGGTTAATACGTGCTAATCATGAAAGATTTTCAGCTGAAAAAACATTTCAAGTTAAAGAATATTGTAAGTTTTAAAAATTACTTTACTAAAATTACTATACATATTTTTATTGATGATATAAATATTGTTTAAGGGATGGCTTAATATGGATCTTATTTATAATTCGTTTGAAGCGAGTGGTACTCGGTTCGAGTCCCAGAGTGAACATCAACTCTGAGATGCAGGTACATCCAGCTGACGAGTCCCAAATAAGACGAAACACTCGTCAGACTGGATTCCACTACTAGACACTATCCAACTCTGTTTGGAATCCTTGTGAGTTAAGTCAATTTCGAGGCAATATGCACAGTCTACACATATAACCGATAAGAGACTGAATAATTGCAGTCCTAAACATCAATGGGAAGATTCAAATAAACAAAAGCAAGAGAATCTGACTATAACTGTTCGGTGTTGAACAAGTAGATTTCCTACGAAGAATTGATTTAATAAATATTCTATTCACTGAAATAGTTAATTTCATTTTTTTAAAGGGCGACCTTTATGGGATGTAAATGTAACTCTTCCACTTAGAATAACTGATAATCAACTTGGCCTTTATGGTTTAATATCTGCAAATTATACTAGTGGAAAAGCTGTTAAAGGCAATGCTACCGTATTAATTCAACTAAGGAAATCAGGAGCTGCTCGTTGGACTAGCCCACCTCGAGCTGAATTCAGACGTTATTTATTAGCAGTAAGTTGTTTATTTTCAAGTTTTTGATATTTACAAATGTTATTAATCGAAATGTCTCAGATCCTTATTATGGAATTCATCATACCATTCAGCTTGTTTCTATAGTTCGAAAGGTTCTTATTTTATCGTCATACATCGCAGGCGAATTTTAGTTAAACAGCCACCGAGAACCAAAATTCCCTGGATATATGTTTCATCCTTGTATAGGAATTCTTAACACTATCTATGTACGACCCTGCTTAAGATTAAAGCCAGGTCTTATAGACTAGGTACTTCAGTTTTAAGCCCCTAAACTTCCATCCAATATCGCTGATTGACTAAATCACTGGATTCCGAATAAATTTTCTGAATTCCGAGCACTCTTCGCAGAATCTAAAGGCTCTGATCTGCAACTATTGTGAGGTCATGAAGGTGCACTACTGAAGATTCGCGCACAAAGAATAAAACACTGTTTAGTCCTTCCTGGTTACCATTGGTTGTCTAGTTAAAGTTAGTTCTCATAGTAAAACTAAGAATTTCAACCATATCTAAACTCTACTATCCCCAAATACCCTGGTGAGACCGAGAGTGGGGAGGGCCTGCCCTCTCTCTCGAAATGCTCTCACACGGTCACGCGTATACAGCCTCCGCCAGGGAAGTCCTACTCATTGCCTTCTCGCGGTGGGGGCGTTTTTAACGAACTTCAGAGGACGAAAAGCGAATGTCCGGCGCTTTAACCTGGTTGGTGAACCAGCTAAAAAATTATTGAAAAAATATGGTGTACCAAGTGTTCCTTATTATTAAGTTTAAAACTGTTATGAAACATATTTCTTAGATTTTTATTATACTTCCGGATGAAAACTAGCCTTTATAACTGAAAAATCTCCATAACCCTTAGTAACTCTCAGCAAATGAAATATGACTTCAATCTTTTCTTCACTCATAGGATATCTATTACGCTGTCGAGTAGGTTTCGTAATTTTTGCATATAAGATTATCGTGTGTTTCCTTCTCAATCCTATTACAAAGACTTTCCAGTCATGTCAAATATTTAGACTTTGACATCATTCAAAAATTCTAGAAACAGAACTATCAGTTAAGTAGTTTAATATAGCTCCACTTATCAAATACACAATTATGTATTTGACTTCAAGCCTTACTTTGTCTTCGTATAAAGCTTAGTAATATTAATCATCTCTTCAAACCTATATAAGTGGACCATGATTCAGTTCGATGACCATTTTGTTGATAATCCAGTGTTATAACTGTCAGATCAGTGAATTACACTTATATAGGATATGAAATCAACCTCTGTTTAAGTAATAATATGGTTTTATGTTCTTGTGTTCTGAATGTCCTATGCTATGCAATGAAGATTATGTATGGTAAAACTTTTCAGAGGTATTTTAATCAAATATATGAGATGGTGGAGAAGATTTGTAGCTCAGGTGGGTTATTTTGATGTAGGTTTGTTCTCTGAGCTGGATGGTTTGGTCGTGGAGCTTTCATCGTGCTTCTGAACGACATCATTAGCACAAACTTCGGGTAGAAGTGAAGTGTTCAAACACTCCACGACCAAACCATCCAGCTCAGAGAACAAACCTACATCATAATCAGATATATACTTCAATAAGCTACAGATATTCAGTTCCAATTGATTTGGTGGCCTCCTTGAATAATATATGGGCTATCTGTTCCTGCCGTCTAGATATTTCAACAAGTTATCTGTCTATTAATCGCACATTTATTTACAGAACGTATAATTCAGTTAGGAGGATTCAAAGAATGATCTTAACACCTTGTATGTTTAAACTAAAATTATCTTGACTATTGAATAACTGTTAGTCATATATAAATTTTGCATTAGTTTTATATTTATATTTTAGTTAGATGGTATTGGAGATTTTCTATTACCTATGTCGGAAATACGTCAAGCTATAAGTAGTTCTACAATTGATTCTTCTTTGGCTAATACAGAAATTTGGGTAAATGTAACTTATTTTAATTGGTGGGAAAAAACTCATCGAACTGGTTGGGCATTTACAAAAGTTTATTCATCTAATCCATTAATTAAATTTCTTGGAGGAATGGTTAGACCTTTTAAACCTAATATGTATTTTACTGTTTATGTAAGTTAGCCTTTATTATACATATTTATATGTATTTACTTATTTTGAATTCTTTACATTGAACATTATACCTTGATCACAGTACTCAACACTTAAGACGAAGTATTGAATGTTATCTGATCGTGTTCATTAATTCTTCTAATGATGATCATATGCTCACTAGTGACTGGCTCTATGAGGTATTTCCTGGAGTTCTGATGAGAAGCAGTGACCAGTGGAGTTCAATCAGGTCTGTTGTGAGACAGTAACTCAGTGAAGACATTGGTGAATGGTTGCTCAACTTCGTGGATTGGTTGAAGTTAGACATTAACACCGTTGGATGCTGGACGGTTCAGTGGTCTAGTGGTTAAGCGCTCACGCGCGAGACTGATAGGTCCTGAGTTCGAATTTCGTATGGTGGGATCGTGGACGCGCACTGCTGAGGAGTCCCGCAATAGAATGAAATGGCCATCCAGTGCTTCCAGGTTTTTCATGGTGGTCTAGCTTCAATTGACTCATGATTTCAACTATATAAAATTCTCATAGTGTTATTAACCTTCATATAATTAGTACAGAGAGTATAATGGAGTTTTTAAAAAACTCTGTTTTCATATCATGTTTCAAGTAGATAGATAATCAGATCGCAAACAAAATTCCATTTTTTTATATATTCATCTTAATCAAATCAAGTAATCATAATATTATTAAATGTAGTGTAAACCATCGAACTATTTAGTGTACAGTTATTTAAGTTAGATTGTTCAACCAACAACTAAGTGTTTATCTCATTGCTATCACTTATTTATCATAATGTTTTGTATAATTTTCGGCGAGACTATGATTTCTGGACGACCTTTGAAGGAATCTCAAGTGACCTTAAGAAATATTAGCCGATCAGGTAACAGTTAGTATGGGGTAAGAATATCTTATACAACACCAAAGAATTAGAGTAGGTACACTTCTTTTACATGGTCCAAAAACTTGTCAAGGTTAGAAGAATGTTCAAAGGTTCTAAAATCGTAATACATAAGGTAGAGGAACTCATCCATATGGCTACATAATACTAGGTCTCGGAGGCCATGATAAGGTCACAAAACTCTTTCAGCCTCGACCACATAGCTTCAATATTGTTTGTATATACTCCGGTTGTGTAGGTTTGTGATTTTTATTACGCGTATATCCCTACAAAACGCATGCCTCTGAACAGCCGAAGCTTCAGTAACATCTGCGAATATTTCAGTCAATAATACTGGTGTTTTTATTATACAGTTCACAGCAATAATTATAATTTGCCCTAGTCCTAATCTGGATCGAGAGAAAAAGTTTTTATTCTAGCAGACTTCTTCCTCTAACATATATTACATCGAAAGATAACATCATCGAGGTAGTGTGCATAAAGTCTACAAGTCAATTGATTACCGCAATTACAAATAAAGGAACTTCTTAGTAGTCCCATTTATTGTAGCTGCTTAATTGTCACGTTTTCTCTAAAGTCCTCTGTGAACCGATTGTACATGAGCATCAGCTTTTGAAATTGGCGCTGTGACCTTGAAATCCCTCAGACGCTTCAGATTGGCTCTTCCATAAATTATAGTCTCATCTAATTTTCTTTTAAAAAGAACATGTTAACATTTCTTTTATTTCATTCAAAAATTTTTTCCAATTTTTTTTGTTCAGTTGGTTGTTTATATGGCAGATGGTAGTATGGTAAAATATAGTGGAAATCGTAAAGTTACACTCTCATTCTATTGTCTTGATAATACTTTTGAAAAACAAATCACTTTACCTATATCAGATGATGGTGTAATACGTTATACTTATAGACCATCTGGAGATGGTTGTATCACTTATAGATTAGAGGTAAGTTTAAATAATTACTTTTTTTATTTCTATTCTGACTACACTGGTTCAATAATATTGGTAATATAGTTGACGGTCATTTATTGTCTATTTTAGTGATAGTACTAATAATTCTTTTTATTATGGAGCACTATTTCGTAGTCTAAAGCAAGATTCTCAAATACAACATCAGGAACACCAACCCAGTCACATTTGATGGGAAAACTCTGGAAGATGTAGAAACATTCATGTACCTGGGAAGTATCATTGATGAACAAGAAGGATCTGATCCATATGTTAAGACGAGGATTAGCAAAGCAAGGACAGCATTTCAACAATTGAAGAACATATAAAACTCAAAACAACTGTCAATCAATATCAAAGTTAGAATTTTCAATACGAACTGTACGGAGCTGAAACGTGGAGAACTACTACATCCATTGTCAAGAAGGTACAAGTATTTACAAACAGTTGTTTACGCAAAATAGTTAACATTCACTGACCGGATGCCATCAGCAACAGCTTTTTATGGGAGAGGATAAACCAGCTTCCATCTGAAGAGGAAATTAGGAAAAGACGTTGGAAATGGATAGGATATACGTTGAGGAAATCATCAAACTGCATCACGATACAATTCCTAACTTGGAATTCAGAAGGGAAGCGGAAAAGAGGAAGGTCAAAGAACACATTACACCGGGAAATGGAAGCAGATATGAAAAGGATGAATGTTAACTGGAACGAACTGGAAAGGATTGCTCATGAAATTGTTGTATGGAGAGTGCTGGTGTGCGGCCTATGCTCCACGACGAGGGGTAACAGGCGTAAGTAAGTAAGTTATTTAGTAGACTGATACTGGTACATAAACTCCTTATACCCTTCTTTCTGACCGGGTAGTGAATGAGAAGACTAACAGTCAAAAAGGAAGTTTATTGGGTTAAACCGGTTCACATGTGTATATACATACCTTAGAGAATATCACTATTTATTGATCAATCACCTTCACTTGTTAGATTTTCGATTGGCACAATATGACCTTTTCATTTTGAGACTTTTGATCGGCTTACTATATCAGTTTCTAAGACAAAAGCCTTTTCTTTCTCTTTTGATTTACAATAAATCACATAAAACTACTTTAATTTACATATATGTCTTCTGATAAAAGTGACCAGATGCACCGCTAAAAAACCTAGTTGTGTCTAGTAATTAGATCATATTATGTTATCTCTATGGATACTTTTTGATAGGGGACACCCAACTGCGTGTGCCATACGTGCAGATGTAACAGTAGTATTATCGTATCAATAATTACCATCAATTAAACACTATTTGTGTTTTATACAATTCATAAGTGTTAATACTTCATCCAAAGTTCATATAGAAAATATAAAATGTAAATGCATTCCACGGATAAATTCTATATAACTAAATTGAATAATGGATAGTGGCTAGCAGTGGAATTCAGTTTGACGCATATTTCGTCCTATTTGGGACTCATCAGCTCGATTTACTTACATCCCAGAATTGATGTTCACTCTGGGACTCGAACCCAGTGAATCTAAACTTCACCCCATTGCACAAGCAAGTGACTATCAGGACTCAGTAGCTGAGTGAAAAACGCGATTGCGTTTGAAGCGAAAGGTACTGGGTTCGAGTCACAGAGTGAATATCAACTCTGAGATGCAGGTACATCCAGCTGACGAGTCCTAAATAGGACGGAACGCACGTCCTAGATTCCACTGCTAACCATTATCCGTCTTTGCCTATAAATGTTTTAAGTTGTAATAAATATTTGTATATATATTTATGTCATTATTGTTGACTTTCAGGCTAGGTATATTGATGAAACAGATCGAATTTTATCAAATGATCAACAACGTTTATTTGCTGTGAACTCTTATTCTGGTGCATATTTACAGTTATCAACATCAACTTTTTCACCTAAAGTAATGCTGAATATGAATAGATATTTAAATAATTCTATTATAATTTCTTTTTTTGCTTTCAATAATGTATTCATTCAGTTAATTCTACCTTGACGTGATATACTGGTCTACTCATAAGTTCCCCCATTGATATTTATGGAATATTAATAGTTGAATTAGTGAGTCAGTTTGATCTAGATTACTATTGAAAACCTGGAAGCACTGGATGGCCGTTTCGTCCAGATATGGAACTCCTCATCAGAGCGCTAGACCGAATGTCCTGGCTTCAAGTTCTACGTGTGGGATCGTGGATGCATTCTTGAGAAGTCACATAATAGGACAAAACGGTCGTCCAGTGCTTCCAGGTTTTTAATGGTGGTCTAGATTAAACCAACTCACGATTTCAACTATTAACATTCCATACACATCGATGGGGGAGCTTATTAGGAGACCATTTTATCATGTCGTTCCGTTAAAAATTCGTGTAACATTGTCTTTTCACAGTTGAAATCAGGAACTAATCTTAGCTAAGTCACTATTCTAAACCTGGAAGCACTAGATGCCCGTTTCGTCGTAGTATGCGACTTATCAGTAGTGCGCACCCACGAATCAGCACGCGGGGATTGAAACCATGACCTCTGGCTTCACATGGAAACACCTAACCTCCGGGCCACTAGGTCGAGATCCAACACTGTCAGTTTTTAGCCTCAATCAATCCATGGTCTTGCACAACCCTACCATCGATTACATTCAGGGGATAACTGTTTCACATATGATTTACACCTTCTGCAGCTCAAGATAAAGTCGTATAAGTAAATAAAAATTTGTCCTATTTGAGATCTTTATTAGTAGTGATGTTTGAGTGATCTAAATTGGCAATCTCAATGTACATGAAAGCATTTTACGGAAACAATAGGATGAATACGACACACTACTGAATAATATTAGTCAGTAATAAAACATTTTTCATAAAAAAATACTACATTTTTAATGGTATTTTGTAAAGAAAAGTAAATAGTGCTTTAGTCAAAACATTTCTGTATTTGATTCTTAATATTTATTACTATGAATCGTTGTTCAGACTCTTTATCTATGGTCCCATCAATGTCACACATTGTAAACAAAAAAATCTAGGATTCGTCATTCAAAATGTACGACTGTTTTTGAAGTGTAGATTCATTAATCCTCATAACTTTATGCTTCTGTCCACTTCATCCTTGTTTCCTGTACTCAAAGATTTTCCCATTTCACAACTGATTGATCACTGGGTGGTGATCAATGTCATGCGTGTCAAGTCCTTCTTAGTGCTTATTGAATCACTTAATTTCTGTTTTCATTTTGTTTAATTATTAGTGAATCATGATCCGTTGTATGTTAATCTTTGTGACACACTAGATATGAATATTTAATTAACTCTACGTTACTTGATGTAGTCCTACTGATGAACTTCTATGTTGAACGCAGTTTTTTAATATCCTTTCTTTGCTGTTTATTGTAAATCCTACAAATTTTGTAGATCCGTTTACTAACTGTTTCGATTACTAAGATCTTGTCTCATTAGTTTAGTTTCATAACGACAAATAGCGAGTTATGTGAAACATATCAAATTTCAGTAAACCTACCGGATAATTTATGAAAATGAAAAATCCTCACTTATCGAATCGTATCAGTCTGTCAGTCACAGGCTGATGACGATTATTGACACGTTTGTTGTAGATCTTAATTGCCCTAGATTCAACAATTAGATTTATTGAATGGGATCATTGTTTAAAACTCCGCCTGTAGCTCTTCTAGAGTTACTGCCGGTCCCAAGCCCGGGTAAAGGAGGAGGGTTGGGCATGGGGTTAGCGACCCCATCCCGTAGAAAAGCTAACTCGCTAAAAAAACGCTAACCAGAAAAAATAATTCAAACCATTTAAACTCTGCCCTGGGATTTGAAGGAATAATGACGTCTCATGATGAAAGCCGAAATTCTTCGGAAGTCACGAGACCGATGTAATCATTGTTTAACGAATGTTACGTAATAAGATAGACTAATACTTTTCAATATTGAATGACATGCATTTCTTATATGCATAGACCAAAACCTGTCTAAAATTCTCTTTGCAAGACCTTCTTCTTCTTGCATAATATCATGAAGTTACTGTTGTTGTTGTTTCTTTCATTTTGGATTTTACAAGGTTAATGAATATATGGTTGTACATGTACAAACTAATTATCCTACTGATAAAATACATTATGTGGTAAGTTATTTGGTTGAATTATTTTAATCAGAAGGGGTTTTGTGGAGATTTTTAGTATTTTCATAGCTGAAATCATGAGTCAATTGAAGCTAGACCACCAAGAAAAACCTGGAAGCATTGGACGGCCGTTTCGTTTTATTGTGGGACTCCTCAGCAGTGCGCATCCACGATCCCGCATTATTCTTACACAATAGTAGTATGCACTGAAAAAAAAATTTTGACAAAACTTATTATATAAGTTTCTTTAATTAATTTAAAGGTCAAAAGTTCATTCAAGTATGCAATAAGCATTTCATGCTTGATTTCATAATACACATCAAAATCATTTAGATTTTCTGAATCTAGTCAGTTGACTTAAATGAACTAATGTGCCATATGAAGAATGAAGCATATGTATATATATGCCCCGGATGAATGACATCGAAAATTTGCAATGTGAGGAACATTTTCAATCTCTTCACCCGAAATATGATTTATGACGTTGTCATATGCTCATTAGTGACTGGCTCCATGAGGTATTTCATGGACTTCTAGTGAGAAGCAGTAACCAGTGGAGTTCAACTAGGTCTGTCGGGAGATATCAACTCACTGAAGAAGTTGGTGAATGGTTGCCCAATTTCCTGGATTGGTTGAAGTTAGACATTAACACCTTTGGATTCCGGCTGGGTGGTTTAGTGGTTAAGCGCTCGCGCGCGAAACTTATCGGTCCTGTGTTCGGATCTCGCAAGGCGAGATCGTGGATGCCCACTGCGGAAAGCCCCACAATTGGACAAAACGGCCATCCAGGTTTTTCATGGTGATCTAGCTTCAGTTGACTGCTGATTTCAACTTTATAAAAATTACTAAAATCTCCACAAAACCCCTTTCTGATGAAAACAAAATTACAAGATTTTATAGGATTTAAACAAATCACCCGTCTTAGATAAACGTTTAATATCAATAAGCACCGTGTTATGCTCTTAGCTTATATGATTATCGCGAAATACGATTGCCAATTTAGATACTTTAACTTATACGACCAAACTAATCATGCATATACTAGTACGAACAGCCTAGAGTTCCGGTTGGTCTTTTATCCGCCTAGCCCTACTTGTTAAATACAGAACTTCAATCTCAGCCTTCGTGATACGATTTATATACTTTGAACATACTGGGTTTATAAACAAGCAGAATCAAACCACATCACACCATAAAATAGAAAATAAAATTTTTACAAGATCTAGCCAAAGGTGACTGTGATTGTGAGAAACTGTGACTAATAGGTTGGGAATAACTTGAGAACACTAAATCACATAATAGTAATCAGCAGGTCAATTAAGAGCTTACAATAAAAGGAATATAAGTTTATATAGTTTAGTTACTTAACAATTATACAATAAGAATGTATAGTATTAGTCTATAAATGGACCCCAACAGTTACCATCAATTATTCTCATCGGGATATAACGTACTGGACAGTTGTTTCTTTTCAGTCTGAGACTCCTTAATAAGACCAATCGATCATATGAAATTTCAGGTTCAGCAATTTCTACAACATTCTATAATAACCGTCGTTCGGTACTTTGATCGACTCAAATTGAAAATAGACAATAATCTATTTAATTACATAATTTTCTTATCCATTTTTATCTCTCGTTAGTCAGAAATACTTCTGCCAGAGGCCAAAGGTTCTCATCTGAAATTAATAATTTGCATTGTACACTATGTAACTATTCCACGCGGAGACTTAAGAACACTAACCAATTGTGAAAGATGTTCAAGCGGACTATATAATTCGTGACGAATTTCTAATTTTTTTCATATAGTATGAAAACAAGTAATTAGTTATACTGTTCTAGTGTAACACCACTTAGTAACCCATGAATTGTCGAAACGTTCGTTTCAAACCTGTGTTTACCGCATCACGTTTCTTTTTCTAATGAACTGAAATAGTCACAATTGATTGATCACTGGGTGGTGATCAATGTCATGCGTTTCAAGTCCGTTAGAGAGCGCCTGTTCCCTTAATATCACAGGTTGACCTTTCTGACGAGTGCCAAGTAGCACAAAACCCGGATCCAGGGTTTCCTGTTGATCACCTCCAACCACCATCTTATCTGAACTTAAATACGTTTAAGCTTCGCTTCTAAATGCAGCACTGGGATCCTTGCACTTCCAGCTAACAAGACCTAAATGGAGCAAAACAGTTATATATATACGCATCCAGATATATCTTTTATACAGTTTATCCATGCATAACATTTCAATATGATAAAATGCTGTAAACTTCAACACAGAGATTTCCGCTTTCTTTTATTACTACATGTATTGTCTATTGTTGATTGTCACCAACTACCTCATCCATTGAATTAATTTTCTAGGTTGTTTCTAATGGAAATATTTTAGCAACTGATCAATTACGTATGCCAAATGCAGTGACATCACGTACATTTTCAATTGCTGTATCACGTTACATGTTTCCAATATCACATATTGTTGCATATTTCATTAAAGACAATAGTGAAATTGTATCAGATTCATTGACATTTTATGCAAATTATACACATTTGAATAATGTACAAATGCAAGTGAATCGTGGAAAAGATTTAAATCAAGATACATTAGAAATTAGAGGTTATGCTAAACCTGGATCTTATATAGCATTCAGTGTAATGCATGCTGATTTGTATGCTATTGGTGGTGCTTCGTTTCTTAGAGAATATGATGTGAGTTCAGATTAAGTAATTATAAAATAGCACTCTGTTTTATTCTTTCTTTCAGTATATTATTTAATTTCATTGGATATATCAGTCAGTCACAACGTAGAACTTCGTACGTACGTACGTACATCAATTCGAGTTGCCATACCACATTAGCACAAAAATACAATAGTCGATTCCAATCCCATAGTGGTAGAAGTAGTATATTATTACAATTTTATTAGTCACTATTCTTAACATGGAGCTCTTTTATTGGATAAGGCTATTTGCGTTGACTATTCATTGTTCCGGAATCCAGTATAAGAATATGCCAACATTGTGTTAAAACTACATATTGATTGACTAACTATGACATTTAAACCTCATTTATTTGAATTTTAGTGTATTTACTAGGAGATTTGTGGGTAACAATACAAATAAATAGTGCTCCAATAAATCTCACAAGTTTATTCGGATGAAGGAAGTTAAATCACTTTCTTTTCCGACTCGTTTTCACATCAGTATCCTGTAAACAGAAATGAACACTTCTATTTAATTGGTCTATTGTATTGTATTTCGTCTAATACTTAGGGAAATTTGTGAACCTTTAGTTATTTATAAAAATTGTAAGTTATAAATAGGGTTACTTTGTTAAAATTCATGAAATGATCAATTTTCTAGTGTTAGAGACGAATGATTCGAAATTTTACCATGGATTACAGGGGATAGCAGTGGAATCCAGGACAATGCGCGTTTCGTTCTATTTTGGAACTCGTCAGCTGGATGTACCTGCATCTCAGAGTTGATGTTCACTCTGGAACTCGAACCCAGTACCTTTCGCTTCAAACGTCATCACGTTATCCATTCAGCTACTGAGTCCTGATAGCCACTTACTTGTGCAATGAGGTGAAGTTTGAATTCACTTGGTATTGTTTGTCTGAATCTCCCGATTAATTTTACTAAAACTCTTTGTTCATTATTAAATATCGGATTATATTAGTTATTTCTGTGTTGTTTTTTAATTTTCAGATTGTTGATGAATTAATGACATATGAACAACATAGTCAAGCACCATTAGTTCATACATGGTATGAAGATTTTAAAGATATTAAACGTATTTATTTACCGACATCCAGTAATGGAGCAGATACCAATAGTACAATGAATTCATCCGGTTTAATTATATTCACTGATGCTAATTTCACTAAAGCGAATTTTTATCGTAAGTTCTCAAAAATATTGTTAAGTGATTTAATGCTAACTAACCTTATGCTTAATACATGATCTTGAATAATAAAGTGTGAAAAGGATACTGTTCACATAACTTTCAGAAATTGATGATCCTGTTACCCCTCGTGGAGGAGCATAGGCCACACACCAGTTTTCTCCATCCAACCCTGTCCTGGGCAATCCTTTTCATTTCTTTCCAGTTAACATTCATCCTTTTCATATCTGCTTCCATTTCCCGGTGTAATGTGTTCTTTGACCTTCCTCTTTTCCACTTCCCTTCAGGATTCCAAGTTAGGGATTGCTTCGTGATGCAGTTTGATGATTTCCTTAATGTATGTCCTATACAATTCCATTGTCTTTTCCTAATTTCCTCTTCATCTCAAAGCGCGTTTGTTCTTTTCCACAGTAGACTGTTGCTCATAGTATCCAGTCAATGGACATTGAGATTCTTTTGTAGACAATTGTTTATAAATACTTGTACATCTTTGATGATGGTTGTAGTAGTTTTCAAAGTTTCAGCTCCATACAGTAGAAGTGCTTTGACGTTGGTATTGAACATTCTGACTTTGATATTTGGTTGACAGTTGTTTTGAGTTCCATACTTTCTTCATTTATTTTATCGTAAGTAAATAAAGATAAACCGAAATAGCCTTTTTTTAAAGTTACTTTTATAAACCTTTCAATGTATTCTAGTTACTTTAGAAATGTGACACATATACTTCAACACTTTCGTTTTGCAGTATTGATTGTAAATGATTTGACTGATCATTTCAAGTTGGTAGCAGCTATCAAGAAGAGTAGATAGTCGATAGCTGCAATCGGTATATTAGCACAAATGTAACAAGTTTAAGAGTCTTCTGACGAAAGAGCATAGAAATCAAATGAATGTAAACATTTCTCAAAAAACAATTAATTTTCCGAATACTTCTAATTATTATTTATACCATAGATACATGTAATGAAACTGAGAATCCTGCACGTGCTTTACCATGCTACTCTCTTACTGGTCGAGATTGTTATTCACGAAGTGAACGATGTGATGGAATCAATCAATGTACTACTTGGATTGATGAAATGGATTGTCCAGAAAATGAGACTAAAAATCCTCAACCATTACGTTTAATAAATACATTTGATATATTAAATCGTCAATGGAATGATGGTGCTTGGTTGTGGCATAGTACATTTGTCAAGTAAGTAGTAACCACAGTAAATATCATGTGGCTGGAAAAGTGCTAATCGCAGTTGAGTACATGATACCGCTTCTATATGATTAGAAACAATTACTTGGATGCTCTGAACCTCTATGTTGTCCTAGTTGGTACTTGTCAGGAAGATTTATTTGCAAACATAAGGGAACTGATGATCGTTGTAGAGTTCATACCTAAGTCATCCAATGTAATATTCAGAGACATTATCGTTGAGTTATTCGGGTCAGAATTAATCTCATCTAAGACTTTGCTGCATGCTCTCTAATTGATCACCAAGTACTAATCCGTGTCATGTTCTTCATTTCTTAAGACAGATCGAATTAGATTATGACTACTAATCTACCTGACATGAAGACACAGTGAACTGTATTCCAGAATAAAATACAATATTATACTTCTAAGCTGGATAGTTAGATATAAACGAATGATAGTGATGTATATATGTACAATGATGAAGTGAATATCAATTTCGTCGATAACTCCAATGCTTCAATATGTAATTTCTTTAGCTAAATAAAATACTTACTTGTAATTCGCTAATTGAACGCAAGTTTTCAGACTACATAGATTTATTACTATGAACACGCTTACTTATGTGAATGTAAACAGTTAAGTTGTACCCCTGAACTTATTTCCCGTGCTAGTTATTTTTAATCGTGAGGAGACTGATGTTATTTGTGGATTTCTAACCCACATATTTGAAACGGGTCGAAATACATTTAGTTATCTGTAAAAATAAAATAGTTTATCACAAACATTATTTACCATAAACCACGTATGAAATAATATTTTTGCCAATATAAATTTGAGATTGTTAAATTTTGTTGAAATCACAAACCAAAGTTAGACAACCACTGAGAACCTGTAAGCATTGGACACTCGTTTTGCAATAGTATGGGACTCTTCAGAAGTTTGGACCCAAGACCTCTAAGCGAAGACTGAACCCAAGGCTTCCGGCATCGCACGCAAACGCCTAACCTCTACACCACTGAACTTGATCCACTGGTGTATAAGTCTAACTTCAATCAGTCCATGATACCGCACAACCACTTTCTGTTGTCTCCAGTGTGTACCTTTCTGTCACTGGACACGATTTAGCCCAACTGGTCACAACTTCTCCCTAGAACTACGGGAATTCCATCTCAAAGCTAGTCTTTAGTGAGCACATGATGATTGCCGATGTCAGGTAACGGAGATTGTTAAATTTCGGAATTGTTAAAATCGTAATCTCAAAGCGATCAAAGTTGAAGCTAGACTTGTACGCCAGGTGATCCTGTATCAGTGGTCTATAGATCAAGGGTTCTCGCATGAGATTAAAGGTCTCAGGTTCGGTTCCTGTGTCCGGGGTTTTGAATGTACACTGCTAACTACTCCCATACTGAAACGAAACAGGGGTCTAGTGCTTCCAGGTTCTAAATGGTTCTCTAAATTCGATCAATTAATCATTTCAACAAGAGCTTTTCTTGTCTGAAATTTTAAATTTTACTTTCATTCAATCATTCCATTACTTTAGAGCTGATGGACAAATTCAATTTCGTGTTGATCTGCCAAAAATGAATGCTGATTGGGTAGCTGGTGCATTTTCAGTTGACAGTGAATTAGGTTTAGCATTAATGCAACAACCTTATTTATTTTCTGGTACAAGACGGTTTTATATGACTGTTGAACTACCTGAAGAAGCTGTCTGGGGTGAACAGATCGGTGTTCGTGCTTGTCTTTTTAATAATTGGAATTATTGGATTGAGGTAAATAAAAGTTTATGGATCGATTTAGCTGGGAGGTTTGTACGAAGAAATTGAATACCCAGACGAAATATTTCATAATAAATTGGTTAGACAAAAAACTACTAAAAACCAATATTATTTCTATCCTCCATAACATAAGTATTTAAATCCATTATTTGTAAAGCGTTCGTTGAGGATGTTAGATTATTTGTGCCAGTTGTTTCCTCCACTATGACTGGATGACAATGCTAGTGAAATATAGAAAGCTTATTTAACTTCAAATAGGAATAATATATTTGTAAAATCTCAGCGAATGAATTTTTTAAATTAAATCCAACGTTTCGCCTGGCAATCTGGTCCAAGCTTTTTCAAGGAATTAATATCATCAAATACTGTGAAACTATTCGTTCTAATTTAGACGAGAGTTCTTATATAAACTTATTTAACTTCGTTTATCTTCCATCGACTAATTACATCACTAAAACGTAAAAATCAAAGGTCGAATACGAGTTGCATTTGGGATATGTAAATTTGAGATATTGATGTGAACAGGTAAACTGAACGAGGGAATATGGATATTGAATACATGCTGACAGAAGCATCTATAAATGTTCGCTCAATTAATAATGGATAACTTACAGATAGCCAATTGAAGTACAGATATCAGACACACATAAGATGAGCACAATTAAGATTTTATTAGTTCAAGGGATTTGTGGAGATTGTAGAATCTTAAAAGTTTAAATCACGAACCAATCTCAGTTAGACCACCATTGAAAACCTGGAAACACTGGACGGCCGTTTCTTCCTTGTATGACACTCCTCTCCAGTGCACATTCACAACCCTGCAAGGGAGCATCGAACCTATAATCCTTGATTTAGCACTCAAACATTTATCCTCTAGATCACTGAACCGACATTCAACGGTGTTAATACTTAGTTTTAGCCAATTTACGGTATCGCTCAACTCCTATCCATCGCCTGCAGTGAATAACTGTCTCACATGATATGGATTGAACTCCACTAGTCACGCCTTTTCACTGGAACTGTTTGAGTTACATCTTCAAAATTTGTCGCTAGTATACACATAGTTATCATTAGTAGTATAGGATGCTTGTGGGAATTTCGGGATTTTTAAAGTTTAAATCACAAACTGACGAGTCCCGTACTGAGAACAAATGGGCGTTCAATATTTATGGGTTTTCATTGGTAAACAAGCTTAGATATGTTCAAAGTTAATAGTAAATAGTTGACAACACAATAGTTATAGAAAATAAACAAGAAATAATACAGACAAACAGCGATACACATCCATGCATGCAATATAATCAATAAATTTTCAAAGTTGAAACCATGAGTCAATTGAAGCTAGAACACCATGGAAAATCTGGAAGCATTGGACGGCCGTTTCGTTCTATTATGGAACTCCTCAGCAGTGCGCATCCACGATCTCTCCTCGCGAGATTCGAAACCAGGACATACTAGTCTCGCACCGGAGCACTTAACCGATAGACCACTAAGCCGGCATCCGATGGTGTTAATTTCTAACTTCAACGAACTAATGTTTACTGATTATTATTATTATTTCACAGTTTACAACTTGTTGTTGTAATTAGTTCACTTCTTTTGGGTTGCATTTTTCTGTTTAGGCCTTAGTAGAAGTAAAACCAAGTCCTGATTTACGTGTTATTCAAGTTGGATTAGAAGGACGTGTATCAGCATATGCACCAGAAGTGTCTATAAATAAAGCTGTTCAATCATTAGCTTATTTAGAAGCTGGTACTTCACGCTATATTTATATGCCAGTTTCACCTAAACTACCTGGGAATACTTCATTTACAATATGTGCATATAGTTTTATTGGTTCCAATTGTGAAACACATACAATATATGTTCGTGTAAGTTTAAATTGAATGATTGTTATAATGGAGTGATTTTGTATACTGTTTGAAAAATAAATCAGTTCATATTAAGTATTATTAATTTTGGAAGCTAAAACTTATGTGCAAAGTTAGTTTTGTGTAAATCCACAGTGAACTGTGTTTATCAAGAAGATTAGTTTTCTATTAAGTTGATCCAAATTTAATAATTCCGTTCAAACTAAGCATTCATGAAAGCAAGCTTACTTAGAAGATATCTTCTGAACGTTCACGTTCTCTAGTGAACTAAAAATTCCGCTCAATGGACGTACTACAGTTTAACCACAAAAGACGATGGTAACTCCACAAATAGTGTATAAATCTTTCCAGTTGTGACTTATCAAGTTCTTCCACCATTGGAAACCCTGAAGCACGGGACGGCCATTTCGTTCTAGAATGGGATTTCTCAGCAGTATGCATCCACGACCTCGCACGCGGGACTCGAACCCAGTATCTTCGGTCTCGCACATGAACGCTTAACCTCTAGATCACTGAGCCGGCATTCAACAGTGTTACTGTCTAACTTCAATCGATCCATGATCTGTGGTTGATAACTATTTCACACCGGACATGGATTGGACTATATTGGTCACGGCTTTTTACTAGAACTACAGAAAATCCATCTTGAAGATAGTCACTTTTGAGCACATGATTGTTATCAAAATGAGGATTTGTGGTAATTGTAGTATTTTAACGGTTGAATTCACACAGTTAAGCGTTCATGCACGAGACCGAAGGTCCTGGGTTCAAGTCCCGCGTGCAAGGTCGTGGATGCACACTGCTGAAAAGTCCAACACTAGGACGAAACGGCCATCCAGTGCTTCAAAGTTTCTAAATGTGGTTCAGCTTAGATCGACTTAAGAATTCAACTGTTGAAATTACTACCATCCACACAAATCCTCATACTGATACGTTGTGTCGTGGTTGCTTCATAAGTTTTGGTAAATTATGGATAACTAGTAACCATTAAATATGTCCAGATATTCTGTATAATGAAAAGATTTTCAAAAGGCAGAATTCACGTATTTTCCATTTAATTAATTAATTGGAATCCTATAGACTAACTTTTTATTTATTCAATTTCAGATGAATGGTGTAACAAATTACTATCATACTGCAAGTTTTTTAGACTTAACAAGTTCCAGTACATTATTTGTAAATAATTTCAAAATTATTGTCCCACAAAAATTTACTATACCAGAAAGACGTCTACATCGTTTTGTACCTGGATCACAGAAAGCTATTCTTAGTGTGGTTGGTAAGTTTACTAGCATAATTAGTATTTCATCAGTATTCTAATCATCTTTTTATATCTTGGCTATGTGTATTACGTTCAGTGACCAAAATTTTATTAGTTAAATAAATGAAATGGCTTTTTGGACTTCTAATATATTCCATAAAGAATCGGATTACCATCTGATTTAAATTATTTTTTCCCATTGGAATCACATTTTTTCCCTCATAATTAAACAGATCTGACTTTAATTGCGATCATGAATACGGATCACTGTTAAACCACCATTGCCCCCAAATGCCCCGATACGGCCGAAAGTAGGAAGGGGCCACTCTCCCTTGAAAAATGCTCTCATATGGCCACGCGTATACAGCCTCAGCCAGGGAATTCCTACTCACTGCCTTCTCGTGACATTACTGTTGTTTACGAAATTGAGAGGACGAAAAGCGAATGTCCAGAGCTTTATTCGGCTTGGTGGACACAGAAAGTTCACCTAGGGGAGTTAGAAAACCCTGATTCCAAACCAATGGTGCACATGGGCTGGCTCCAGTATCCTGAGGGAACAAATGGCGTTAACATATACTATTACTCAACTTTATTTCTTTGTAAATGAACTTAACAACTGGATCCATAATGTTGAAAGATTTATTTCTTGGAATGAAATATCAGAGATTATGATGAAGAAGAAGAAGAAGTATAAAAGAAAAAAAACTATAAATTAAAGATCAATAAAGGAAAAACATAGGAATGTTAATATCAGTCAATGGGGCATATATACACCATAGTTGCCTAGTAAAGTGACCTTTAGGAAGAAACAGAAAGAATAATGAAAGATAGTCGGTTATTTTCTCTTTTAAAGCATATTTCATCTATTATGTGTAAAATCTATTCAAATGACATGGACTAACATGAATTATCGTATTTACTATACCGTAGTTTATTTCACTTAAATATCAGTATAGAAGATAAGAAAATAAAGTAATGTATACAAACATGACATTTTGTATACGAATTGATTAACGTACATATCTTTCTTAAGTTCTATCTAAAATTAGTAAGCAATTTTCGTCAGACTTTTTGTATTGTTTGTTTAAATCTTCCCATCGATGTTTAGGACTAAAATTGAATAGTCAGTCTGTTGTTGACGTATATGCATCCTGTACGGATTACCTTGATATTACCTTAAATCACAAGCATTGTAGGAAGAGATGAGTGGTGGCTAGCAGTGGAATCCAGGACATGCATTTCGTCCTATTTGGATTAGTCAGCTGGATGTACGGATATCTCATAGTTGATGTGTCACTCCTTTGCTCGAATCCAGTACCTTCCTTTTAAATTGTCATTCGGTCATCCACTTATCTACTTTGTCCAGATAGCCACTAGCTTGTATAATGTAGTGAAGTTTTTAAGACATTCTTGTATTGGTTTTGTTTTTCGTTTTCCCATTGGCGTTCCAGGCTGCAATTTATCAGTCTCTTATTACTATATGTGCATCCTGTACGGATCGCCTTCATTTATAAGCATTATAAGCAGAGATAGAACTGTAGTGAACAAAAAAACGAGTGGGGAACATCGAATGTATTTGAGCACATAATTACAGACTATCTTACAAAAATTTGACAACCATACAGCAAACAGTTAATTTGTAAACTATCAATCAATCGTCTCAATCTTAACTCTGTTCTTTCTTCAAATATCAGTCCATAGTCTGTGATTATTATTCTATATGCATTTTCATACCAATTGCGTTTTTTTACATTCTTTCGTTATCGATCTTCTACTGAAATACATTCAATGTCCAACCATCGTAATATACTACTTATGTGGATATAAGTAACCCATACCACAGAACCAGTGAACGGCTTAAGAACACTTGACAATTGTTTCATCGAAATCTTCAAGTTTTGTAGCAATCACACTGATTATTGAGTCAGAATTCTATAATTTATACTTTTGTATTCAATTAGTTTCATTTGTCAATCTTTTTGATGTTAATTATCTTGCTGCCTAAAAATCTATCTGTATTGCACAATCTATACACTGGAACTGAATTTTAATTATTATTAGAATTTTGTATTTTTCAATGGGTGGAGAAAACGTTTATTCATTTTATATACACATATAAACATTGGTACAAATATATATGTGTCACACCTCGTCATTCGATTTGTTTGGCGGCTGAAATACTGCCTGGGTGCCCAAACCGTAGCAGTTGGTTTTCTTAGTGATCCACTACCCAAGTTATTGATTTAGATGTCTAATCCACAAGATAGGGAAGCAACGTGTCCATTAACCCGCTTAAAGCGTCGGACATTCGCTTTTGGTCCTCTCAATTCCGTGAATAAAAACCACACCGCGAGAAGGTAGTGAATAAGAGTTCCCTGACAGCAGCTGTAAAAGTATGGCCATGTGAGAGGGATAGCAGACCCTGCTCACCCTCAGCCGTACTAGAACATTCGGGACCATGGAGAGAAAAAAAGGGACAAAATTGTTTTTAATGATGTTTTGCTGCTTAATGTTAAATAAGCCGTATCAAGTGTGATGAAGGAAACTAGAATTTTAAGCGAATGTCGGTGTATATATGGTAATTCAATCAAAGTTCTTCTGTTTGAAGTGATTCTGTGTTATCAAGTGAATGGGTTGATAGTAATATAAATAATAGACACGTGTAGGTTGTTAAATTTGTTGTGTACAAATTCTATAAATGGTATTTGTTAATGTCGTCTAGTCGCCTCCAGGCTGTCCATTGTATTCCGTGCTTACCAGTCATTCACCAGAAGAAAGAGTAAGGGAAAGAGTGGGTAGTCTTGTTTGACTTCGGCCCTCATTTGGAATGTGTCTTTCAGCTGTCCTCCATACACTACTTCGCAATGTACTCCAGATGATGTTGACGATTATCTCAGTTACCCTATAGTGTCGAAGAAGTTTCCACAATGTCGTTCTATCAACACTGTCAAACGACTTCTCATAGTCAGTGAAGTTAATGTATAGTGACGAATTCCATTAAAATGATTGTTCATTGATGATCCGTAGTGTCACGATTATGTCTGTACACGACCGATCCCTACAAATATCCAACCTGTTGATCTCAAAGTTGGAAGTCTACTGACTTTTTCATCCGGTTCAGCAACAATCTGTTGAAAACATTTCCTGGTACTGACAGTAGTGTGATACCTCTTCATTTCTCATATTTGCTCAGATCTTTCTTTGGGACTTCGATAAAGTATCCTTCTTTCCAGTCTGTCAGTAGCACTTCTTCATCCCAAATCTTCCTGAATAACATGTCTGAGCATGTTTGCAGTTACTTCTATGTGTGACTTTAGTTTTTCAACTGGTCTATTGTCATGTCCTACTGTTTTTCCGCTCTTGATTTGTCTGATGACCATCCTGATTTCTTCGATCATTTTTGGAGTGAAATCTACAGGGAGGTTTTTGTGTGTTGCTTCAATGTCTGGTGGATTCAATGGGGCTGGTCCATTCAAGAGTTCCTTGAATTGTTTAACCCATCTGTTCCTCTGTTCTTTCTTGCAATCGATGTTGTCCCATGATATCTTCATACCCGTTGTTGTCCATTGCGACTTTGGAGTTTGGACCTCCCACCAAGATTGTCAGATCTTTTCCTATGATTGTTTGCAGCATCTCGTAAAACTGATCTTTATCATAAGATCAGAGTTACTGGTTTCCAAATCCTCTTTAAGGGAACTTTCACCTTCGCTGCTAATTATTATTCGTTTGGATGGGTCGGTAACGACTTAATGATATTATCATGAACTATCGTCCGATATAGAGCCATTTGAAACCTTAGCAAGTTCTTCAGCTATTCCTGTTACTTTAAGACCCTTCTAAGGTGAAAGAGAACCCTAACGTTTTGAGTTCACCAGCGACCAGTTTATCACGTTAATTTTCAACAAATGATTATTATATATTAACTTTTTCTCAAATAACAATCTTTTAACTCTGCTGGTAATTTATGTCTTTATTACGTTTAAAAATAACCCAAAATTCGATAGGAATATCCTGTTATTTAACTGTTATGAGTAAATGATTATTTGACTTATTTTTGCCTTCAGATAAGTGTTTCTACCATTACTCTCTCCAAAATATACACCTTTACGTTCAACTCAGAATTTCACACAATTTGACAAACAGTGAATAAGCGATATTTTGACCATTTAATATTCGGCAAAAGAAACCTTAATACTCTAGACAATATGACCTTAACATTCTGCACAAAATTCCTAGCACACCGATATTATCGAAATGGTATTTCAGTAAAATAATAACATTAATTTATTATTACGATGATGGTTATAAGCAAAGATGGATAGTGGCTAGTAGTGGAATCCAGTTTGATTCGCGTTTCGTCCTATTTGGGACTCGTCAGCTGAGTGTACCTGCATCTCATAGTTGATGTTTACTCTGAGACTTGAAGCCAGCACCGTTCGCTCCAAACGCCATCGCGTTATCCACTTAGCTACTGAGTCCTGATAGCCACTCGTTTGTGCAATAGGGTGAGTTTTAGATTCACTGGGTTCAAGTCTCAGAGTGAACATCAATTCCGAGATGCAAGTACATCGAGCTGACAAGTCCCAAATAGGACGAAACGCGCGTCAAACTGGATCCCACTGCTAGCCACTATCCATCTTTACTTATAAGATGATAGTTGGTGTAATCATCACAAATAATTAAATTGTAATCTAATGTTTCATTCCTTTTTTTTCTCTAGGTGACTTTATCGGTCCAGCTTTAAGTGAAAAATTTCATTATGCTGATACGCAAAATATTTTACGTTTACCATTTGCATCAGCAGAGAATGTTTTCTTTGAATTAGGTTACAATATGAATTTACTACTATATTTACATGGTGCTGGACATTTACCATATTCAGTATTAGAAAATGGATTGATTTATTGTTCTGTTATATTACAAAAAGGATTCTCATATTTTAATCCAAAAATTGGTGCATTTTCTAATTTTAGAGATCGTTTAGATGAGTAAGTTATGTTTATCATTATATATATATGACACTTATTTACTGAGTGAACAACCTTTGAGCGACGCTGAAGTAATCTTGAGGAATGTTCACCTACAGTACCCATCTACGATTTCGCACGTCGTTTTCATGGTGTCTAACTTCAGTGGCTCAGTAGTCTAGAGTTTAAGTGTCCGCAAAGAGAAGTTGAAGATCTTGTTTTAAGTTCCTGCGTCCATGATTGTGAATGTGCACTTCTTCGTCCTATTGTGGGACTCCTCAGCAGTGCGCATCCACGACCTCGCCTCGCGAGATTCGAACGCAGGACCTACCAATCTTGCGTCAGAGCACTTAACCGACATACCACTGAACCGGCATCTTATGTTGTTTATGTCTAACTCTAACTTTTAAAATACTTAATCTCAACCAAAAACCCCTTCTGATAATAATAATCATAAGCTGACTAGTGACTGACTTCAAGAGGTAAATCCAGGAGTTCTAGTGAGAAGCAGTGACCAGTTGAGTTTAACCACGTCTGTTGTGAGATAGGAACTCACTGAAGACAACCGGTGAGCGGTTGCTCAACTTCGTGGATTGGTTGGAGTTAGACATAAACACCATGGGATGCCGGCTTAGTGGTCTATCGGTTAAGTGCTCTGGTGCGAGACTGGTAGGTCCTGGGTTCGAATCTCGCGAGGTGAGGTCGTGGATGTGCACTGCTGAGGAGTCCCATAATAGGACGAAACGGCCGTCCAGTGCTTCCAGGTTTTCCTTGGTGGACTAGCCTCAATTGACTCACGCTTTCAACTATGAAAATACTAAATCTCCACAAAAACTCCTTCTGATAATAATAATCATAAGCTCACCTACTTACTAGGAATAAATGAGAGCTACAAACCAGTATGACGAATTAAGATTATGACTTACAGTTGATGGTTATGGTGTATTGTCGGTTGATATGATAAACCTGTATTGTCGTGCTTCGTTAATCGTTCACCTCGATAACCTTTATAATACGGTGCATAAAGTCAGAAGGCAAAGAGAATCGGCAGCTACAGTGTTATTGACAAATGACGCGGGCCAGAAAGTTATAAGCACATAAGTGAGCGGAACAAAAATGACACGCATTGGAGATGGGTAAGCCAACTCACTTTAATCAAGCGTTTATTAATATTTATAGTCAGACAAGAATAAGTTACATGTGATGAATAGGACAAGAATTGTACACACACACCTACGCTCATATAAAAAATGGTCAGGGTTAAGAAGTGAATAATTAACAGGGTGAAAACTTTACTCATGATGAATAGGTAAATTGACTTCTCCAAAAGCTAGAATAAGGTGATATGTGGACTTAACATATCGACATTCAACATTACAGTGGTAAGGAGTCATAGTTAAAGCTTTCACCACAAACTAACGACAGTTAAAATGCCGAATCGCTATTCAGCCATATGGGTGAATGAATTTCATGCCAAAATCCGAGACCTGTTATCCTAAATTTGATTGGTTCGTCCATAAATTATAGTCTCGCCATTTACTGTATGTGAACTTAATTCATTCTCCAAGTTAGAACATTTTTAATTGGGTTTTTTTCAAGAAACTTAGTACAAGTAATTGTGAGCAAGGATACCCTTGAATGATTGAAGATGCAATTCAATTATTTCTTTTTTTTCATCTTCTATAAATAAGTTGAATCACAGTTTATACTTCAATAAATATTGTGGGACTCCTCACTAATGCGCATCGATGACCTCGTCTCGCGAGATTCGAACTCAGGACCTACCAGTCTCACACCAGAGCACTTAACCGATAGACCACTAAGCCGGCATCCCATGGTGTTTATGTCTAACTCCAACCAATCCACGAAGTTGAGCAACCGCTCACCGGTTGTCTTCAGTGAGTTCCTATCTCACAACAGACGTGGTTGAACTCAACTGGTCACTGCTTCTCACTAGAACTCCTGGATTTACCTCTTGAAGTCAGTCACTAGTCAGCTTATGATTATTATTATTATCAGAATAGGTTTTTGGTTGAGATTAAGTATTTTCATAGTTGAAAGCGTGAATCAATTGAAGCTAAACCACCAGGGAAAACCTGGAAGCACTGGACGGCCGTTTCGTCTCATTGTGAAACTCTAGGTTTCCCCTGGTACTCTACCTTCAATTGATTCACGCTTTAAACTATGAAAATACTAAATCTCCACAAAAATTCCTTCTCATTCAATAAATATGAAGGTATAGTGTTTCATCATTTAACATTCCTTAGTTATTATTAGGCTAATGATTTTCTACGTCTGTATCTTGTTTTAACAACAGTATATAAAGAAAATCAGACGTGTTTTTCTTCCTTTGAAAAGTTAGATTGAAATTAGTAACCATGGTCATTCCCTAGTGTTTCTTATTAGGGTGCATTCAACACTTACACACATTCAGTTGACCATTCAATAAATATTAATCAATCATTTTTCAAAGATATGATTGGTCAGTACACTTTACACGTTGGAAACTATTTGGTATCATAGTTACAATGTAAATTACAACTGTTCATGTATATACACTTTCGACATGATATTTGTGATAATTGTTAGACAAATATCTTGTTGCCCATGTTGTAGAAAAGATTCATCTAAATCATAGTGTAAGTTAGAAAAACTATGGACCACAAAAGGTAATATGCTTCAGCCAGTAGGAAATACTTATTTACTAGCATCTTTTTTCAACAACGCATCCAGTAAAAAATCAAATGAAATGGGTGAACTGTGTGGTTTGATTATGAAAGTCATAAAAACACAATAAGAATAATAAAGTTGTTAGTCGATCCAAGTTGGATCACCAGTGAAAACCTGAAAACTCTAGATAGGCATTTCGTCCTAGTATAGGACTTCTCAGTGCATGTGCATCCGCGACCCTGCACGCGAGAATTGAAACTATCAAACGCTTACTGACAACGAGACCATTATTTATATTTGATATTAACTGGATAAAAACTCAGGAGTTCTACGAATAAGCTGATTTATCGTCCAATATCTTTCTAAAAACTGTCAGCTAAAACCTTAAAAGAGTTTCTATAATGAACTCTGCTGTCTGACTCAGCTATGAATGTATACACAACACTTAGTCAATTAAGATGAACTGAAAACTACGTACAAATCTCTATCTGCTGTGTAACTACACTTATATCACGTTCCTATTTACAAGTGACCTAAGTAGAGTTTCTTGACAAATAGCATGTTTAAACCACTAGAAGATAACGGGATCAGTTTGAACTACAGTCTTGACATTGATCCCAATATTTTTAAATATCTAAACAACACTGTTTAATTATAAATGACCTCTGCGAACTATTTATAGACTGTTACTATACATACATTTTTAATGCATAACTATTGAAAAACTAGATTATATGTATTTATATTTCTCTTATTATAAGCTTTCATTTGACTTATCATCTGTTTCAATACGATTTACCATCCTTAACTTATTCACGATTTATTAGTTAAAGTCTCTCACTCTGGCTCGAGGCCGGAAGGTCCTGGGTTCGCATCCCGCGAGGCAGGATCGTGAATGCGCACTGCTGAGGAGTCCCACAATAGGATGAAACGTCCGTACAGTGCTTCCAGGTTTTCCATGGTGGTCTAGCTGCAATTGATTCATGATCTCAACTACAAAAATTACTAAAATCTCCACGAAACCCCCTTCTGAATTTGATCTTGTATGATTTTTGTTTTTCATTTTATGGTATCATATGGTCTGGTTTGCTTGTATACAAACCAAATATGTCTGAAATGTGGGATTTATACATTGGAAGCTGAGATTGTATTCTGGATTCAACAGTCAGGGCAAAGCAAGAAGAATCAATAAGGACTCAGAGTTTTTACTCTAGGTTGCTTGTACTGGTGAACGCGTCATTGGTTTGACACAGTGTCATACATGTCAGCGTCTTAATTAACAATTTAGTCACGTGCTAACTAACAGAGAATATGAACATAACAAATTAAACACCCCATATAGTATGTATGTGGATGATGACCTTTAATTAGATGTTTCATTGTAGCTTACCCGATAATACATTTGACATGTTACTTAACGTTTGATTTTACAAGTGTCATACCGTTTCCTGTCTGAAATATAAGTCAATTTAGTAGTTATATAAGAATCAAGAGACGAATGTAGAGAATAAGTAAAATACAAAAATGGAAGGGAGAAAATAATTGTTTGCCAAATTTCTGCTACAAACTCTGCTATACCGATGGCTAAGATGGCGAGAGTGGTTGTACAAACTTATTTTGGATACAAAAGTTCGGTTTGTGATTATGGATTGCGATGGCTTCAGCTATGTACAACGGAAGAGCTCGTAAACCATGCAGCAAATTTGATGGAATATGGTAGATAACTTTAAAAGCTTTATTCAGTTCAACTTGATGACCTGTGTCAACCAAGTGAGCGAGAATAGAACTCTTAATCACTCTTACTTGTCCTTTGCTCAACCACGACGGATGGTGCTCTGTTATTCGTTGACCAAATTGCCGAATTGTATGCCCTATATAACTGACTGAATTGGTAAATATACATAGATGTGGCGAATTCAGGCAATCTGTCTTTATTAACCGTTCTTATTGTGGGGTGGTTGTAGAAGACGATACTCAGTCGAGCTGCAAGAAATGTTTTCTGTACTGCCCTTCTTAACTTCTGTGTCAAGATTTCTTCCGTAGTATCATTTAAGAATTGTAACTTTAGGAACAATGCCTTCTTCGGAGGCTCGTGATGAAAAACTAATTGAAAAGAAGTTTCTTCGCTTCTTCCTTTTTATTTATCAAATGTTAAAATGGGAACTTTCACTATAAGTCAATTTATTAAACAATAAATTAGGAAAATATTAATTCACTGATATGTACTAATTGGATTTGGATCTTTATTATGTTATTCATGATCGGATCAATGAGTTTACGTTGAATGTAAACATTGAAACTGTACAAACTAAATGAGTTTCATCAATTAACAAAAAGTCTTACGTTTTTAACGTAAAAACTCGTCAGGTACATGTTTACTTATGATTTGATGACATAATACTTTCTAATTAACATGAATATGTTCAAGCGATTATGAATTATATATCATAATCACTAAGATGTTAGATAATTAATTTTGACGATAATTACCAAAATCTCCACAAAATCCCCTTGTAATAATGATCATATGCTCATTAGTGACTGGCTCCATGAGGTAATTCCCGGAGTTCTAGTGAGAAGTCGTAGCCATTGAAGCTAATCCATGTCAGATAGAGACAGATATCTACCTCAGTACAATGGAAGTTGGTCGCGCGATTTCGTGGATTGGTTGAGATTAGACATTAATACCACTGGATGCCGACTCAGTGGTCTATCGGTTAAGTGCTCTGGAGCGGGACTAGTGGGTCCTGGGTTCGAATCCCGCGACCCGGGATTGTGGATGCTCACTGCTGAGGAGTCCCACAATAGGACGAAACGGCCATCCAGTGCTTCCAGGTTTTCCATGGTGTTCTTGTTTCAATTGACTCATGATCTGAACTATATAAAATTACTAAAATCTCCACAAAACCCTCTTCTGATAATTACCAAACTATTGGTTTAATAATGTTATCGACTTTGTTACAGAAAGATGAACTGATGCAAAAATCTTTAATCCATTGAATGTCGTCATAAAAGAAAATGAAATTGACGATATTTTTCAGTATGAAGTAGTGCAAATTATTGAATTTTATCAAAATTGGAAACCAATGTAAGCTAGATCAACATTGAAAGCCTGGAAGCAATGGACGGCCGTTTCGTCCTATTCTGGGACTCTTCAGCAGTGCGCATCCACGAACCCGCCTCGCGAGATTCGAACTCAACAATTAATTCACTCAATACTTCAAGTATTGTAAAGAGATTGGATAAGACTATGAGTTACGGACGACTTTTGAACGAAGCTAATATGACCTTAAGAAAGTTTACTTATATATTAGGATCAAAAGACGGTTATCAATTAATGTGAAGAATTAGGATTAGAATTTTTAGGTTAAAGTTAAAGTTAAGATTTTCATCATGAACTGCCATCAGTTATAAGTTCCAAAATACTATTTAGTCATATAGATGAATGAATTTCATACTGGAATCCAATACTTACTATCTTTATCTTGATTTGTCTATCCAAAATTTATAGTCTAGCTAAAAAATTTAAAGTTTTGAACTTATGTACATGTTAGTTACCATAGGTTTACTGAAATAATATTGTAGTTAACAAAACATCGGTTAGGGACAATCGAATGTACTTAAGCAAAATTACAGATTATCTCACTAAATTCTGATAACCATGTCCCCAAATGCCTTGGTACGACCAAGAGTGGGGAGAGTCCGCTCTCCTTCTCGAAATGCTCTCATATGGCCACGCGTATATAGCCTCTCCCGGGGAAGTCCTACTCACTGCTTTCTCGTAGCATTACTGTTACTTACGAAATTCAGAGGACGAAAAGCGAATGACCGGCGCTTTAAACGGGTTAGTGGATACGGAAAGTCTACCTAGGGGAGTTGGAAAACCATGATTCCAAACCAATGGTGCACCTTTAAGTCAAAGGCTTGGGGTGTGTCCTATAAGAAAACCACCTGCTTCATTTTGGGCACCTGGGCAGTATCACAGTCCTCACACAAATTGAATGAGATTTGTACGGCGCATATGTATTCGGTGCCTCTTTGTACCAATATTTATGTGTTCAAATGAAACAAATAATAAATGATAGTTATACAATGAGCAGTTAATTTGCAAAATAACAATCAATTGTCTCAATCTTCACTATTCCTTCTATAAATATCAGTTCATCTTCTCTAATTTCATTGTTCATACATTTTCCTACCATTTGCGCATCATTTTAATTTTTTTCCTTATCGATATTCTGCCAAAATACATTCTATATCAGACTATCACTATATACTACTTATATGGATATAAGTAAACCATACTACAATATTACCGAATTAGTAATAGCTTTAAGGTTGATCACTTGGTTTCATTTTGAACATGTTCTCTTTTTTCTATCTTTGTCATTTGTCATATACAACATTCTTGTTTCGGGGGAGAAAAACTTAATACAATAGTTTGTTGTTGCTTTTTTACACTAAACTATTTACCTATTCAGTTTCTCTTTTTGGTTTCTTTCTTTCGTTCTTTAATCAATAATTAGTGGGTAAGTCTAACTTCCTTTCACATATCGCAATTATATATATATATATATGTTTACACATATTTATTGATTTGTAAATGCCGGTACAAAATTCATGTCTAGTTAAATATTTTCAATTGTTCAAGGTCATTATTACCTGTTACCAAGATTCTAAACTTTAAATGATTGTTTTATGAACCACTTTTTTTTCCATCCCGTTATTATTACAAAATGTAATTCATAGGTTATAGGCTATTCATTATTACTGATGACAAGTATAGTTTTATGTTATTAGAACAGAGAGATGAAAATTTTAGATTGAATCCTAGAGTAGTAAAGATAGTAACAAAATTATTAGTTGAAATTATTAGTTAATTGAAGCTAGGCTACTATTGGAAATCTGTAAGCATTGGACGGTTGTTTCGTCTTAGTATTGGAACTCGTCAACAGTGAAAGAAACAAAAAGTCCTGAGTTCGAGTCCTGCATGTGAGATAGTAAATACACACTATTGAGGAATCACATACTAAGACTAAATGACCGTTCAATGCTTCCAAATTTTTAATAGTAATCTAATTAAAAATCAGTTCATAATGTAAATGATTTAAAAATTCCGAAATTTTCACAAATCTAATACTAATATTAAGGCCATGGTAACGATAATGATAAGATATACTTCTTTTGTACGCATAGTTCTGGTTTGAGCTAATGGATGGTAAGAGAGCTTCGGCTATTTTTAGGAGTTTGATACAAAGAAATCTAAGTAGATTTGAATAGATTATATAAACAACCTTAAAAACAGATTGTGGATTCGTAGAATGATTATAGTCGATTAGGTGTTCAAATACAATAACATATACCAGTTTGGTTCTACAACGGTGAAAAGAAAGCAGTTATAGGAGTTCTATACTTTGAAACTTAATCAACTGTAATCATTTCTACAAATCCCCAGTCTGATTTTAAGGTTGTTTATATGATTCATTCAAATCTATCTATCAAACTCTTAAAAATAGCCGAAGCTCTCTTACCATCCATGAGCTCAAATCAGAACTATGCGTACAAGAGAAGTACGTCTTATCATCATTATTGTTACCATGGCCTTAATATTATTATTAGATTTGTGAAAATTTCGGAATTTTTAAATCATTTACATTATGAACTGATTTTTAGTTAGACCAATATTAAAAATTTGGAAGCATTGAACGGTCATTTAGTCTTAGTATGTGATTCCTCAGTAGTGTGTATTTACTATCTCACATGCAGGACTCGAACTCAGGACTTTTTGTTTCTTTCACTTTTGACGAGTTCCAATACTAGTACGAAACAGTCGTCCCGTTCTTACAGGTTTCCAATGGTAATCTAGATTAGATCGATTCATGAATTCAACCTTGAAAATATCACAAAAACTCCCCGTACAGATAAATGTATGTGAAAAATAAATTTACTTCCCTTTTTGTTCTCTTTTTTTCTATCCTTTCATCTTTAGAACTGATCCATTAGTTACAGCTATTGCATTATGGAGTTTATTATTAACAAGACAAACCCAATGGAATCGTTTAATCTATGTAGATGATAATACATTTGTTAGTATTATTAATTATTTAAAACAAACACAACAATTCGATACATATGATAATGATAATCATAATAATAATAATAATCAAACAATAGTTGATATACGTTTATCTGGTAGTTGGAATATAACTAATACAATAGATAGACGATTTTCTCCAATTATTAATAAAACTAAATGGCCTGATTTAATTGATCAAGAATGTCATCGACGTATACCATCAACAGCTATGGTTATTATTGCATTACGTTCAACTGAACGTACATTACCTAGTGGAGTTGGTGCTGATAAAGCTGAAAGAATTGTATCAGAAGCTGTAAAATTTCTTAGTCGACATATATTAAATATTGATGATTTATTTTCACAAATGATTGGTACATATGCATTAAAAGTAGCTGTGGATGCAACATCACAACATAAAATATCACAGTAAGTATTTATGTATATACTTTTTCTGTTTTGAGAAGATTTATATTGTATGAGATCAGTTTTCCTAGATTTTAAGTTTTGAATAAATAAAACTCACTGTCTCTGGTCTTTTGTGCAATCCATTCATATAAGCAGAGATGAATGATAACTAACAGTGAAGTCCAGGACTCGCGTTTTGTCCTACTTACGACTTGTCAGCTGGATGTACGAGTATCCTAGAGTTAGTTTTCACGTCGGGACTTGGACCAAGGACCGTTCGCTTCAAATGCCATAGTGTTATCCAATTAGCTACTGAGTCCAGTTAGCTACTAGCTTGTACAATGGGTTGAATTTTGATTTTGATTCATATATGCATTGGTTGTTTAAATCTTCCCCATTGATGTTTAGGACTGCGATTGATCAATTTCTTATTGGAATATGTGCATCCTGTGCAGATAGTCTCGATATTGTCTCAAATCATAAGTATTGTAAGCTGAGATTATGGTGACTGGCAGTGAGATCCAGGATGCGCGCTTTTCGTCCTATTCCAATAAGAGACTGGTCGATTGCAGTCCTAAACGTTAATGGGAAGACTCAAACAATCAATAGAAGATGAATTCACTTTTATGTTAAATTTTCGAATTTAACAAGAATAATACACATAGCTATAAAGCATCATAATATGACTGTAACAGTATTTGCATCAATTCGACAATTTTATCTTATTGGATAATAATATGGTGGTGTTAAAGTACCGAAGAACTGTCACTTGTGTTTTAGTAACAAGTAGATTGCAGTGTTCGAACTTTGGGGAATGCTAGAACTTCGAAACCGTAGTCTGTGTTATTCAGTATTATTTTAAAACGTGTCGTCTACAACTGAATGATTAGTTACACTTTCAAGAGAGACAGAGAGATCAAGTGTATATCGGAGTCAATAATAATAATACTTAATATTAATTGAAATGATGGTGGCTAGCAGTGGGATCCAGGACGCACGTTCTATTTGGCACTTGTCAGTTGGATGTCCTTAAATCCCAGAGTTGCTAGTGACTTAAGGCAATATCGAGGCATTCCGCACAGGATGCGCATATACCAATAAGAGGCTGATCAATTGCAGTCCTAAACATCAATAGGAAGATTCCAGCAACCAATCCAAAAAGGAATTGTTATTACCGTAAATGACTAACACGATGACTAGTCTTGGTTCAAAATCCTCCTAAATTACTGTCCCTCAGCAAAATCAAAACAAGAACTTAAAATCCTCCTAATAAACAGAGAATATGTTTAATGTAAAATCATTTTTAAAATATTTATGCACATTACTTTTCATTAAAAGTATTATTTATAATTAGTAATTATGTACATTATTTTGAATTCACTTAGTATTGTTTGTTTGAATCTTCCCATCGATGGTTAGGACTGCAACTGGTCAGTCTCTAATTGGCTTATGTGCATACTGTGCGTATCGCCTCGATATAGCCTTAATTCACAAGTATTGTAAGCAAAGGTGGATAGTGGCTAGCAGTGGAATCCAGTTTGACGCGCGTTTCGTCCTATCTGGGACTCGTTAGTTCAATGTACTTGCATTTCAGAATTGATGTTCACTCTAGGACTCGAACCCAGTGAATCTAAACGTCACCCCATTGCACAAGCAAGTGGCTATCTGGACTCAGTAGCTGAGTGGATAACGCGATGGGGTTTGAAGCGAAAGGTACTGGGTTCGAGTCCCAGAGTGAACATCAACTCTGAGATGCAAGTACATCCAGCTGACAAGTTGCAAATAGGACGAAACGCGCGTCCTGGATTGCACTGCTAGCCACTATCCATCTTTGCTTACAATACATTGAGTTAATAAAGAGTTAAGTATCTTACCGTTGTAGTTACATGTAGAAATAGTTTGTATGCGTACACATTATTGAATACTTATTAAAACAACATGGTTATGTATAGTCTTGAATGAATGTTTCCATTATATGACTTGCTCACTTAATTATTTTTTTATCTTCAATATCGTCTTTCTTTTCAGTGCATTAAAACGAATCCAAGCATTTCGTCAAAAAGGTGATTATGTCTATTATGCAAATTATAGAATACCTCCACCAAAATGGGAATTAGATCAAGCTGGTAGACGTATTGAAAATCCTCGACTAGAAATGCCTAATGATGGTTATGGTGTTTTATGTTCAAGTATTTATTTCTTATTAAAACATGAATTAGGTGAATGGTCATTTCGTTCATCTGAAGCATTAGATATGGTTCATTGGTTAGCTAGTGAACGAAATCATGTAGCTGGATTTGCAAGTACTTTCGTAAGTTAAAATTTAGTGAGATTGAAGAATCTATCAACTTGTTAGTATTTTCTATTACCTATATATTCTGGTATATGTGTTTTGTAGTTATAGGTTGTATGTTGTAAGTTGACTTTTTTGGTAATGAATACCTTTTCGACAGTTAGAATGAGTCATGTAGATAGGTTTAGAATATCTAGTTGGGGTCTGCACCACCGTTGTAAACAACTTCAAACAATTTGGTTCAGAATCGTTCGTGACGACGCATGTGCATTCACTCTATCTTTTACTTATTTCTTGAATCTCGAAATCTCCTCATATCTTTTTGTTTCTTTTTTCTCACAACTAGTCTTTTCTACTACTAGTAGTGTAGTGTGTGCCACTGATGTTGACAGATATAAGTAGTATGTGTCATCAATCAAAAGTGAAATGCCTGGAGGGCGAAGGTTAAGAAGATCGAAGAAAGAGAACAAGAGCAAAAAATGATCTGTATGGAAACGAAAGAACAATGAAGTCTGATACGACTGACTGATATTTCCAAAAGGAAACAGTCGAGTTTGAGACAATTGATTGACATTTTGGAAATTAAGTATTTACTGTATGGTTCTCAGATTTTACTAAGAGATTCTTTAATTTTGTGTTCAAATGCATTTGATTGTCCCCACTTATGTTCTTCTTCACTACAGTAGTACTAATACTACTATTGCCTTTACTACTCTAGGATTTGTCTTGATAATCTTTATCTTACTGTACTAGTGTGGTGTGGCATCTTAAACCGGTGCATATATGTGTCAGGTTCTGCGTTGAATATAACTGACTGACTTCAATAGATGAAACATAAATTACACTCTTTCTACCAGTCCTTTTCGACCATTCGAAATTAGTTGTTTTTTTTATGAAACTTATGTCTTTCGCTAACACAAAAAAAAAACAAAGTGTCGTTAGCTATCTCCCTTCAAATACCTCTTTTTACTTACTTTCCATATCAAGCCCACGGCTTACCAGTCTGATTGTGACCAAATGTCCATTTGTTGTGAACAGAACACTGGTTGGGGACAATCGAATGTATTTAAGCAAAGATTACAGACTATCTCAGTAAATTCTGATTACCAAACAATGAACAGTCAATTTACAAATTAACAACCAATTGTTTCAATCTTCACTGTTTCTTCTCTTATTCCATTGCTCATGCATTTTCCAAACGATTGCGCTTCATTTCAGTTCTTTACTCATTGATCTTGAGCCAAAATACATTCTATGTCTGACCTACAGCATATTACTACTTATATAGATATAAGTAGACAACACCACACTCGTCCCCCCTTTAAAGCATTCGTTCATACGGTGGTTCTGCTCGCCACGCCACTATCTTCTTTCACTGCAGTCTGTGCCCAAAACTCCGTCAGAATGTCGAGTCTGCGGCGCGCTGACCTGAATAGCTCCGTCGACTTGCCTGGGCACCAACATCCGCATCCACCCGGCACCTGGGACGTTCAACACCCGTACTCCACCGGCCTGCTGAGCCATCTACATCCGATGTCCGCCCAGCAGCCGCACGTCCCACTGCTCCTCTCCGTCGACAGCACCGCTATAGCCAACGCCGCTCCGCCAGAACACTCCACTCGACGCCACCCCTCCGCACCAGACTGCCCCAACTAGCACTTCTACTCCAGACCCGCAGCGGCGTCCGCAGAACAGCACTCTTCCTCCTCCCGGTTGGCAGCGACACCAAATGTTGTGAACAGAACACTGGTTGGGGACAATCGAATGTATTAAAGCAAAAATTACAGACTATCTCAGTAAATTCTGATTACCAAACAATGAACAGTCAATTTGCAAATTAACAACCAATTGTTTCAATCTTCACTGTTTCTTTTCTTATTCCATTGCTCATGTATTTTCCAAACGATTGCGCTTCATTTCAGTTCTTTACTCATCGGTCTTCTGCCAAAATACATTCTATGTCTGCGCGTGTCAAACTTAATTTATCCATTAAAACCAATTAGAACATGTCTAATATTCAATTTGTAATTTCATAATAAATCATCTATCATTATTGAAATGTATTCATAATCAAATAATTTACTGTATAATGGATAATATATATCCTTTTTACATTAGGAAAATATCCTTTTTGCATACCATCTACCATTATGTAAGTATATTCTATTTCTAAGGCTTTTAAATTGTTAACAACTGTTTCTTACATTAAGTTAAAGTATTTTAACACCATCACTATATTCATTCAGTTTTTTCTTAATTCCAACTTCATGATTTAATAGAAACATATTGAATTAAACTGAAATTATTACCGGTTTTAATTATTAGATTGTAGTAATATGTAGGTGAAATTAGCTTCGTTAGGTGATTCTTGAAATTTGAGTGAGAAACTGTAACCAGTGGAATTCAACCGTAATAATGAAAGATGGTCGTTCAATACCGTGGATTGGTTGAAATAAGATATTAACACCGTTGGATCCCGGCTCAATGGTTTAGAGGTTAAGCGTTCATGCGGTAGACTTAATGTCCTAGGTCCTAATCCTGCATGCGTGATCGGGGATACACACTGCTCAAGAGTTTCGTATTAAGACGAAACAGCCGTTCAGTAATTCAAGGTTTATAATGGTGGTCTAACAGTGATTGATTCATTATTTCAATCAAAACTCAACAATCCACACAACCCTATATTGCAAATTATCTTCATCTAAAGATGAATTCAATATTAAAATTTATCGATATTAAAGAATACTCAAATAAAATGTGTATAATGATCCTAAGATGCTTGAAACAGCTAGTGGTATTGATGTGTGGGCGAGAATGATAATGATTGGTTGTCTCGATGAGTCAGACATTAGAGGGGATGACAGGTGTTATATGTGTTATATATATTCCCCTATCATTATTATGTATTGACTGTTTCTTGTTGATGGACACTTATTGATTGACTGTTCTTTGTGTCGGATTTTGGTGTGGAAATATATTAACGTTATAGTCAGGCTAATCTTGTGTTCTTGATCTGATTTCTGTTGAAGTCCTGTAGAATAGACACTGGGTGGGAATCTAGTGTAGATATTCGTCTAAGATAAATTAACGTCCCATATAAGTGTAAGAAGTAAAAGGACTGTTATAACAAGAACCCCTACTGTTATAACCAGCATCCTCTCCTTTACGTTTATAACAATTAGCGACGGCATACTTACGTTATAACAGGTATATTTGGAGAAAACCTTACAACTCAATTAACAAAAACCTGGCTACATTTATAAAGTAGTGAATAGGGCTGAACTTTTCTTTTAATGATTAGTAAATATTTTCAGTTTGGAGCCATTCACTAAAATACCTTTAAGTAAGAAGTCGTGATTGCTGGTTTTTATTGATAATTGATATTGTAGTGAGCAGAACACCAGTTGGGGACAATTGAATGTATTTAAGCACAAATTACAGACTATCTCACTAAGATCTGATAAGCATACAACAAACAGTTAATTTGCAAAATAACAATCAATTGTCTCAATCTTCACTGTTCCTTCTATAAATATCAGTTCATCTTCTCTAATTTAATTGTTTATGCATTTTCCTACCAATTGCGCTTTATTTTAGTTCTTTTCTTATCGGTCTTCTGCCCAAATACATTCTATGTCAGACCACCACTATATACTACTTATGTGGATATAAGTAGACCATAGTACACCGTGGTTTTAATATTTGGATGTACACAGCCTATTTAACGCATTTGATTATGCGATAGATAATCTATTGATATGATACATGTTTTCTTCTCATATTAACAGGAGCTCTTTTCCTTGTTGTATTCCATTATATATCTCTGTTGCTATCAGCTTATTGACTTATAAATGTAGTATAATCAGTGATCAAAATAATATACTACTTACTGATACTGTCCGAAAGAACTCAGTTATAACTAGATTAGATCATTGGTTTAGAAGAAATTTGGTTTAAATTTTAAAAAAGCATAATTTTTAAAAAGTAAATGTTAAACTTTATTGGTTTCATATGGTTGTGATCGAAGTCTTCACGAGGAATTACACAGTAGCTTGGTAAAATATCAAAGTTATGCATTAAATAAATCATTTACACATCTTCCATCATTTGTCCTTTACCTACTCTATTGAACCTCTAATTCTGTTTTTATTAAGATTCCATTCCGATTTCATTCCTGTTCTATACAATTCACGTTTTTACTGCCAAGTATTCAACTCCTGACTGAGGCTACATACTAGTTATATCTGTTAACATAAATAGCATATACCACAATATTATCTATGTTAATCAGAAGGGGTTTTGTGGAGATTTCAGCACTTTTCAAAGTTGAAATCATGAGTCAATTCAAGCTAGATCACCATGGAAAACCTGGAAGCACTGGACGGCCGTTTCGTTCTATTATGGGACTCCTCGACAGTGCGCATCCAAGATCCCGCACTCACGAGATTCGAACCCTCATGACTCATGATTTCAACTTTGAAAAATACTGAAACCTCCACAAAACCCCTTCTGATTACAATCATTTTCTCACTATTGACTGACTTCAAGATACATGTCCTGGAGTTCTAGTGAGAAGCAGTAACCAGTAGAGTTCAAAACCACGTCTGTTGTGAGATAACAACTCACTGAAGACAATTGGTTAATGGTTGCTCAAAATTCGTGGGTTGGTTGAAGTTAGACATTAACACCGTCGGATGCCGGATCAGTAGTCTATCGATTAAGTGCTCTGGTGCGAGACTAGCAGGTCCTGGGTTCGAATCTCGCTCGCGAGGCTGGATCGTGGATGCGCACTGTTGAGGAGTCCCATAATAGGATGAAACAGCCGTTCAGTTCTTCCAGGTTTTCAATGGTGGTCTAGCTTTAATTGACTCATGATTTCAACTTTGAAAATTCTATGTTAATGTTTAAAAACCATTTGTCATTTGATAAGTTGTAAATTAATTTAATTTATTGAATTCCCTTTTACTTTTTTGTCGAATAGGATTCACTTTTTGCAATGCATGCATTAAGAAAATTTGCATTGGCTGATACAAATCGTGCATTATATCGAATGGCTATAGATGAGAAAATTTCTTCAATGAGTACATGGACAAATCGTATTTATATAGATACTCATAATTATTCAACGGTTACACATACAACGGTAATAAAGTTGTTTTGTTTTGTTTTTCTCATTTAAACTTCAGTTTGATCTAAAATAGTTGATTGTTCTTGATTACAAATTTTAATAATACAGTTGTAGGGCATGCTACTTATACTAATAGATATAATTAGTATGGGTGAGACTATAATTTATGGACGACCTTTGAGCAACGCTAAAATAACCTTGAAAATGTCACCTACTTACTAGGGTTAACTGAGGATTATAAGTTAGTGCGAGAAACTAGGATTAGGATTTATAATTAAACGTTAGGGTTTTCATCAGCTATAATACCAAAATGGTATTTAGCCAAATGAGTGGATGAATCTCACGGCAAAATCTGAGACATGCTATCTTAAATCTGATTGGCTCGTCCATAAATTATAGTCTCGCCTGTAGTATGTAGCACCAATCGGAAGTGGGACACGCAGCATCAGAAGATTACAATGAAGAGAACAGGAAGGTATTCTGAGAACATCAATAAATTGATCCTCCCCACCAAGTTCCCATTCATTCAAGAACTATTGTTATCTTTAAGAGTTTTAAGCAAAGAAATTGAATAACTTCAACATAAGTATGTGCATTTCAGTACGCTCTATATTCATGAGATCTATACGCATTCTAAGATAACATGTGATCTGTAACTGAAAACGACTGTAAATTGACAAAAAACACTGAATGTTACTTACACGAACTTGCATTTCAAATCAACTTAATATTGCCCCCAAATGCCCTGGTACGGCCGAGAGTGGTGAGAGTCCGCTCTCCCTCTCGAAATACTCTCACATGGCCACTCCTATATAGCCTCTGTCAGGGAAGTCCTACTCACTGCATTCTCGTGGCGGGGGTGTTGGTTACGAAATTGAAAAGACGAAAAGCGAATGTCCGACGATTTAACCGGGTCGATGGACACGGCGAGTCCATCTAGGGGAGTTGGAAAACCCTGATTCCAAACCAATGGTGCACATGGGCTCCAGTATCCTGAAGGAACAAATGGCGTATGAATCAATTGTTTGTCACCGGCTACCATGGAACTGAATCTCCTCACGATGCTCCACTGCCTTGTGGATTAGATCTTTAGGTCAAAGGCTCCGGGTGTGACCCTCTAAGAAAATCACCTGTTTCGGTTTGGGCACCCTGACAGTATCACAGCCCTCGCACAAATCAAATGAGATTTGTGTGTATGTATGTATCTGGTTCCCCTTTGTACCAATATTTATGTGCTTAAATAAATAAATAAATAAATCCAACTCTATGGTACATTTATTATCTGAAATCCTGAAGAGAGCATTATGTTAAGGTGCAAAATCCCATTGATTTTCTTGGATTTAAACTCTTTCAAGCTGACTATAACTTGCTAAACTTTATACTGTTGCCAAAAGTGATCTTTTATAGTATGTCTTCATTGTATTGTGATGAATGTAGAACTTTAAACTTTTCAGTTATCCTAATACCAACATCATTATTTAACACTTGCAATGTAGTACAGTACCACTGGGAGAGGCCAAAAAGCAGTGAGGGATTTTTTGTAGTCTTCATTTCAATTCTTGGCTTTTTATTTTAGTTCTTTTATAAATTATATTACTCTGATCGAATATTTTGCTTTTGAATGATACTATGAATTTGTAATTGTATATTCAGTGAGTTGATCACTGATTCTACTAGAAAAATCTATTCAATCAGGATTGAAATGTTGGTTTCATGAAGAAATTACTTGTTTGATAATATCAGTCATTTTAATAACCTCACCGATCGATTTTATTATTATGAAAAAGAATTTTGTTCGATAATCTGATGACATCCACCGATTATAAACAGAAAAATTGAAGAAGCCAGAAATTTGGACAAAACAGATATTCCATCCCTTTCTAGAATTTGTATTTACTTTTCCAGTATTATTTTAGTGGGTGCTTCTTATGTCGACATAAGTAGTATATAACGATAGTCAGGATTAGCATTTCTGGCACCAGAAACCATTAGTATGGAAGTAAAGGAACAGTGAAATTTGAGACGATTTATTGACATTTGCAAAGCAACAGTCAAGTTTGAGACAATTTTGCAAATGAAGTATTTACTGTATGATTCTCAGATTTTACTAAAACATTCTGTAATTTTGTGTTCAAATATCAGAAGGGGTTTTGTGGAGATTTTAGTAATTTTATAGTTGAATTTCTGAGTCAATTGAAGCTAGATCCAACGACCGTTGGATGCAGGCTCAGTAATCTAGAGGTTAAGCGCTAGCGCGCGAGACTGATAGGTCCTGGGTTCGAATCACGCGAGGCGGGATCGTGGATGCACACTGCTGAAGAGTTCCACGATAGAACGAAGCTGCCGTCCAGTGCTTCCAGGTTTTCCACGGTGTTCAAATACATTTGATTATCCCCACTTGTGTCCTCGTTCATTACATTATCATTAGTTCATCTTTAAACTTGATAATTTTTCCCATTAAAATAAGAAATTGAATTATTTAATAAAAATATGTGTGAATTTTATTTTCATAGTTGAAATCATGAGTCGATTGAAGCTAGACCACCATGGAAAACGTGGAAGCACTGGACGGCCGTTTTGTTCTATTATGGGACTTCTCAGCAGTGCGCATCCACGACCTCGCCTCGCGAGATTCGAACCCAGGACGAAACGGCCGTCCAGTGCTTCCATGTTTTCCATGGTGGTTTAGCTTCAACCGACTCAAGCTTCTAACTATGAAAATACTAAATCTCCACAAAAAACCCCTTCTGAATTTTACTTATTACAAATAATAACAGTAATTAAAAATATCCAATTTATTTCAAACATATTCTATCTCGTTTTTTTGTTTTGTACAACAGTTTCCACCAGATAACGTATGGGGTGATATTACAATGAAATTAGAAGGTACTGGACGTGTTCTATTACAATTAGATGCAGAAGTCAATGTAGAATATAAAGAAATGCAAAAAATGCCTAAGAATCCACTAGATACAGAACAAGTTTATAGAAGTTTTGAAATTGAATGTACACCGGGTTTTTTAAGTCGTAATAATTCTATTATGATTATGACTGCATGTGGAAGATGGGTTGGAACTACGGTAAATTTAAAATAAACTTTATATTCTTTTCGTCTATATTAATTGGGTTTTGTTTTTTTTGTTTTTTAACTTACTTACGCATGTTACCCCTCGTGGAGGAGCATAGGCCGCCCACCAGTAATTGAAGTGGAGATGCTTGCTAAGGAACTCTCCGGGCGGCGTGCTTCAACATCTAGGCTACCTGTTCCTGACATCTAGATATTTCAACAAGTTATCTGCTTTTTTTATTTTAACACATTATATTTATTAATCACATAATCTATCCAGGCATGTCTATGAGAAGTTTACGACCTTTCAGTGTACAAGTCCCAAAACACCCCAATCGGAGACATCATGGTTGCTCGCAATATGCGTCGAAAAGAATGAACATTATTCAAATTTCGATTCTTGAACTACTAACATCTGACTGGCGGCTACTGAATAAATAAAACGAAACCTGTTGAAACATTTTATGCTGAGAATTCTATATTGTGCCAAAAATATAATATTAAATAAAGCCATTATTAATAATAAAAATAATAGTAATATAAGTAAAGACGGATAATGGCTAGCAGTGGAATCCAGTTTGACGCGCGTTTCGTCCTATTCGGGACTCGTCAGCTGGATGTACCTTTATCTTAGAGTTGGTGTTCACTATGGGACTCAAACCCAGTACCTTTCACTTCAAACGCCATCGCGTTATCCACTCAGCTACTGAGTCCTGTTAGCCACTTGCTTGTGCAATGGGGTGAAGTTTGAATTCACTTAGCATTGTTTGTTTATGACGTTTGTGAATTAAGGCTATATCGAGGCAATACGCACAGTATGCACATATGCCAATTAGAGACTGACTAGTTGCAGTCCTAAGCATCAATGGGAAGATTCAAACAGTCAGTACTAAGTGAATAATAGTAATAATTACAGGATTTACGCTAATTTACAGGCATAATTAATTTGATACAGAAATGAACATTACATTTCAAAGGACAAAGATATGAGGTTAAATTGTTGGGAATGATATGGTTCGTAAATTATTTAGAAATAACATTTATCATAAGCATTAAAGCAATATTCGACAGGATTTGGGAACCATTAGTCCTTAGTAGGAGGAGGACTAGGATATCCTGTTGATGTATAATTAGTATCAGTCAGTCAGTCACAACGTAGAACTTCGTACGTACGTACATCAGTTTGAGTTGCCATACCACATTAGCACAGAGATGCAGTTGTCGATTCAAATCATATAGTGGTAGAAGTAGTCAGAGTATAAGCATTATGTGAAAGATTAGGGTTTGAAGATGTTACTGAAGGAATATAATCCAGTGAAATAAATTTGGAAGGAGAAAAAAGATAGAGACATGAAGAACTCGGAAGATTAGAATTTGGCAGAACACAAAGAGTGGATGCACCTTCGCCATTGCAAACGATTTTGAGCCATGTCATTCAAGGTCTCTAACCATAGGTTGTTATCGTCTCGCGAATCCCAACCAGGTAGTCTACACTTACCTACCAACATGGCTCAGTCCAATTGTCAGTGACTTCATGGATTTGTGCCACGTTTTCGTCTGACCACTCCTAGCTTTCTTCAAACCTACTCCTACACCATGAAACATTGCACGTCGTTGCAGTCGGGGTTTGGGCATACGTAACACATGTCCCAGCCATCTCAAATGATGAAGTATATCGAGAATCATTTCTACTGATATTACAAATAAATTGTAGTCATCTACAACTAGAGAAAAAATATATGAACAGAGAGTGTGTAATAACAACATCAAAAGTTACTGTAATAGTTTAATTAAGTACCAAGTTCTTTTACGACTTGCTGATTTAGATAGGTATTATGTAAATCACTCAAATTAACTTGTGAAAGTGTGAATGTTAAAATATCCAAAGGAAAGTAAAGTGGTTAATTATGCTCAGTAATAATAATGAATACACATTTAATGTTCTTATAATTCCAATAACGGAACGAGATGCATTCAGAGGCGTAATTACTTCTAAGACTTTCAAAGTGAACATCGATAAAGTGATTTTATTTCCCCAACAGATTGCAGCAAATTATTCCAGGAACTCAAAAGTGTACTCACAAAATGATTCATTTAGATAGAAGATTTCGAATGAGACAGTTTCACAATTGACGGAGTTACAAGTGTTTTAATTGCCTCTATTTATTGGTTTGCACCAGAGGATGTAAAAGATATTTTGCTTAGTATTTTGAAGAAGATTAAATTTAGTTTAGACCTATGCTTCTATAAAAGGTCCAGTCCCTGTTTAGTTCATCTGTATTTCTAGTTTAAGGTGAAATAATCCCCAAGACTACCTGATGTAAATTGTCGCTCGGCGGATTCCGATATCAGTTTGTTCTTTATGCAAACAGTGATCAGAATGCAAATGCAACATACAAAGAGTGGATGGACACATATTTTTTACATCAAAATACCTGAATCATTTTCATAGAGGTGATGAAGTATACAGCGTAAAAGGTGTTGAGACTTGGAAGTTTGTTTTAAGACCTGTTGTAAGAAGGACAAATTATGTGAATACCTGAGTCCTAAATCCACCATTTTATGAATTCTAAATAACACCTTATCATTTATGCTGAAATCTATGTTGAGAAAAAAACTACTCAAGCAATGCTATGCAAATTTAGCAGTGCCAAGTTTCAAACTCCATTTTGAACAAAACTAGGTGATCTTATTGAGCCAAATACTGACACAGTTTCCCATATGGTTCAGCTCAGGAAAGCAAAACGAATAAATCATTTAAATGTCATCTACACAAAAAACAGGCATTACCAACTGGATTTTATTGTTTGTTCAAGCTTTAAATTACAAAGGACCTAGGATACTAACTTGTATTATCCTACTTGTGACCGGAATGGGTGGTGGTAAGGAGTTTATTTTAACTATTTCATGTCGGTAAATGAGAAAAAAATCAAGACAAGTAACCAAGGGTGATTATACCTTAAATTAATGCGAGTTCATTCCAAAGAAACGAGACTTCAATTTACGGTTCAGTTGGCTAGTTTTGCTAGAATTAAAGAGAATTTATCTCTGCTTGAATATATAAAACAGTGATCAAGATCTTGATCAAGATTTGATTAAACTAATCCTTGTCAAATATTTGCTCTTGCTCTTTTCAAATAGGATAAAGGAAATATTATGCATAAAACTTCAAGATGTACATAGCCTTTAACATTATGTAATCTGAATGTACCTGACTCATTCCTTTGTGTAGTCAAGTATAATTTGAACACACTAACTTTATTTTTTATTAGTCTAAGACTGAAATCAGAAGTGGTTTTGTGGAGATTTCAGTATTTTCGTAGTTGAAATCATGAGTCAACTGAAGCTAGACCAACATGGAAAACCTGGAAGCACTGGATGGCCGTTTCGTCCTATTATGAGACTTCTAGACAGTGCGCAGCCACGATCCCGCCTCGCGAGATCCGACAGGTTTCAAGACACATGTCCTAGAGTTCTAGTGGGAAGCAGTGACCAGTGGAGTTCAAACCACGTCTGTTGTGAGATAGGAACTCACTGAAGACAATTGGTGAACGGTCGTTCAGCTTCGTGGATTGGTTGAGGTTAGACATTAACACTGTTGGATGCCGGCTCAGTGGTCTATCGGTTAAGTGCTCTACCGCGAGACTGGTAGGTTCTGGGTTCGAATCTCGCGTGGTGAGGTCGTGGATGCGCACTGGTGAGGAGTCCAACGATAGGACCAAACGGCCGTCCAATGCTTCCAGGTTTTCCATGGTGGTGTAACTTCAATTGACTCATGCTTTCAGCTAAGGCTGAAAAATAAAAATTCATTCAGTATCAAAAGTAAAGAATGATAAAGCTGACTCTAAACAAGTTTTTAAACGTTGTCTGCTATTTCCATATACAACGCTTGTAAGTAACTAAACACCAATTCTCTGGAATTTTTATATTATCTTAAAATGATCCTATGTAGTTGAATAAAATTTTTATTTACCAAATAGATTCAAAATTAATTTCTTTTAAAAGTTTATTCTTCTTAATTTCTATCTAAAGGGTATTGAACCATTACCTCAAAGTGGAATGGCTGTATTTGAAATTGGACTGCCTACAGGTTTTATAGTTTTAAATGATGATCTAAGACGATATGTGAATAGTCTTATGGTTCCAAATCTACGATATGCACGTGCCAATTCTAGATATGTACATTTCTTTTTTGATACAGTAAGTAGTGAATTAATAAACTAGATATTCATTAAAACTTTTCGGTGAGACTATAATTTATGGACGACGACCTTTGAGCGATGCCTTTAGGATGTCTACCTACCTACTGGGGATAAATGAGGGTTATAAAGTAGTGTGAAGAATACGGATTATGAATTTCAGTTGATGGTTAGGGTGAGGAATTAGACTTATGATTTTCATCACGAACTGACATCAATTATAATGCTAAAACTCTACTCAGTCAATGGGTGATTTGATATGTTATCTTAGATCAGATTGTTTGTGGAGATTTTTAGTAATTTTTATACATAGTTGAAATCATGAGTCAATTGAAGCTGGACCACCATGGAAAACCTGGAAGCACTGGACAACCGTTGTGGGAGATATTTCCTGGAATTCTAGTGAGAAGTAGTGACCAGTGGAGTTCAACCAGGTCTGTTGGGAGATATCAACTCACTGAAGATATTGGTGGTTGGTTGCTTAACTTCGTGGATTGGTTGAATTGTGGCATTGACATCGTTGGATACCGGCTAAGTGGTTCTAGGGGTTAAGTGCTCTTGCGCGAGACTGGTAGGTCCTGGGTTCGAATCTCGCTCGCGAGGCGGGATCGTGGATGCGCACTGCTGAGGAGTCCCACAATAGGACAAAACGGCCATCCAGTGCTTCCAGGTTTTCCATGGTGGTTTAGCTTCAATTGACTCATGATTTCAACTATATATAAACATTAAATCAGATTGGTTAGTCCATAAATTATAGTTTTCCCAAATTTTCTTATTCAATAGAATCTTTAGTAATGGAAGTTTTAAATTAATTTTGATTCTTGAATACTTGTCGTTGAAATTAGATGATACAAATACCTTTTTTCCCGCCTAACTAACTGTTCCAAAGAATATGTATATGGTAAGCTTGAAAATGATTATTCATTTCTATATTCATGTTGCCAGTACCTTTTCATGACATTTATTTTAATGGTTAGTAAGAACTTGATATATTTAGAAAAACATATAACTTTGTGCATGATGTTATATGTTATGTGTTACCCAAGCCAGGGTAAAGGAGGAGGGTTGGACATGGGGTTAGCAACCCCGTCCCGTAGAAAACCAACTCGCTAAAAAAACGCTAACCAGAAAAAAATGTATCTGATTATCAGTAATATTATTTGATAAACCAGTTATTTTATTCATTTCTTTATTGTTGTTTGTTCGAATATTCTCCATTAATTTTAAGGACTGTAATTGACTAGTCTCTTATTGGGATATGTGTATTCTGTACGGATTACCTCGATATTGCCTTAAGTCACAAGCATTCTAAACAGAGATGGACGGTGGCTAGTAGTGGAATCCAGGACATGCATTTCTTCCTATTTAGAACACTTTAACTGGATGTACCTGTATTCCAGAGTTGGTGTTTGCATATGCCAGTAAAAGACTGATCAATTGCAATCCTAACCATCAATAGGAAGACTCAAACAAACAATAGAAAATGAATTTAAACTTCACCTCATTGTACAAGCTAGTGGCTATCTGGACTCAGTAACTACGTGGATGACACGATAGCATTTGAGGCGAACGGTACTGTGTTCGAGTCCCTAAGTGAATGTCAACTTTGGAATGCAGGCGCATCCAGCTGACGAGTCCCAAATGGGATGAAATGCGAATCCTGTATTCCACGGCTAGCCACCATCCATCTACTTCATTGTATAACTAGAACTGTTGTAGAATAATAAAATTTAAAAAGATTTTGACACGTAAGCTCTATAGTCTTCTAGTTGTTCATGAAGATAGCACACCAGTATGATCAAATCTCGTTATGTACAACTAGTTTTGGCATTAAAATGAATGGGATAAGTTGTTAGAGACCTGTTTCAATTTTTTGTGGCCCTCGAGTATCTGACTCCAATTGAATCGGACGGATTTAGTTTTATTTATTTATTTATTTAATCACATACATATTAGTACAAAGGGCACCGGATACATATGCGCCACGCAAAATAATGAGAATAGGAAGAGAAAGTGGGGAGATGCGTATATATAGAGGAAGGAAAAAAAAGAAAAGAGTAACGATGGGGGGAACTGAAATGTACAACCGGATCGAACAGATGATCACTATCAAATGATTGCTGTTGAAATATGTATCCCAGCTACCCTTGTATATAATTATCAACTTAAATCGCGTTGATGAATAATGGAATTAAATAAGTCAAATACGAGAATGTTTTTTGAATACATTTATTCCATGCAATTATTAGTCCAGACGGATGACCAAAGAAACGAAATGATGGGCGGTGGAGAAGGCATGTCAACCAACTCGATTCAACCAAGCGTAGATTGATACTTATAGTCAGACAAAATTAAGTTACAGACATGTGATGAGTAGGATAAGAAGTGTACGCACATACACTTACATAAAAACAGTTAAGTTTAATAAGCGAATAAATGACAGGGTAGAAATGTGACTCAAGTAGAGTGGATAAATTGGCCTCTCTGGAAGCTGGAATAAGCTATATGGGCTTGACATAGCAACCGATTCTACAAATTCTTTGATCTAAAACCTGGTAGGTTTAAAACGAATTTTAATTTTGGTTACTTGTCTCGCAAATCTCTATGGTAGCATAGAGATACCCTAGATACTGTATGAAATCTACGTTATGATTGTCTATCTGACTGGTTTCAGTAGATCAAAAATTTCACCATCTTTGTTTGTTTTTTTTTGTTATTAACTTACATATCAGATTACACCGGATAAAACATGCATACAATTTACAGCTGAACGTTATTATCCAGTGGCAAATATAACTCAGCAGCATAGATGCTCAGCTTATGAATATTATGAACCAGGTAAATGGGTAATATTTTTTTTGTTATTGTCCAAAATTAAATAGAATCGAATACTGAACACTCGATTTTCTTACTTTGAGTTCAGTGTTTTATTAGAAAGCTTAGTTTATGGAGATTACTAATCAATCTAAGTTAGACAACCATTGAAAACCTTCTAGTAAGAGACCATAATCAATGGAGCTCAGTTATTTTGGGTGTGAGAAGGGTACCCACCGAAAGTTATGGAAGATAGTTGCTCATTATCACGGATTGACTGAAGTTAGACTTGTACATAATTGGGTTTCCGGTGATAGGGTCGTGAATATACGTCCCTGGAGAGTCCCATGATAGGATGAAACAGCTCTCCAGTACTTCCAGGCATTCAATATTTGTCTAACTTGGATATGTGCTTCATCCCAATCAAACTCAAAAATCCCCACAAAATCCATACTGAAGAAGCTTATTATTGACAACTAGATTCAGAATAATATCTAGGTTATGGCCACAGTTGGTTTAAATAGGATTTATTATATAGTTGAAATCATGAGTCAATTCAAGCTAGACCACCATAGAAAACCTGGAAGAACTGGACAGCCGTTTCGTCCTACTGTGGGACTCCTCAGAAGTGCACATCCACGATGCCGCCTCACGAGATTCGAACTCAGGACCTACATTTCCATACAATTTTTCATTATATTGATAAAATGGATGTCATTCATTATCGGTTTTCATAGAATAAACCATAATCTCTTTTGCTTTAATCAACCTACCAAATTGTCGAAACATCATTTTGAAGATTCAATTAACCAACAGAAATTGATCACTATGATTTGATAAATCAACAACAGAGAGTCGTCCACGAAATAGTACGAATTAGTGCGAATTAAAATTCTGGACCATTTCGAATCAATTAAGATATCTTATTCATCAAGAGATTTAAAGGTTCTTGGTTCGATCCAGCGTTATCAGTAAACATTATTAAGTATCTATTATTTTATTTATTTATACACATAAATATTGGTACAAGGAAGGACCAGATACATATGCACCACACAAATCTCATTTGATTTGTGTGAGGGCTGTGATACTGCCCAGGTGCCCAAACTGAAGCAGGTGGTTTTATTAGGGGACCACACCCGGAGCCTTTGACCTAAAGGTCTGATCCACAAGGCAATGAAGCATCGTAAGGAGATGCAGTCTCATGGTGGCCGGTGACCAACAATTGATTCATACGCCATTTGTTCAATTAGGATCCTGGAGCCCATGTGCACCATTGGTTTGGAATCAGGGTTTTCCAACTCTCCTAGGTGGACTATCCGAGTCCACCAACCCGGTTAAAGCACCAGACATTCACTTTTCGTCCTCTGAATTTCGTAAACAACAGTAATATCACGAGAATGCAGTGAGTAAGACTCGCCTGGTAGAGGCTATGTACGCTTGGCCATGTGAGAGTATTTCGAGAGGGAGAGCGGCCTCCCCCTACTCTCGGCCATACCAGGGCATTTGGGGACAATTAAGTATCTGTATTTGTTTAAACTGAAAATCCAAACAAACTCATCTTAGAAACCATTGAATACTGAACAATAGTACCTAGAACAACATCATTTAAGATCATTCAAACGAACTATGAAAAGCAGATAAATAATCAAAAGAAAACGTATAGAACAAGGTAAACAACTTAACTGGAACAAAATACCTCAACATTAACTTGATCACAGAATGAATATAATTCAATCTTATCACTGTCTACATTATTTTATAAGAGTTTAAACTAAATACTTATAGGTCAAGTCGGAATACAGTAGGAAAATGCATAGCTTAAGTATATTGTCAGTGACATACAATAATTTACATGTAGTAATTGAGATGATAGCTCTATAGAGAAATTGAGTTAATTGGTTCGTGTGCAAATTACATTCAAATTATAGTGTTGAATTGAATTTATCAACCGATCAATGTTAGATCACCATTAAAAACCTAATATGGGACTCCCCAGTAGTGTGCATTCGCTGTCTCGCACACAGGAATCGAACCTAGGACCTTCGGTCATGCTTAACCTCCAGACCACTGAACCGGGATCCAATCTTTGGGGTCCCAGCTCTTTGAATCGATTTACGCATGAGAGAACGTGAATGCGCACTTCCAAGGAGTTCCATAGATGGTCGCAACTTCTCACTAGAACTCCGAGAATTTTACTCGAAGTATTATCCTTTTCTTTGTTGGTATCCATTTATTTGTACTTTATTTCCCCCCCCCTCTCTCTCTTTCAATATTTACAGGTCGTTATAATAATTCATTATATAATGTTGTTTCATTATATACAAATAATATTTGTAATGTATGCGGTAGTTTTGCTTGTCCATATTGTCCTGATTATAATTTATCAAAGAAACGTATTCAATCATCAATATCTATATTATGTCTAATATTTTTAATAAAATGGATAATACTACTATATATTGAATGTTTATAATTGAAAAGACATTTTCATAGACGTTCCATTTAGCATTCTTGTGGAATAGTTCAAACCAATCCAAATAGTAGAATGATAATGATGGATCTATCAATGATCATGATCAATAAATTACTTGAATGTGTCCAAATGTATTGTATTGGAACTTTTATTTTCATATATTCAAAGTATAATCCATTCTATCTCTCCATGTTAGACAATGAGACGTTCCATTATACATTGTCGTAGGATAGTTCAAACCAATCAAAATAGTAGAATTACAATGATGGATCTATTAATGATCATGATCAACAAAATACTTGACTATGTCCAAGTATATTGTATTGGAACTTAAATAATAAGAATATTCTTTTATTTTCATATATTCATAGTATAATCTATTCTATCTTTCCGTATTAAACAATTAGACATTACATTTTACATTCTAATGGGATAATTCAAACCAATCAAAATAGTAGAATTATAATAATGGATCTATCAATGATAAATGATGATGATGATGATGATCTCATGATCAATAAAATACTTGAATGTATCCAAGTGTATTGATTGTTTTCTTTTCTTTCTTAAACAAATAGTATCGTTGCCAAGTTATTGAATCTAATTTGTAGAAATTATTTAGTAGTTTACTACTTACTATCCTTCTTCTTCTTCTTCTTGTATAAAGCTTTTGTGTAAATGTATATACATATATGTATACATGTATACTTTCTCTTATTTATCCCTTTCATTTCACCTTTTCCCCCTAATTACCTACATATCAATATCCATTTCCTTTTCAATCAATTAAGTAATGTGAAGATATTTTGTTCATGCATATATATGTGTGTATACATGTACAAAATTGTAATAGTTCCGTTGTTCTTTTGTTTTCGTTTTCTCTTTTCTTTCATTCAAGTGCGACTTTTTATATTCAGAATAGGATAGTTATTTCCTTTTTTGTGTAGATAAGCAAATGTAAGGGGTGAAAAATATACATATTGATTAAAGTTTTTCTTTTGGCTGTAACTTGATCATCATTGAAAACCTGGGAGTATTGGACTTGAATTGTTTCTTTCATTCTCTAGGTCGATTTCCTCACTCGTTTTAATGTATATTTAGACTTAGTTTTCATCAATGATTTCGTAACAAATCTTATGGATGTTATTTATGTAAGTGATGAGAAGTTTGTGACTCAGAAGTCTGAGTTGAGTAAATACTAAGTCAGTCACCGAAGTTCAATATGAATGTAGAAAACTGATTGCAGCAACAGCAACACGTCGTATGAGATACACTGATGGTGGTAAAGAAAAACTCAACTTGAAAGATGTAAGGAACAAGTCCTAGATCAAAGCGAAGCCCTGTGTGTTGATCTTCCGACACTTCATAATTAATAAAGTAAAAGGAACTACCGAGGGCATATGATGAAATTAAGCAACAATAAGGGGACGGTTGTGGAAAATTCACACATGAAACTCTTTATCAAACTTCATCCCAACCATCTAAATCGATTAGGTGGATGAACGATATGCTGGACACCACGGCGCAGTTGCCCAACGAATAATATTAAAATCAAACGTAGGACTGAGGTCTAAACCTTCTTCAGTCGAGCCTCTTGAACATATCACATATGAACAACCACTAACCATCCCGTTTTGCTCTACTGACTAGCGTGATAGTATATTTAAAATGGAACTAGATGAACAGATCATTAGTTTTTAAAATCACTGGCAGTTGGGTTAAGCCCGTAGCACGAGATGCATCTTACCTGACTGAGGTCTGTATTATAAACGTAATTTGCAGTCTTAAGATGAGGAATCAATCAGAAGTAGTCAAATGCCAGTCAATGGTAATCAGAAGTGATCCAAAGGACAAATGTATATCATTGACTAAGAAATGGAGTGATTTTCTAGGACCTAGAGTTAAACATATATATATTTGTGCATTTTACTCGGTATCCCAATATACTTTCTCGTCCACTCTTGTGTTACCGTTCAAGTAGTCAAGTGGGGGAGTTAGCGTATAGAACGCCATCCGTCAATATCAGATTTCGGACACCATCCGTCATAGTAATTCTACAACTCAGAGTAATAAATCTCGAGTTTTAATATTTATTCATACTTCCCATTTCCAATGATTTCATATGTTCTCCTATAATTACACTTTCTACATGTAATCCTCTTGTTTGCCGATATCAAGCTCGATATCTTGGTCAATTTGTCAGTCAGTCAGCGACAACGTAGGACCAGGCACATATATGCATCGGTCCAAGTTGCCATACCTCGTTAGCACAACAAGATGAACACCGGATTCATAGAAGTAATTAATTTAGTGGTGGTAGTATATAGAGAAAGGTTGTATAGAAGGATATAGTATAGGAAGGAAAAAAGTTATGAAGCAACTTTAATCTCAAGGTTTAAGGGAAGATAAAGAGTGTATACACCTACGCCATTGTGATCGATTCTGAGCCATGTCACGCAGTCTCCAACTATTACTTACGATAGTCGCGCGGACCCCAATCAAGTGGCCTGCATCTACCAACATGGCTCAGACTAGAAGTTAGTGACTTCAAACACTGATGCGATGTTTTGGTTTGGCCGCCCCTAACTGTCTTCCAACCATCCCCTACACTAGTCAACATTGCGCGTCGTGGTAATCGGTGTTCAGGCATACGTAACACGTGGCCCAACCATCTCAGTCGATGAAGATTCATCACCTGATCAACTGATTTACCATCATTTCCTAATACCCTGCGTCTAACCTCCCTATTACTTACCCGGTTATCCCAGCAAATGCGAGCAATATTTCTAAAGCATCTGTGGTCAAATACTAGTAACCTACGAGTATCTTCTACTCTTAATGGCCACGTTTCGCAGCCGTAAAGTAGAACAGAACGAACTGCTGCGCTGTATACTCGTCCCTTAATTGATAGACGGATATCTCGTCTTCGCCATAGGTCACGTAAGTTGGCAAAAGCCAAACGAGCTTTTTGAATCCGTGCTGAGATTTCGTCAGACACCAACCCATTACGGCTGATCAGACTTCCAAGATAAGTGAATTTGTCCACGCGTTCGACTACTTCACTCCCTATCCTTAGTTCAGGTGTTGACGCAGGCCAGTCCTGGAGTAACAATTTACATTTGGATGGGGAGAAACGCATCCCAAACATCCTGGCATTATTACTGAGTTCCAACAGAAGACTCTGCATTTTGTCAGTGTCTTCACCAAACAGAACTATGTCATCTGCGTATTCTAAGTCGATAAGTGAACCTCCTGGTAGAAGATCAATTCCTGAAAATTCAGTCGACGAGAGTGTTATTTCCAGCAACAGGTCTATAATGAAGTTAAACAAAAATGGGGATAGTGGATAGCCTAAGTTTTATTTAACTAAATAGGATGGATCAACGATCCACATAGCATTCTTCATATTTAACACCAGTCTACTAACCAATTTCTTTATTATCATTAGTGATTTAACCGTACTGCTTTTTAAAAATAAAAACTGACTTCTATACAAATTTCCAATTTATAGAATAAACAGACCAAAAAAACTGAAATTCTATCGAACAATCAAACTAATCTTAATTTTAATTAAGGCCTTAAGGAGTATATAGTAACAGTAAAGTATAGAGATACATTTAGGAGGAATGGGAAGGGATAAAAAGAATTGGAAAAACAATCCATAAATTGATAAATTTAGGTAATTAGAAATGCAAACAAAATGAATTACACAGAGAATAACAACAAGAATAGGTCAGAGATGGTGGAGAAGATTTGTAGCTCAAGTGGGTGATTTTGATGTGGGTTTGTTATCGTCGTCCTTCTGAACGATGAAAGCTCCACGACCAAACCATCCAGCTCAGAGAACAAACCCACATCAAAAAAAAGAATAGATCAGTTTGTAAAATAAAAATTCAACATTACAGAAAACTAGTGTAAAATGGCGAAGAAGTGTAGAAGAAAAACAAAGATAAAACACAGTGGAACGTACACGTAGGAGTATATATTCACTACACTTAATTGATTTGTATTTTCATTCCATAATACAAGAAAAGAGGTAAAACAAATAATGGAACTATAAGACTTTAGGAAGCATAAAACAATAGTTGTTTGAAACGTACTTTACTCAATATGTAAACATTGATGGATAAATGCACAAACATATAGAAAGAAGAGATCTAATTTACATAGCATACCCAACTAAGGTATGAATTTTGGAATATGAATAATATTCCCTTTGAAGAAAGAAGCATTTAAAGGTGATAGACAAAACAGGTAAGTCTACAAAATATTTTGTTTATTATGATATTAATCACGTTTTTTATCACCTGAAGATGGTGTTTGACGATTGGCAGCATCACGTAGACCACTTGAATTGAAACTATTTGCATTACTATTAGATAAACCTTGATTGGTTTGTCCTGTCCCAGTACCAGTTGAAGAGAAATTTGCATTACCAGTCATATTGGCAGTTGATGATGATGAAGTTGTTCCGCTAACATTTGACAAATTTGAAGGTGTAGTTTCAGATGCCTTGCTACGACTACGTTCAAAAGCACTACGAATAGCGTCGACAGTACCACCAAACAACACCTTACAAACAGCATTCTCAAACGGTACAAATGGATCTTTTAAGCCCAGTAGAATCATAGTGATTCTGAAAATGAAGAAGTATACATATACTTTAAGATTACTACAACGATCAGGCACGACTTTTAATCAGTCAGATAAAAACTATATCACAGAGTACGTTTGCAAATCACATACGCAATTAAACTTGTCATATAAAGTTTTAATTCACATACTTCTGAATGTATGAAAGACTAAACGATCATCATTACGCACTAAATACTTGAAACAATTCAGTCATTGGATCAAACTTCTGTCATTTCATTAGATATTCATTACACAGTTCAAAACGACCGGTAAATGATATTGACGATAAAGCTTGAAACACATTACTGCTATAAAAAACATCATACAAATGCTTTTGAAGATATAAGCATAATGTTACGAGTCTTTTTAAAAGTACTAACTTTGGAAATTAAAACACTTAAATGAATACTTAAGCTATTGAAAACGGAAATTTTTTATAACTATTTACACTAACACTACTATATTTATCTTTTACTTTAAATTTTGAAAATATGTGCCCCCAAATGCCCTGGTACGGCCGAGAGTGGGGGGAGGCCGCTCTCCCTCTCGAAATGCTCTTACATGGACACGCGTATATAGCCTCTGTCAGGGAAGTCCTACTCACTACCTACCTTCTCGTGGCATTACTGTTGTTCACGAAGTTGAGAGGACGAAAAGTGAATGCCCGGCGCTTTAACCGGGTTGGTGGACACGGAAAGTCCACCTAGGAGAGTTGGAAAACCCTGATTCAAAACCAATAGTACACATGGACTCTAGTATCCTGAGGGAACAAATGGCGTATGAATTAATCGTTGGTCACGGGCTACCATGGGGCTGCATCTCCTCACGATGCTCCACTGCCTTGTGGATTAGACCTTTAGGTCAAAGGCTCCGGGTGTGGTCCCCTAATAAAACCACCTGCTTCAGTTTGGGCACCTGAGCAGTATCACAGCCCTCACACAAATCAATTGAGATTTGTGCGGTGCATATATATATATATATATATATATATATATATATATATCTGGTGCTTCCTTGTACCAATATTTATGTGTTTAAATAAATAAATTTGAAAATATAATATGGTGTATGCTACTTATGTTGACAGGTATAAGCAGTATGTAGAACCAACCGGAAATGGAATGCATGCCTGCAGAAGATTGAGAAGATTCAATTGAGAGAAACAAAAAACAGAAACGGGACTAGAAAAGAATCACAATAACAACGAAAGTGAAAGATCCAGGAATCACATAAAAGACAACTGATGGAAGATGTGCAAATAATGTATTTAGTGTATGTTCCTCATATTTTACGAAAGCTTTCTGTAATTTTATATTAAATGATAAAATGGTCATCCCCATCTGAGTGTTCATTCGCTACAATAATATCTGTGAAATAAAACTCAACATTGTAATTATATATTCATACGATGAATATTTTCAAGATATTCGACAACTCAACCCACCTTTCAAAATAAATAGTAAGTTTCTAGACACTTTGGAGAGATGGGAAACATGTAAAAATATGAAGAGTTGGAAAGATTCATTATTAGATACAATTAAGATCATACGAACCATTCCGAAAGAAAAAGAATAAACAAGTCAGTCACACGCATAGCAAGCCTTCGATTAAAACAATTTGATATATTAGTCGATTGTGGTGACACTAAAATATAACCAACTTTTAAAAATGAGAACTTCTTAAAGATTACTGAACAGATCAATAAACTAAAAAGGGTCAAATTGTCAAAATTTCCAGTGGTTTACAATAGCTAAAAATTTGAGCAGTTGAATTCACAATTCGATCTAGGCTGGACCATTATTGAAAACCTGGAAGCACTGGAGTCCAATCCATGTCAGATGTGAGACAGTTATCCACATCAGACAATGGATGAAATGTTGTACAAGACCATAGGTCTATTGAAACCAGACATTAACACTGTTGGATGCCGGCTCAGTGACCTAGAGGTTAAGTGTTTACGCGCAAGATCGAAGGCCCTGGGTTCGAGTCCCGCGTGTAGGATCGTGGATGCGCACTGCTAAAGAGTCCCATACTAGGGAGAAATGACCGTCAAGGCTTTGAATGGTGGTCTAGCTTAGAGCGACTGATGATTCCAAGTGTTAAAATACTACAATTTCCCAAATCCCCATACTGAAAAAATCGGAATTTAGAGAAGGGATTAATGTCAACCATATCAGTTCTAAACTAAACAATTGTATGTGAATGTTTTATTCATTCAACAATATACCATTTGGCCTCTGCATAAGCTTTACCAAAATGAAAAACTTTAATGTGTGCAAGTGTTGTATGAAAAGTTGGTTGAGGAAGCTGTGTTTTTCTATAATCATAAATATCAAGCAAACAAGAAAAAATGGTTAAAAACAAGGTTTTCCCAAAAAGAAATACAGGGAGAGAGTGAAGATTTCACGCTAGAAAAAAATACACAAAAAGAATTATGCTTGTATTAACTTTCAAACGATGAACTATGAACGTTATCAGCTTACCTGAGGTAAACAAACAAAATCATTATAACCAAGAATAATTGATTTTCCGGTAACGGTATTATATCCAAATGATGACAATAATATGCGATAGCGGCAAGCAACGAAATTTTTGTAGTGCTAAAACATATTATTGACAGAAAAACAAAATAGAAATAATTAAATACTATCTAGAAACCAAAAGGAATAAACTACAAACTACTAAGAGCTAACACATTTTCCATTTCATGTAGATCCATGCAGAAATTCATGCGTTGTTTAGAGAAACTAAATCTTACAAAGTGGGATGGAGGAATTCATTAGTTGCTGGTAGCCATATACCACGAACAAGACGCTGTATTAATTTCATCTCACAATAACCTGCACCTATATTATTGAAAAAAAAGGATGAATAGTAGATGGGATATAGGCAAAACAAAAACAACAGAGTACAGCTAGTTGTTCTTTTTTGAACACACATATAGTCAATAGTGATATATTATGTAATCATGATGCTACACATACGTCCAAACAGCAATGTAACATGCCTTTAAATTATCCGACAGCCTATTAAGTTTTGGTTCATGCACAGTTGAATGACTGGATAGCTCTCCAGAAGCTATTTTTAATTTTCGAAACGAACAGTATGCATTATCATGCTACGTGGATTCATCATTATTTATTAGGGAGAGTGGGTGGCTTTCTTTCAACAGCCAGGATAATCAAAGTCACGGTCAGACGAAAAGAATCCATCAACCTGTTTAATGTATCCTATGATAAGAACATACGACGATGAGAAATAAAACTAGTTTATCAATCCACTTAAATTTCCAACTTATATATTGGTGGTAGAATTTAGACTCAATAGATAGTGAATATTTATATTCGTGGATGACTGGTTGCTACCTGGTCGGTTGATAAATAACCTTGAACCCGGTCTCCGATTGATGATTGCAATAAGTGCTAGAATGAGTTCGGTTTAAAAATTGCCATGTTTTGTAATAACGGGGGAAATTAATAGGAATAGACGTATTAGGATATGCAAGAACGAAATAGGCCAAGAAAGGCTAATAAACAGGGAGCGACAAAACCTTTCAAATAATAACATATTTGTAACATCCCAATGAGTAGAAAATTGTGTCGACACGTTTATTTATTCCCTGGAAAAGTTGCTTGTTGTAAAATGTTAGAAATTCCATTTGCTTACTCACTGGAATGTTATAAATGTATTACTTTACTATGAACAATTCACTGAAAGCTCAATTTATATAAAATTACCGAGTCAAAACTTGGTAATAATACTTGAAAACCCTTAAAGATAAATAGCTGCAATTTAATTGTCTATTTCAACGATACAATCAAGGAATATCAAATATATTGTTTTCTAATTTTATTTTCAACTATGTAAATATCAGTTTGATAACAAAAGAATAAAAAACAAACATTATTAGTGGAAGAGCATATGATTTTAAGCCAGTTGAAGCATTACATCAATAATAACCCAAACTCTACACCACGATGGCACAATACTTTACTAGTCGTAAAGAATAAGTTAAAGGTAAGGATCCCACTTCATTTCTAAACCTAATGAGCAAAGTAGTTTGAATCCGTCATCGACTGATCGAAAATTTACTGAACAAACCGATGTGGGACAACCTTCATTTTTCAAAGTAAAATACAATGAGTTACTTTCCCTGATCATAAATTACTTTGTTCAGCTCCTACTTTTCATTAATCACACTAATTAAGGCCGATAATTTGACTTTCGAAAAGTGTAAACACGAATCATCTAGTTCAGCACATACAAGACATTATTCGCAACTTTCGAAGATTGATGGGTAGTCAACACCATTCTAAATCCTTGCATTTTGCAGACATGACTAATCTGTTTGTATAAATGACTTACGCGGCACTATGACTTTTTGGGGTCGCATATCACTTTAATAAATAACAGCATCCATTCTTACTCAACATTTTTGAACTATTTAAAACATGCAGTCAGTTATTAGTTAACACTGAGTTGTGAACTGAATGGTAGTTGAGGTCAATGTAGTGTTGCACTGTGGTAAAAGTATACTATACTAACAAACCAATCACAGTCAATACAGAGCCTTTCGGATGTGTAAAATTCAAGAAGCAGTGGAGGATCGCCTGTATCTTATTATGAATTAAGTATGGTTTGCTCATACCTTAAGATGCTTTAAAAATTCGATGGACGTATCTGTTATACCATCATACAGTGAATGTGACTTTTTATGTAAACTTAATTATTAGAACAAAAACATCCGCTTGAAACAATAATTACTCGTTCAGCGTAACTTATGTAACTTAGGAAATGATTAAGGGTGTGTGTTTGGTGGTGCCATAACCTATGGACGACTTAGTCAAATTTAAAATGCCTCTTAAACTTTTACACAAAATTCATACATCTATAAGGCTACAAAGCGTTTTCGTATTATAGCTGGTTATCAATTTTGAGAATCCGAATTATAATCCCTAACCCTAGCCCAACTGCTAGTTCTTAGGCCTAACCTTTTTTCGCTTACTGAAATCAATAGTTAACTAATCGTTTCAAAAATATTTGTCCATTTGAATTTATTATTTTCATTATAAAGCGCTAAATAACTGAAAACACTTTCCTGACCGACTGATAAGTCGTCCAATATTGTCAGTACAGCATACATTTACCTAAACAGTCAACAAAAGACGTGTTTACAAAAACCCAATGGGGACTGAAGGTTAGAGGACAAGCCAAGACGTATCATCAGTACATGAAGTATTTGAATGTCGGATTGAGTTGTGTTGGTAGGTCCACACTTATTTTATTTATTTATTTATTTAAACACATATATATTGGTACAAAAGGGCACCAGGTACATATGCGCCACACAAAATAATGAAAGTAGGTAGATAAAGGATGAAAAGATAAGGCGGGCTGAAATGTACAACCAGAAGATTCTTTCAGTTAGGAAAGTTAGAACCATTCTTTATGTAGAAAGTAAAAGAAGGTTGCAGCAGGATCGCCACTGGCTTCTATTCTGAGCCATATCCGATAACGTCTCTAGCCACTGTGTTGCACTATCTCTCGGACCCCAACCAGGGAGTCGTGAAGGACCAACGGAAGCTAGCCCTTTGCAGCTCTCTTTCATGCCACGACACCATGTCATACACTGACCTCCTCTCCGCTTTCTCCAACCAGTCCCAGGGTCGGCAAATAATGCACGACGCGGAAGTCTCTGGGACGACATTCGTAAAACATGTCCGAGCCACCGAAGTCGGTGTTTCAAGATGGTGACACCAATTGAATTATCGTCTCTGCGCCCGAACACACGATGCCGAACCTCTGCATTACTAACATGGTGTTGCCACTGGATGTCAGCAATCCTTCGGAGACAACGATGATCGAACACAGAGAGACGTCTAACATCCTCAACTCGGAGAGGCCAGGTTTCACAAGCATAGAGCAAAACTGCTCTCACCGACGCGTTGTAGATCCGACCTTTTACAGCCAGACTAACATCACGAAGGCGCCAAAGATGGCCCAGATTGGCATAAGCCGCTCTGGCTTTCATTAAACGTGCATCAATCTCATCACTCACGCCACCACCAGCACTTATATAGCTACCTAGATACACGAACTTCTCAACTACTTCGATCTCCTCACCATCCAGGGTGAGTACAGGATGAGAATCCTGCCAGTCTTGTAGAAGTACTTTGCACTTGGAGGGTGCAAAGCACATGCCGTACCTGCGGACACTGATTGCCAACTGATTAAGTGCTGATTGCATGCCTTGGGCATTATCGCACAGTAAGACAATATCATCCGCATACTCGAGGTCGAGAAGTCGTTCTCCAGGCAACATATCCACACCGCCATTACTTACATCCATCAGAGCTGTTTCTAGGATGTCGTCGATGGCAAAGTTGAAGAGGAATGGGGAGATCGGGCAACCCTGCCTAACCCCACTGCTCGAATGGAACAAGGGAGAAAGGTGGTTGTATGCCCTCACTCTGCCTGAGGCGTTCGTATACAGGGCTTTTAAGATGTTAATGAACTTCTCAGGCACACCCTTCTTCAATAGACAATCCCAGAGAACAGTCCTGTCCAACGAATCGAAGGCAGCCCTGATATCAAGAAACACTACGATTGTTGGCCTGCGATAAGTATGACGGTGTTCTAACATTTGGCGGAGGGTGAAGATGTGATCAATGCATCCTCGACCAGAACGAAAACCAGCCTGCTCCTCGCGAGTCAATCGTTCTCGGGTTTTAAACAACCTACGAAGAATGATAGAAGCCAATAGTTTGGACGCGATCGAAAGTAGACTTATCCCCCGATAGTTGCTACAGGAACAACGTGAACCCTTTTTAAAGATAGGGACGACTATTGACTCATTCCAAAATGTTGGAACACTTTCTTGCTCCCAAACTTTTCCAAACAACGCAGTCAGTTCCTTAGCCAGAAAGTCACCACCATCTTTAAAAAGAGCCGGAGGTAAGTCATCTGGGCCAGGTGATTTATAACGTTTCAAGAGTTGGAGTTCCTTGCGGACTTCCGCCTCGTTTGGTGGATCAGTCGTCACCGGCCATGGGGAGCAGGACAAGCTGGTTGATGTTGCCGGAGCAGCAGGCCAGTTGAACTGCCCTTCGAAAAATTCCGCCCATCGTCCAAGACGTCGACAGATGTTAGTGATTGGCATCCCGTCATCCTCGTAGATTGTTTCACTCACACCAGACTTCTTGCTGCCAGTGGCTCGGATGAGTTGGAAGAGCTTCCGGCAGTTACCAGATGCAGCTGCTGCTTCCATCTCATTAGCACGCTCCGACCACCAGGCTTCCCGGTCCTTACACAAGCTTTGCCCGATTTCATTACGTAACAGCCTTCGTTTGTGGTCAAACTCACGGTCACCCGGAGTAGACCGACGGGCTTCCATCAGTTGTAAGGAGCCAGAAGAAACCCAGTGCTTGTAAGCGGGACGTTTCGCGAAGCCGCAAGCGGCTTTACTCGCCATTTTCATGGCGTCATGAAGATGCAACCAATGCTTACCTATACTTTTCGGTGGGGTGGTAGCTAGCCTAGAGGCTAGCTCCGCTCGATACTTACTTGCAACAGAAGTTGCAGCCAGTTTACTAATATCAATCCGTTGGTGGTGGTCAATCCTTCGGCCACTGAAAAGTAAGGTGAGATTGGCGCAGACCAGGGCATGATCAGACTCCAGATAGGTACTCCAAAAGGAGCGGCAGTCTTGTACACAACCACGCCAGCGGTAGCTCATCGCGATGTGATCAATCTGAGTCCAGGCTTGGGATGCAGAGGGAGGACGCCAGGTGGCACACCGGCGATGACTGTGCCGGAAGTTAGTGCTGGCCAGAAACAGGTTGTGGTCTGTGCACAGTTGCAGCAAACGGTCCCCGTTATCTGTCCTGCGACCAACAAGTCCCCATCGGCCACCTAGACGACTCTCTTCTGTGCCTAGACGCCCGACCTGTGCATTCAAGTCTCCGGCTAGTACTACAATATCTGTCGAACGCGCTTTCTGGAGAAGAACTGTTAACTGATGGTAAAACTCATCCTTGATTGCATCCGGGCTGCAATCTGTCGGGGCATAGGCGGAGATGACGAAAAGACACCGTTTCCCACGCCGATTTCTTCTCACTTTGATGGAACTTTCTAATCTAACAGCACATAACCGACTGTTAATGGGGGTCCAATCGATTAGTGCTGCCTCAGCTCTAGCGCTTAGTGCGACACCAACGCCAGCAAGACCAGACGAAGATGCCACAGGGTCCCCGGATAAGCGCACGTGGAACAAGCTTTTCGAGGCGACAGATGGAGAGCGGATTTGTAGTACTTCACTAGAGTCTTGAATACGGGTCTCGGATAGACAACAAACGTCAACATTAAGACCTTCCAAAGACATAGCCAGCCCTATCTGTTGTCTGATCTGCATTAGTGTGCGAACGTTGAAGGAAGCCAGCTTGAACGGCGTACGTGGTTTCAGAAAGACTGCCTCAGTATTCATAATCGGTGGAAGTATTCACTTTCAACCAGACAGTGACTGGAGATCGTTTAGATAGGACAGATTTTCCACCAAGAGCGAGCTGCTGCATAAGTTGAAGAGTAAGGTTACACAAATTGGGGATAAAAGGGGGTGAATTAGCGATATGGTAAGTAATAATAATAATAATAATAAAGGTAATAATAATAATAATGTTAATTGTTTTGCTTTTAGTATGACCAGGGATATCGTCAATAAAGTTCATAATTTCATTCATTTGTTTGTGTGTGGGCTGTGATACTGCCCGGGTGCCCAAACCGAAGCAGGTGGTTTTCTTAGGGGACCACACCCCGAGCCTTTGACCTAAAGGTCTGATCCACAAGGCAGTGGAGCATCGTGAGGAGATGCAGTCCCATGGTTGCCGTTGACCAACAGCAGGTTCTTCCGCCATTCGTTCCATCAGGATACTGGAGCCCATGTGCACCATTGGTTTGGAATCAGGGTTTTCCAACTCCCCTAGGTGGACCCTCCGTGTCCACCAATCCGGTTATAGCGCCGAACATTCGCTTTTCGTCCTCTCACTTTCGTAAACAACACCCCCGCCACGAGAAGGCAGTGAGTAGGACTTCCCTGGCAGAGGCTATATATTCGCTGGCCATGTGAGAGCATTTCGAGAGAGAGAGTAGACTCTCCCCACTCTCGGCCGTACCAGGGCATTTGGGGGCAAAAGCCCCACACTACATGAGTGGGGTCCGTATATCTGTCATAACCAATAGCGGGTGACGTTGGACGAAACTGTTTAGAATCAACTGCAGTGAAGCAGGTGCACTTACTATGACTGGCTAACTAATGTGGATGAAATAATAGAAAGACGACCTAAACAGAAATGAATCCCATTTCCTTTTAGAAGCACACTACTGAACAAAGGTGCCACATTAACCCTTAACTTCTTCAGCAACCTATGAAAGGTCATCCAGCCAAACAATGTGATAGGCACCTAACGGGATTCCGGAAAGCTACTCCAGACTTACCATCAGTCCTTTAAAATACACATTCTAAGTTTTTACTCAGAAAAATAAACGATGGATTAAAAATTTGCTAGGACTAACCAGGGAAAAACGAAGTAAACAAACTTCCCCATTGTTTTTCAGTTCCTACGCAAAAACCAAGTCTACTAAGGGCAGCCTGTAATGGCTAAGATGGTTATTAGTTTGATCATATGCGCCTCACTAACAATCGTGAAAGCAAGGCAGGAATGAATTGGGCAGTCTATATTGGTTTCAGGTTACACATTAAAAAGTTGGTGTTTAGTTAAGTGTGTATTGAATCGTCTATGTATGCTATGCTAAAAGCCATTTAACAGAGTCCGTATTATTTAAATGGCTAGAATCAGCTTCGCGTACAGAACCAAGAAGTTTCCAACGTAAGTCCGACTTGATAAACACTTAAAATAAGACCTGACTCACAAGTTGACGATTATAAATGGATTGCTTTTTCGATCCCAGATACCCAAGACATAATTCGAAACAGGACGCATATACAGACTACCAACACCTACAAATATCGGTTTGGATATAGAGATGTATCATTCAGCTTTCAAAACTCACCCTTCAAAAGACCTAGGAGAACACACATCACAGGCGATTGTGGAAACAGATGAAGGCCATGATGTACACCAATGAAAATCTTCTTCGCCCTCTGAACCTCCTTTAATGAGCACACCAGTAGTCGAACAGGAAGTATTTTGCAAAATCGATACAAAATATCAAATGGGAAATAATTTATGAGATACCTAAGAAAAATGATAGACATAGGAAAAACATACCATACAACGGTAGCCGTTAAAACGGAGATTGTGTCATCAAAACACTCGAATAGGGGCGACCCTGTGATGAAGTTGGAAAGAATGGCCCCTCCGAAACACATGAGCATAGTGGCCAACCAGCACGAAAACGGGTGACGTCTCGAAAAACTTACAGAGCCTACGCATAATACATGAAGTTAAGTACATACCTGACTGAGGAGTATCTTCTTTTACGGATATACTCATCAAAATGTAATTAGCGATATCGAAATACGGATACATCCGTAGCTTGAATACAGAATTGGCTACATCATCAATGATGATGGGATTCATCTCGAGAGAAACAAACGCGACTCTAGAGTCCGAATTCAAAATATCACTACAAAGTCAAGGTCACTCGTTACACATCTTCCTGATGAGCCAGCACGACAAAAATACATAGAGGAATTTACGAAAACATATTCTACTATCATTTCTGCTGCTGAAATTCGCGAGCACATAGTACTGGATAACATTTGTTATATGCCCTTCGTTGTTTTAAACAATTATTAGATGATCCAGAATCCATGAGATTTCCATTCATTTAGCGTTTTTTGTGACCCTTTGAAGAGCATCAGTATGCTAGGCATCTTCCTGGCCATAACTCAACAGCTCTCATGAATCCAGTTTTATTCTGTCCGGCTCGCGTACGTTCAGTTTCACTCGTTCCAAACACCACCGGGTCGTATCTCCTCATTTCCGCAGCAACTTAAGTAGTCCTCCTGGTATCCTATATTATCCCAAACTGTCTAGAAACCCACGTACTTGTACTAGCTGTTGTTCTGATAGCCAAAGAAGTATCAGTTTGGTGATTTCCCAGAAATCTGTTTTCACCGTGAGGCTTCATAGCTCTAGTGAAAGTAGATCCTTCAGCTCCAAAAGCACTGTTCAAATTGTCTAAACTACGTTTTCGGCCAGGTAACCATATGCGGTATGTAGAATGTCGTGTCGTTACACATTTGACTCATTTTAGCTTTCAAAATGATTCTAATACTTCATATAGAATGTGGTCTTTGGGTCATTTTTATCTTTCTGATAATTCTATTCCTTTCCCATGACATTCTGACCTCTGGTTTATATGTCTCTTACATCCATGTCTTTGTATTTCTACACTGATACGTTTTGTGTACGCTAATGTATATGTCTATATATTTATCATCTTATATTATACCTGTTTCTTTATCACACTATGCATTGTAAATTTTGGGCCATATCGACGCTTATAACGAGTAACATTTTTAGTTGACGCATTTGCCATCTCCTGTCCAGTTCTTTGCTTTAATGGTCTATCTGAGTCAACAAGTGTATGAAATATATTTACTTAGGAATCGTTCTCTCATTCGGCTTATTTCGTTCCATTATTTACTAATGCGAGTTGAGTCGGCAAATACAAACGAGATTAAGCGAGGTATGTGTTTCGCAAACATAATCTTCTGATCAAACGGAAGTCAGATGATGGGTTCATAAATGAAGTGCGAAGCTTTGGTTTTAATTGTTTGACTAAATTGTCAACGGCGCACAGCATGTAGGATATCACAAGGTCGCAAAATTCCGGAGGGCATCAAGCTAACCAAGGAACTAGAGTCCAATGACCACAAACTAGCCTTTCCTGATTGTTCGGTACAAGGAAGACAATAAAAAGTTGAAAGTAAATTTATTCAGGAAAGTAGATTACGGTTCCGCCCAGGCGCATTGTACGAAAGTTACAGTTTTAAAAAATTTGATCAACAGGAGTATTAGTCTCATTAGAGAAAGGGAAGACCAACAGGCTGAAATGAAGGAAATTTTGTCTAGGCTTAGAACTAACATTTATCCCGAAGAGTTTTCTAATGAGCATTATTAGAAATGAAAGAAAAACTAAGTCATAGTGTATGCCGAAAGATTGGGAGACCATTGTGGTCACCCCGTACCATAGAGACACATCGCAAGAAATCAGAAAGATTCTGAACAAACACTATACGAGAATGAGTTTTCGGGCTGGTGACACTATAAGGTCAGCATTAGTGAAAGTTAATAATGTGTTTCCGAAAGAAGAACAACAGAATGTTGTCTATGAGATCAACTGTCATGATTACTGTACCGCTTATATGAGAGAAACTTCCAGACAGTTGATTGTGAAGTTTAAGAAACATAAACTTTGCTTGAAAATGTTACCAAATCCTAGTATGATCTGAAGAAACTTGGGGATAGGTCGGCGATAGTGTTACACGCGTTGGAATCAAGACTTATGATCAATTTCGAGGGGATCAAAAATACTTTGGAAAGGTTTCGGCACACATAAAGGAAAAGTGTGGATTTGATTTGATTGTTAAACATTATATGTTTCGTCGATAATTTTGATTTTGATTATTACCCCAAAGAAGTGTGGACGAAGCTTCATTCCTTAGACGCGGACTGCTCGAAGGCCCTTATTAACCATGTCGAATCCACTATGCAGCGATTCGTGTAGCGTTACTGTTATCATAACTGCACATCAGTTTATAGTACATTTATTTGTTTTGCTACCTTTCTGTACTATTAAAGCCAAGAGTTTTGAACGGTTCTAATGCTTGTAGGAGGAATAGAAGACATCTTTATTTAACGGATTTTGATATCCAGTAGTAGTGGATTACCGATGATGGTGATAGTAATAGTCTTAGTTTCAAATTAGAGTTCTTTACTGTAATTAGATCTTGCTGTTCTTGGTCCTCTTTCTGGTTGTTTCAACGCCTCGAAATTTACTGTAGACTGTAGTGCTATTTTAATTTCTAGCAGAGATAAGGCATCTGCGTCCTGATTGTCCCGACCTTTGACATATAGGATATCACTGATGAACTGTGATATCTAGTCAAGGTGTCGGACCTCTCAAGGAGAATATTTAACGGCTCTAGATTTTAATGAATTAGTTAATGATTTATAACCCGTATAAACTATGACTTCCCTGCCTTCCAACATGTGTCGGAAATGTCTAATGGTTAGGCAGACTGCGAGTTCTCGTGCGAATGTAGAATATCTCGTCTCCGCTACAGCGAGTCTTTTTGAGAAGAGCGTGGTCGGTTTCTAGGCGTTTTCAACCAGTGTGGTGTGGAAACAACCCACCGCTTCCTTCAAAGAATCCACCATCAAAGCGAGTGAGGTATGGGGATTCGGATGTATCAACGTAGATACTTGAGCCAACTTATTCTTTATCTATTTAACAGCCTGAACAACGTCAGAAGTCAACCCAGATTATTTTGGATTTCCTTTAGAGGAATCTGTCAAAGGTTGCATTAATTGTGCACAACTACGTGTGAATCTACGATTAAAGTTAACCAAACCCAGAAAAACTCTAGGTTGTGTTAGAGAAATTGGTATTGGGTATTGCTTGATAGTTCCCACTTCTTATTTGACCACTGTGATCCTCTCTGGGTTTACTGAGTGTCCGAGAAATTCTGGAGTTTGAACACTGAAAACACACTCTGATGTATGTAGATTCCATTTTCATTTAGCCGTTTAAACACTGCTCTCACGTGCTGTTCGTGTGATTTTTAATTCGGGTTGGCAATTAACAAACCTTCTATATACCCCTGTTCAAAAGGTGTATCCCGAAGTAAGTTGTCCATAGATCTCTGAACCTCTGCTGCCGCATTTTTCAGGCTGAATAGCATGTGTGCAAACTCTAGTAGCCCAGAAGGTGTAGCGATAGTTGTCATGGGGATATCTTCCTCAACTGCTAGGATATTGTGATATGCCTTGACCAAGTCGACTTCAGCAAATATGTTCTTACCCTGTAAGCAGTTTGTAAAATCTTGGATATGGGATGTTGGGTACAGGTCTGGTACTGTCCGATAGTTGAGGGATTTGTAATCTCCGTACGGTCTCCAGTCGCTTTCATTTTTATTTGGGCTCATATGCAAAGTGGATGCCCACTGGCTATAGGACAGATAATATCCAGCTGTAACATGTGGCCGAATTCGTCTCTAGTGATTTTATACTTGTCTGGCGCTAGTATCCTTTGTCTGACATACACAAGTGCGCGTTCAGTTTCGATCGTATGAATTACCTTTAGTTTACTTTTGGGAGGCTGAGAATTCGGTTTGATTAGGCTTAGAAATTCCGCCAGTGTATCCTAAAATTTAGCAGTTGTTACTGACGGAATTCGCATCAAATTTAAAGAAATGACTTGATCTTTTTATCTTTTGTTAAACTAGAATTTTCTTTCAGTGTCAACTACAAGTTCATGTCTTTCTAAAACTTCCATTCCCAGTATTGCCAGATCTAAATTGGCGGTGGAAAATACCAAAGGGAATCGCCTCCTGAATCCCAAATCTAGCGTCGAAGTTTTCTGCCCAAACGTTGTGGTTTTAGCCTTGTTAGCAGCCTGAAGTATAACTGAATAAGTTTCTAGATACAGTTTGGCTCTGAGGAATGTTACTAAGGGCAGCACTAATATCCATCAAAGAATGCAAGTCTGAATTCCTATCTCTGACATAAAACAAACGATTGTTTGGATACCCCTTCTCATTCATCGCAACTTGGGTACAGGCTATTCGTTTCCCACATTCTTGCGAGTCTGGTTAGGCTAGGCACATGGTTTACTGAACCTACTTGATTTAACACCAAACTTCCAATGATACCATCAGAGCCGTCCAGACAGTCTGGGCGTTTGTGACCTAGTCTGTGACTTGGATTTCCATTGCTTTGGTGACCTGCTCATGTTCCTTTGACCAATTTGCATCTATGTGACAGCCTCAGTGAGACTTTTAACACTCACAATGAATTCTGCTATGGCAGAATCTGTAGTGGTATTGGTCCTAACCCTACAATCATCAGAGCTGAAGATGAGATAGCGTGTAAAATGCATGTTCAACAATTAACGCTAAGAGAAGATTAACAATAGAGAAAGTGGGAATATTCACTTGAGATTCAATTGGTTGACCTTACATGAGTGGTTATTCTTGTGCAACAACTTTTCTATTGATATTAAATTTATTGTTCTATCTTCAGCTTAGGTGTGTTCTATATCATATATTCTTGATCACGATAGAACGAGTTAGTGTGGACAATGATGTGATTTCCACTTTAAGATCTTATAGATTAGGCAGTCACATCATGACAAATCTACAAGTTTAGGATTAGGTATATTATTAGAGCAGTACTAGTAAATAAGTAGACCATAATTATACTAATCTTTCTGTGTATGATATACCGTACGTCATCTAGTTGGATGAACTCTTTCCACTATTTTATCTGCTACACGCGCTAAATGAGATATTGGGGTGTCAGGGTCCCGTGTATCTTTAAAGTGCTGGATATGGGAGAGCTTGTATCCATTCTTGTTTTAGGACTGCTTCGCCTACTGTGTTGTCGCTCCCTTAGACTTGAAGGTGGAGTAAAAACTGTGATTGCGGCATACCACCTAATGTTTCTCCTAGGAAAAGCCTTTGGATTCCTTGGCTGTCGGATGAAGATAGTCGATTCATTATCTCTAGTCTTAAAATAGTGTGTGGTGGACTTAAAATCAAGTCGCGGAATTCACTGGTGACTGGTTTTGGGAGGACAGAGTATAAATCTCGATAGAGAACTCCCTCAGACTTAATATCGTGTCACATGAAATAATGCTCCAGTTAAGTGAACAACAACTCAAGGTCACCATGATCAAATTCTGGGAGTCCGACTTTCATAGTCATAACACTGCCTATCTCTACCGGTTGTAAGATCCAAACTCTAGATCTAACTACGTTTGGCTGTTGAATAACTGTCGAGTAAAAGTAAAGACACGTGGACCACAATCGAAATCAGAACAAAGTGATTGGGTAGCAACGGTTCTAAACAAATATTACCACACAATTATTCAACCAACAATTGATCCCAAATAATCAATCGAACGCTCCAAAAAAATAAGTGTTATTCTATCCTTCCTGGATAGATCAAGTAAGGAATGCGTTCTAAATGTTGCTTTATAACACAGAAAGTTTCCAGTTCTGGGAAAGTGCTCCAATTAACAACCAAAATGTACGATCCCAGTCATATCAAGCAACACGGTCAAAGATGTAACAATCAATATGGCAGCCGACAGAATAATTTCAATTAAAACAACTTAGATACAGTTCCAGAAGAAATATAGAAACTCAATGAAAGCGATAGAAAAACTGAGAAAACTATTACGAAATTAAACATTACAATCTTAATTGGCATCAAAAAGATTAACAATAATGTACAAATAAAGAAAATATAAAGAAGAAGTTGCAAAGGTATACATGGAGGGATTTTCACCTTCAAAATGGATCTTACACAGGTGACAAATTACATTTATCCTCCATCCTTTCACTTAGGATTGAGTTCAACAAGTGGTATATGACCAATATAGTAATATTATAATAATAATATGAACGGGGTAAAATAGTGATTACAACACAAATACTTTGCGACAAAAAAATAATAAATATGTAGGTGCGAAATTTGTGTTAGCGATAATCAGAGGTTTTACTTCAACGATTAGGCGAAAAATGATAGTATTAATAACAACAACAGGTAAAACAGAATTTAAATTTTCGTCCAAAATAGGGATCGCCAATTTCGCTTCGGTAAGTACCCCTCATTATGCCAGAAGAAGAAACCACACTAGTAGTGGATGGGTTCAGTGGAGCGCGAGGTTGTCTTTTCAAACACGCAAGGCTTTTTAACATTCAATATAGAACTAGTTGGAAATATAATGTCTGTACAAATTAAATAGGTAAATGACTACTTGAGCTATAATGTTTTGACATTTACTCAGACGTTTGCGGCCAAATGTCAACCAGTCAACTTAAGTTGTTACAAGGTCGTTTACTCATGGCCAAAGCCAGTTTGTTATAATGAAGTGATACCTATCGGCTTCAGCTTATTGATACAATATGTGTGCCTGACCCTGTCAAGAGCTCTGGGGAAATCAACGTGTGTAGTAGACGGAAAGTCGGAGTGGATAAGCAATTTCTTTCTAAATACCAGATTACAAAGTGCTTTCGTGAAATATTGGAACCACTCATTAGATATATCATCTTCCATCATTTTTACAACTCCGTTATAGTTCTTTTCTATTTCGCTTTCTGCTTTCATTACTTGAATCTTCCTAATCTTCTGTAGGCATGTATTCCGCTTCCTATTGGTGCTACATACTACCTATGTCTATCAACGTGAGTGGTATACACCACAGGAGTGCCACATCCACTTTCTCCTTGCGATCGAGGATGGTGCTCTATGCCTCCACTTCAACCACTAAGGCGGCGCTACATAGCTATCAGTTCCAGAAACCGTGTGCCTATGATAAAATCAGTCTGCACGTAACAACAAGTCGTCCATGCCGACTATTTTAGGGATTCTGTATCCTTTGGAGGTATTTCAGGTGCTCGCGGCCAATAAATTTGAAGGCTCATTGTGTCTTCCTCCTTAGAAACTGAATGTGAAGTGTGTTAGCTTCTAGAACTTTGAGACACAGCCTAGAATTAGTGAACGTGAGAACAAATCACTAGGGAGTATTGCCTAGACTGAAGCCGCTTCTCTCGATATAACAGGAAAACTCATACCCAGACCAGAAGAAGTGTCCTTATTCAGATGTTGCAGTATCTCACACGACGACCAAATACTTAGGTTTAATCCTAAAAATTTTGTTGAATTGCAAGTGAAGCCATCGCCAAAGTAAGTTGGAGGTGACGGTTGTGAAGATACCACAGGTATTGTAATTTGATAACACTTTATCGGTAACACCTATGATTGAATCGCGTCCATCCAGTGAAATCAAAGGTCAGAAGCGAGAGGAATGGAAGATACATGTGACAGATAATCAATATATCGAGAAGTAACTGACCTAAACTGACTAGTGATCTCAGGAGACGTTGAGCACACTGTTCTAAATCGTGGTCTGTTTCAGATGCATGACCGAGCGCCTTCAGCTAAGTGAGTCCATTAATACTAATGTGGTCAGCATCCAATGTCGAACACTTACAGAGCTATTGATTTGGTAGATTTATTTACCACTAAAGTTGAAACGTCTGAAAACACTGTTTTGCTAGGTGATTTGAGGCAACACAATCGTTTTTAGTTGGGTCATTAGAACCCACAACACCAGTAGACTTCGGCCTAGGTTTGTCGAGGAGAAACTGCACGTAAAAATACAATTTTTAAATTGGGGACAAAATTTTTTAATCAGCCTGATCTGATAATGAAGTTTGTCATCTCTCGGTGCATTTGTGAACCGGTTTCTTGCTGTTTGAACTTGCAGTATGTACCGTCACAACTTATTTGTCTGCACTTCTCTCAGTAGAATGCTCTGAATTTCAGCCTTCAAGGAGTGAGATTTTTCGTGAATTTAAGTTGTTTGAAAGGTTTGGGGACTGTTTGAGGAACGGACTGATTTATAGTACGTAAAGTCGTGTGCAGTAAGAAATCCAAGTGACGACCAACGTCCAATTAAAAATAGGGTTCTCAGTCCATATGATGCTAATTTTCCATTAAAGCCGGCGCATGTAACCATTTGGCATTCCAAAGCCTGCTTTAGGCAGGATGTTTTAGCTCGAAGGCGTAATTACTTTTTCCCGTGGAAGTATTCTTACGTATTTCGTAACTCCTAAAACTACCCGTTTCACTTGTGGGGATTTTATAAACAGATAATACCTTCCGTCCATAATGTATTTTCTGAGCAGCCGAAATGGAGACACATCATATGTATCTGATCGTATTTGTTAGAATCGGCCAATACAGTTACTGTCCTTTCGAAAAACTAAAATCGTTTAAAGTGGCGGGTTGCACGTAGTTTTTGGTTCGTAGTGATGTTTGTTTCTCAAAGTTTGTTTACTTTTCTATAATATATGTAAATAGCCTAAGTCGTATATGTTGCTATTACAAATATACTTATTTTTTAGTCAAGTCAGCAGGAATTGTTGACTTTGGACCAAGTAAACGTCTTTTCGGACGAACTACCAACGTAAGTTTCTGCAGTATCTGTCCTGTCTTGATATGAATTAGTCCTACTTTCATCTGGTTTGGGACTGTGTTCTTATGCTCCAAGAATCGTGTTCATTGTGTGGTTTCTTGTCCGTATCTCTCACCGAAAAGTGTTGTCTTAGCACAAATGTCTAGAACCGATCATGGCTTTTAAGGGATGCTTCGTCTCCCATCATACTGATCTTTACTTCCTATCTAAAATAAACTCAGTTATTTCTGAGTATCTGACCTGACTTATATATTAAAGCGTAGACAATCATATTAGTCATACTTTGTTTAGCTGCTTTGATATATTGTGTTATGACATTGTGATCCATGGATGAAAATATCAAAGAATCCATATTTTGTACAGTTTAAGATATCCTTCAGTGCCATCCTGTAATTAAAATGTTCTTGAATCTTATAAAAATCTGACAAATTTTTTGTGAAGATACATCATTTGTTTGATGGCTGGGAGATCCGGTTTTAGTTGTTGAGTTTTGGGCCAGTTTCCAACCCCCCCACGGTAGTACCGTTAAACCTTGCAGGTGGTGTAACTGAAGTGTGACCTAATAAACATGTGTGTGGTTACCGATCTACATTTAATAATAAAAAAACAGTTTTGAGGGGGAAAGAATCCAAAGAGTAATTCGTCCAGGTCTCAGTTATCGGTACAGATTTAGTTTATTTAAACACAAATATCGGTACGAAGAGGCACCGAAATATGTGCCGTACACAAAGTAGTCAGTCAGTTTGTGTTTGGGCTGAGACGCTGTCCGAATGCCTAAGGCAAAACAGGTGGTTTCCTTAGAGGGCCACAGCTCGAACCTTCGGCACAGGTCTTATCCACAAGGCAGTGGTGCAACGTTAGGAGATGCAGTCCCATGGTAGCTTATACGCCATTTGTTCCCTTGGAATTCTGGAGTCCGTGTGTTCCGTTGGTTCAAAAATCAAGGTTTTCCAACTTCCCTAGGTGGATCCTGTTTACGCGCTGGATATTCAATTTTCCTATTTCTTAGACAACAACCTCTCTGCGAAAAGGCAGTAAATAGGGTTTCCCGAAAGTGGTTATATACGCGTAGCCATATGAAAGCACTTCGTGAGGGTGTGTGGGCTCTTTCCACCGTCTGGCGTGCCAGGAGATTCGGGGGCATATCGGTATAAATACACTGATATAATATTGGAGTTTGCACCAAATAGAGAGAGCATCTAGAGTAGGTTTTTGGTTTTATTTATGAAGATGGTTGGCGTAATTTGAACGTATTCAAGACCACCAAGATCTCTTCACCGTCTTCTAGAGTTCAGGTCACTGGTTTTTGTTTAGGCATACTGTCTTGATATTACTGTAGTGTGAAGTTTCAAAGCAGATTTCGTCTACCTTGGGGATTTGTCACTCAACAGAAAGTTACCATACTCACCTTCCAGATGGTTAATCACATGAGATAGTTTATTCAATTCTATTAATCTAGTTTCTTGTGGCAAGTATTTCAAACTTAGTTCAACCCAGTTACCAGGTATAAACAATCGTCCGCTCTGATATTATTTACCCCTAAGTACTTCATGGGAATCTTAAAATGACCAGGTATAGGCTTATTTAGTCAATCTTGAGCCATGTCTCTTGTTAATACTAGCTGCCCAAATCTAAGTACGTAGAATAAAGATCGGACCCACTCTGAGTGAAAGTCAAGGGGTTCAAACACTAACCTGTCCATGATTTGTTATGCTCCTTAGCTTTAGTTTTTAGATTTCCATTCACCTATTACTGGTTAGTCTTATTTATTGGTATTTTTCAGGTGCCTGGATTTATTTCCACAGATCTGACAATAACTGATGGCAGCCGGAAGGCTTATAAAACGAAAAAACAAATCAACGAGTTTCCAAACGCTATTTGATCAAATACTGTGCCGATCAGAAAAGGTAACCTAATTGGTACTGTGTATAAATAAATTTAGTTATATAAAGGATCTGTTAAGTCAGACGAGAATATACTACAACTGTTAGATGTTTTGGACAATTGTCGTAATAAGTGGAAAAGTACTTTCATAAAACTATATTCCGTTCTGCGCGTCCAAAAGTCAGAAGTTAAGCGACTGACAAATTTACAGGTAAGTTTATTGTTACTTCTTGTACTGTCCAGGCCCACACCCAGGCTATGTTCGAAGCTGAAGTTCAGAAACGGCGTCGTATAGAACGATCAAGGAAATCTCTTGAACGCAAGATTAATATGATAAGACAAGTGCTACTCGTTAATGATGTTGATAGCGCCAGACGTCATCTTGATGCGATTGACCTCTCGTCGGATGAAATCAACCAGTCTTGTAATGAATGGTCAGTAGGTTCTCCGGTTGAACACGCCAATACACCTATCCATTCGGAGTGTGCTGTCAAAAAAGGCCGTAATAGGTAGGGTTATTCTATATCCACTCATTTCCCCCCCTAGATATAACCTATTTTCAATATAGTATCAATTTTTATGCCTAGATTTAATGTTAAGCTTGACGTTAATGACAACTTTTTTCTTAGCTGTGTTGTGAGAATGCATCATGAACTGATTATTTAAGTTCTGTTTTAAGAAGATTATTTTCTGAAGCTTGCCCTCATCCTTAGGAGAGCGGTTTAACCACCAGCAGTGATAACTGTAGTCTCTAATGTCCATAGAACGAAACCGTTCTGGAAGGTGCATTGGAACTTGATTTCAGCAAAATGCTCCCTTCAGATATCTAGTATTTTCAACCTAGTTTTCTTACGATTCGTCTAGGCCAGCAGCTAAGTTATCATTAAAGTACAAATGTGAACATATTAATCCCTTCATTTGCCCTAAGTAAATCTCACTAGGATGATATTCAACAGTATTTTTCGTCTATTTGGAAAGCACGATTGATTTGAATTTGTAGCTTAGTTGCCTGCCAATTAAATTTCACAACCTGTGATAACTACATGTATTTCGACTACATATTGAGTTCTAAGTAACGTGATTGTAGACCTTGAATAGCATGACTTAAAATCAGTTCAATTGGTGTAGATTCATTCATTACATCATCCGAATTTTCACCATACTTTGTACTTGCATTTTTTGAAGTAAAATAGGCCCTAATTTGTTTAACATATTTTCTGTTAAATGTGATCAGTCTATTTCTGTACCAGGTTTTACATACTACCCATTTGTCTCTGTTCATCATGTTACTAGAGGCAATAGTAAACAGTAATTCAAATGAATTATTTTGTTATTTTCTTTTTAATACTAGATATGTCATTAAATTTCACTTTTTCCCCTCGACCCATATCCTTGTTTGCTTTCATGGTTGTTTTTTTCTGGTGTAGTACAAATATGTATGCTTACACTAATTCTTATGTGTACGTAGTTCTGTGGTACTGAATCCGTCTATATACCCAGTTTAACGTCATTCAGTATCAGCTAAATTTATTAGCTCTTGATTGAGATCTGATCAAACCACAATAAACGGAGTAAATAAATATTTCCGAAGAAATGTGATTTCACTATGATATGGAAACCGTCAGTGCTTTATATCAATGTCACCATTGGGCAGTTAAGTTAAATATATAGTTCTTATATATAAAATATATGGCCTCTGATAGGGAGGTCCTACTCACTACCTTCTTGTGGCGGGGGTGTTGTTTACGAAATTGAGAGGACGAAAAGCAAATGTCCGGCGCTTTAACCGGGTTGATGGACACGGCGAGTCCACCTAGGTGAGTTGGAAAACCCTGATTCCAAACCAATGGTGCACATGGGCTCCAGTATCCTGAGGGAACAAATGGCGTATGAATCAGTCATTGGTGACTGACTACCATGTGACTGCATCTCCTCACGATGCTCCACTGCCTTGTGGATCAGATCTTTAGGTCGAAGGCTCCGAGTGTGGCCCCCTAAGAAAACCACCTGTTTCGGTTTAGGCACCCGGGCAGTATCACAGTCCTCACACAAATCAAATGAGATTTGTGTTGCACATATATATCTGGTGCCTCTTTGTACCAATATTTGTGTTTAAATAAATATATATAAAATATTCACCTATCCATTTTCAAATATTTCCAAAAGAAGTATATTCATTGTGGCAAATTCAAATCTTAGTTGTTAACCTTTGTCTAGACAACTAAGTTATATTGCTTATTGTTGCATTTTATCTAACAGTCAGCTTGTTATGAAAAGTTTTGTTAACTGTTTTCCCGCCTAGATGCTGTTCTAAAACAATAGTTAGTATCATAGAATTTCTTATTATTACAGTGAAAGTTGGTATTTTTATTTAATCTGCTTTACGAACTTATCACTGTAGTAAATTCATTTTCTGAGTATCAGATTTCAATATTAATTCTATTTAACTTTATATATCTTGATGTATTAATGTTTAATACTTAACTTTCTATTGCCTGTAACTTTTGGGTTTAATTTAATTCCATAGCGGTCGCACATCGAAAAAATTGGGTAGAGCTAGTTCAGTCAGTCATACTGGTGCTGTCAGACGTTCTGCTACAAAACAAGAATTACGATGTGCTTCTGTGCAAAAGTTTATTGTACGTCGTTCAAGAGAAAATTTATCTTCAAAATCTCCACAAAATAGTGCACAGGTAAGAAAAGTATAGATGATTATTTTACTAGTGTTAAGTTGCATATTTTACAAGAAGCTTATTTGTATATAAATCTGATCATGCGAGGAATCAGTCACCATGTGTATACACATAAAAATCTGGCTCACATTGTAAGTAACTAATACCCAGCCGCGTTACTTAAATTTTATGTCAGCATTTTAAGCAAGATTCTCAAATGCAACACGAAGAACACCAACCCAATCACACTTGATGGCGAAACCCTGGAAGAGGTGGAAACATTCACGTACTTGTGAAGCATCGTTGATAAACAAGGAGGATCGAATGCAGATGTCAAGGTGAGGATTGGCAAAGCAAGGGCAGCATTTCTACAATTGAAGAACATATGGAACTCAAAACAACTGTCAACTAACTTCAAAGTGAGAATCTTTAATACGAATGTCAAGACAGTCCTGTACGGAGCTAAAACGTGGAAAACTACTACATCCATCGTCAAGAAGGTACAAGTATTTATAAACAGTTGTTTACGCAAAATACTCAACATTCACTGGCCAGGTACTATCAGCAACAGCGTTTTATGGGAGAGGACAAACCAGCTTCCAGCTGAAGAGGAAATTAGGAGAAGACGTTGGAAGTGGATAGGACACACATTAAGGAAATCATCAATGTGCATTACAAGGCAATCCCTAACTTGGAATCCTGAAGGGAAGAGGAAAAGAGGAAGGTCAAAGAACACATTACTCCGTGAAATAGAAGCAGATATGAAAAGGATGAATAACAACTGGAACGAACTGGAAAGGATTGCCCAGGACATGGTTGGATGGAGAATGCTGGTGAGCGGCCTATGCTCCTCGACGAGGGGTAACAGGCGTAATTAAGTAATTTTAAGTGTAACGGTTATTTACAATTTAAAATGGTGAGTTGCTAATACCGTGTCTTTTTTTCAATTTTTTTATATTTAGAGACTAGGAACCATAAATCGTTTAAATCGTCCTCACAATTTTGTTTCACGAACTGTATTACGGATGGAATTGTGTAGTGCATGTGGTCGGCGCATTACTTTTGGTAAAGCTTCTTACAAATGCTTAGTTTGTCGTCTTGTAGTACATCCAGCTTGCCGACAACTGGTAATAGCCTAATTTTTCACGTTTCTTCTGGTAAAAAATTCGTATAACTTGACTCGTTTGTATAATTTAACGCTCCCTCTGCATAAAACAGCGTTTCTGCAAAGAAAATAAACTAAGGTCTTTACTTGAAAACTATTGGTAGAGCCGTAGCCAATGTCAAACTGGCATCAGAATTGACAACAATTTGTGTTTTTCAGGACTTTCCCATTCTCTCCACTTTTATTTGACTTCGTCATAGGCATTCTGTTAAAGATAACGTCATTCTGTTGTCTATTATTTACCAGGAGACTTACTTATCAAATTAAAATATGAAAATAACGTGGTTTTGTTTGATAAGGGCACGAAATGTTGAGTCTTTTGAGGATCTTGAATACTGCGGAAGTATCTTTGGACTGCATTTCTTCTTGTTTAAACTCAAAATATCGCTGCAGGGACTGTTTTATGCCAATGATGAAACTGGTGATAAATTGTGTTATGCTTTCTCTTATTACAACCCAGGTACTGTTATTGCTTGGTATTCTGGGACTTTGTTTCACTCGACAGGTCTTCAAGTCAAAACACGATTGAACAAGAACTTAATTTTATCCCAAATAATAAGGTTAGATGAAAGTAAGAATCTCAAAAAGAAAAACGCTAGCATATTTATAATTTTCACATAAGATTCTAGAACTTCTCCAAGTATCCACTAGCGCTGGTTGACTAAGAAATAACCAGTCAGAGTACCTCAACACAACCCCGCACCGAACATGTTTTATTCCAGTCTATACCCTGTTAACAAGAAGTAAGGTAGTCAAGTTCGTGTATGTTGGAATTATTGAGTGAACACTGTCGAGGTTATGCGTAGGATACTGAGCAGAAATGACAGATCAGACAGATATAATCAAAATAGAGCTTGAGATTTGCGTTGTTCCAAGTTGCCATACCATCTTAGCCTGATGAGACAAAAATAACAGGAGAAACTAATTTTTGCTTCGCTTCTCTCTAGGTTATTTTTTCTAATTACGTTGGTTTAATAGGCTATATATATATATATATATATATATATATATATATATATATATATACGACTGTATTGCTCTGAATCTGTTGTCTACTTATGAGGTCGTTGGAAACTGGAACTAACATTCAATTAACTACTGAATATTAAATGTATGATAATGTTTTGATATCAACGTGCTATTTATTCTAAGCCTATTATGTTGCAACTTGAACATTTATCAGTAGATACGAAATCAGAAATTGGACTTTAAATGTTTACTGTACATATTATCAGTTCTCTTTCGAATATGAATTTATCTTTTTCCAACTATTTTCTGAAAATTTTCTATAGCTTATTCAAACTTGTGTACCACGTGCAAATTTCACTCCTCAAACAAGTCGCAATCTACCAACACCCCATCACGTTTCTGCGTACATTCCTATTTCACCACTAACACAACCTCAAACTCATGGTTATGGGGATCCATTACTTCCTAGTCCGACATTTGCAAATCGAATGAGATCGCGTAATTTAAGCTTGTCTTTATTATGTCCATCTGATCAGTTCCCACGAGTACCTGCACTGGTAATACATTGTGTGAATGAAGTTATGGCTCGTGGTATGAAAACTGTTGGACTCTATCGAGTTTCTGGTTCTGAAAAGCAAGTTCGAGGTATGTTTGGCTGAAGAATAGCTTAAAACAATTTATTGTAACATTCTTGCTGACCGGATGGTTATATTAATTATCATTAGTGTATTGCGAAATTATGGGTATCTATTTGGTTTTGTTGTCTCTCGATTCAGCCAAGTGCATAACTCAAAGCTTATAAAAAACGTTTCATTTGTTGGGGTGCAATTTGTCTGAATCTATTGTATTCGTCACGATTGTTGTTAATAAAATACCAACAACTGTTACGTTGTGCTGTCATCCGATTCTAATACTTATATAGAAGCTTACTATACTAAAGCCTAAACAGCTACTTGAGTGATAAGACCACGAGGGAAAAGTAAACAAACACTGAAATGCAGAAATATGTGTAAACACATCCATCTTCGTCTCTTAGAAAAAAAGTCAGATCTTGACCAATAGCATGCTCTCATCGTTTGATCCGTATGATTAGTCGAGCGTATCAAGTAGAATGTCGTATATTGTTGTTAGCTAATCGACATAAATGAAGTGAAGAATTTCGTTGCAAATCCTGTTCATTTTAACAACAAATGATTAGCATTATGCAATTTATTCAATTATCACAACTTTCATAGCTATGTTCTCAATCAGAAATAATATTTTTCTTTAGTAAGAGACGGGAATGATGTCATTTTTAATAAGTACTTTCTAGATATTTCTTATGTAGTAAAGTTCTCTTACAGTAGCTAGAGACGTTATCAGATATGGCTCAGAATAGAAGCCAGTGGCGATCCTGCTGTAACCTTTTACTTTCTTCATAAAGAGTGGTTATAACTTTCTTAACTGAAATAGTCTTATGGTTGTACATTTCAGTTCCCCCCATCATTACTCTTCTTTTTTTCATCCTTTCTTTTCTTTTATATATACGCATCTTCTACCTTTCTCTTCCCATTCTCATTGTTTTGTGTGGCTCATATGTATCTGGTGCTCCTTTGTACCAATATTCATATGTTTAAATAAATAAATAAAGTGTTAGAAAACTTTTGTAGCCAAATATTTAACCTAATATTCATGTGAATAAGTAATATTCATTTATTGATCGGATAACATCGATTTATTTCAACAGTCTTTATGTACAATATTATCTAGAATTAAGAAGAAAGAATGATTATAGGGTGGTCTCTTAGTCTGTTATGCAAACGTGTACATGAATGGTTGATAGCTTATGCTAATCTAAACGTGGCGGTCTGCTTAAACATCTGGACTACCTGTTGCTGCCATCTAGACATTTCGGCAACTTATCTAATTTTGTTTGTTTTAATACATCATTATGGCTATTAATCACACAACCTATTCAGATGCGTTTCTGGAAAGTATACAACCTTCGTTGTGAAAGTTACAAAACGCCTAATCAGAGGTATTGCGGTTGCTGGCAATATGCAGCGGAAAGAATGTACATTATTCATATGTCAATTGACTGGACTGCTAACTCCTAACTGGCGATCGATCAAGAAGTAAGAAACGGAAACTTTTTGAAATACTTTGTTTTGAGTATTCTATATTGTACCAAAAATATAATATTGAATAAAGCTAATAATAATGATAAGGAGATTGATTATCCCCGACCGTTGTAACATATGAAGTTAATTCATTTCAATCATAGTTATATATGTATACAGTGTAGTTAACATTCCACACATGGTTTACAAATTAATGAACTTGTTACCAGTGACTTAACTAAACTATTACATTCCTATTTACTACTGAAATGTTTCATATATTCCTTTCTGTTTTACTGTATATTAGATTTATATGAAAAATTCCTACGCAGTCGAAGTACACCAAGTTTAGCATTAATTGAAGATATTCATGTAGTCTGTGGATGTTTAAAATTATTTTTAAGAAGTTTAGAAGAACCTTTGGTAACTTACCTTCAAAGACCAAATTTTGTTGGAGCTAGTGAACAATATTCAACTAATCCTACAAAAGCATATGATTGTGTTTTGAATGTTTTAAAAAATTTACCAACACCTAATCGACATACTTTGTCATTCATTATGCTTCACTTAAAGGTAAAAATTTATTATTCATCATGGATTGATTATTTAAGTTCTGTTTTAAGAAGATTGTTTTCTGAAGCTTGCCCTCATCCACAGGAGAGCGGTTTAACCACCAGCAATGATAACTGTAGTCTCTAATGTCCATAGAACGGAACGGTTCTGGAAGGTGCATTGGAACTTGATTTCAGCAAAATGCTCCCTTCAGATATCTAGTATTTTCAACCTAGTTTTCTTACGGTTCGTCTAGGCCAGCAGCTAAGTTAGCATTAAAATCCAAATGTGAACATATTAATCCCTTCATTTCCCCTAAATAAATCTCACTAGGATGATATTCAACAGTATTTTTCGTCTATTTGGAAAGCACGATTGATTTGAATTTCTAGCTTAGTTGCCTGCCAATTAAATTTCACAACCTGTGATAACTACAGGTATTTAGACTACATATTGAGTTCTAAGTAACGTGATTGTAGACCTTGAATAGCATGAATTAAAATCAGTTCAATTGGTGTAGATTCATTCATTACATCATCCGAATTTTCACCACACTTTGTACTTGCATTTTTTGAAGTAAAATGGACTCTAATTTGTTTAACATATTTTCTGTCAAATGTGATCAGTCTATTTCTGTACCAGGTTTTACACACTACCCATTTGTCACTGTTCATCATGTTACTAGAGGCAAAAAAAAGTTTCTTATCATTTCTTCGCTACTTTTTTTTCTCCTTCATAGGCTGTGTCTAAAACACCATTATGTCAAATGGGTGAAGAGAATTTAGCAAAAGTTTTTGGTCCAACATTAGTTGGTTATTCTTGTCCAGAGCCTCAAGTTATGCAAGCTATCTCTGAAACAAAACCACAACAAGATGTAGGTTTATTTAAAAATAGAACGTTGTTGTTTCTTTTTCTAACATTAGTCCATCTGCATTATTAATAATAATAATTACTTCAGGGTTTTGTAGTGTTATGTTTCTACACATGATATTCTGTTGAAATGATGATTAAACTGTTTCACTTTTGAATTTAACTAATCCTTTTTACAGAATGAAATGAACCAATGAAAGATTTCTTATCAGTGTAAACCAATCATCATTTCTATAATCTCGTTATTTATTTATTAGAAGACATAAACACTGGTGCAAGCAGGCACCAAATATATATGCGTCACACTTGGTCATTCGATTTGTGTGAGGGCTAGGATGCTGCCCGGGCGCCCAAACCAAAGCAGGTGGCTTTCTTAGGGGGGGCATTCACTGAGCCTTTAACTTAGAGGTTTAATCTACAAGACAGTGGTCCAACGTTAGGAGATACAGTTCCATGGTAGCCGGTGACCAACAATAGGCTCGTACGCCATTTGTCCCCTCAGGATTCTGAAGCCTTTGTGCACCATTGGTTTGGAATCAGGGTTTCCCAACTTCTCTAGGTGGACCCTCCGTGTCTACCAGTCTGGTTAAAGCACCGGACATTCGCTTTTCGTCCTCTCAACTTCATAAACGACACTCCCGCCGAGAGAAGTAATTAGTTTGTATTATTTAATCATCTGTAAGATTTGATTAAATATCTCACTTTGGGTATGTTATTAGAACCATACGTAGTGTTACATTGTTTAAATGAGTAATAATATTTTATTGTTAATCTATTCGTATAGACTAGAACAAGTTTAATTGAATTTAATATTTTCTTCAGCATTTTAAAAAAGTATAATCAAATATGACATGCTGGTATATGCTACTTATGCTGACAAATATATGTATTATGTAGTCGCAGTCGGAAGTGAAAGCTTGAATTGAAGAAGAACATAAAAGAAATTGGGAAGGAATAAAAATAATAACAGACTTAGAGGAATAATAGAGCAGGTGAACGCCAACTGATAGATGTGCAAATGATTTATTCAGTGTATGATTTTCATCTTTAATTTTGCATTAAACAATAAATTGGCTGTCCCCACCGAGTTTTCGTACACTACAACATTACCGTATATTATGATTTCTGTATTTTTTCATCTTTCCAAAACTTCACTTTTTGTTTAGGTTCTACGATTACTTTTCAATATTTCTGACGATGTCTATTCATCATTCTTATCGGATTGGGATAATACTACTGAAGAGAATAATGAACCACGTACAACATACTTTACATCTTTAACTACAGATATGAATTCATCGGAATTAACACCTAATTCATATAATAATTATAATCATAATAATCGGTTTTGTGACATTGGAGGATCTACTCGAAAAGGATTTTTACCCAACTTATTATCATCATTTCGAGATATGTCTAGTTAAAGTATAATTCATAATCATACACACCTCTGTTGATTTATTTACTACCGTACTTTTTTTGTTACTTCTACTACAAAAGAAAAACATACATTATTAATTTCTAAACATTAATACATGTAGTTTTCTTCATTTTAATTATTAGATTACAATTGTAACTGACCATTAGTTCATTGTTTCACTTTATATGTCTTCTTTAGTATACTCAACGTGTCAACTGTTGGTAGTATTTTGAATAATCTTAATTATTAGCTACATTTTTTGGGTTCAATTGAATATTTTATCCAGTATTTTCACAGTTTTTTAAGTCATTGAGGTAAAAAGTTGGCAAAAAAAGACAAAGGAGATAGTGCACAGAGTTCTAGATTCATCTTGTTACGTCCTTGATCTGTCTAACCACTCTTGTGCCGAGGATAATTTGTCTTATGTAGATTAAGACCTTGACGCGATAGGTTGGCTGGCTTAACCTTGAAGGCTAGTATGCGTTAGTTTGAAGTGGAGGTAGTGAGATCAAAACTATTCTATCCCTGATTGACTGCTGACAAGCACGCGCGGGAGAGGGAAGACAAGATAAATGGAACACTACTCGCTTTATTCCAAAATCCGATCTGGTACCCTAATTCAGACAAGTGTAAAAGGATTGATGAATAAATATATGACTAACCCAACCACAACGTATAATAATTAAGAAAACACAATGATGTCCAAAACTGTGGGATTAGAGTAGAAATTAGAGTACAAAAGGTTACGTTTAAAGTACAATAGCTTTGGAACAGAAAATGCTATGGCAGTGAATCATACATCAAACGAAAGCTTATGATCTGTAGAATAGACTAGGGGCAAATGTAAATGTTACAGTTTTACAAGCTTTGAATTAAATGAAATAACGTCCCCAAAAGTAACTTTGTAGTTTGTTAAGGCTTCTTGTTTCGCTGTTCACGTCACATCTGCACAACTGTAATCATTCTAAGACATGTTGCGTTAACTCTCAAACTACAAATCCCCATAATATATACAATTCTAAGCATGAAAGTTTATGTAGGTGCAGTTACGATTTTTTTTGAAATCCAATAATGAAAGAATCATGTAATTTGTGTGGATGTTCAGTTTCCTTTTGCATCTGAGTTCCAAATTAGTTTTATATTTAGAGGCATTGATTGTTGGAAAATCCAACGAGACATCATTCTCTACAAAGGGACGGGATATTTTACTATAAATACAGTATACTATTCTGCATCAAACTAAGATCCCAGTTATGTATAACACTGAATTAACATTGACAGTCCCCATCTGAGTATTTCACTAAAGGCCTGTTTTGTGATGTGCCGCAATATAAACTCTGTGTTAAGCCCTATATCTTAACGATACAGCCCCTGTCATATATACATACACTTCATATATGTCAAGCACCACAATCTAACCAATAACACTAATGGTACAAATGTTGTCAAAGGCGAGTATGATTCAACCAACTGGAGCCTACTATGTTTCACAAAATGAACAGTCTTGCTGAAATTTAGAAATAGACCTACAATCCCCTAAATTTAATCAGGAGTGATATTTTTCATTATACTTGATCATATTAAGTTACGAAGTATGGGTTGGATAAGCATGGGTGCAATTCTATCTTACGCAATCTTAATATGACTAAATATTAGATGTGAAAAGTCATTGAAATCCATCGTGGAGCAATTGCACCACCTTTTTATGATCATAGAACTGATTATTACAGTGTTCCAAGGCCTTTCACCGTCCGTTACCATTGGTCTTTTTCTGCATTATTCATTACTGTCGGACCAAATTTCTATTTCCTGTTGATTTCTCATGTCGCAATAAATTCAAACAAATATACAATTGAAGCGAATGAGAACTCAGGTGGGAAAAATCAATTCACTGTTTAATACAAAATTACAGTGGCATAGTAAAATATGGAAATTACACATTGAATGCTTCATTTGCACATCTTTCATCAGTTGTTATTTATATACTCCACTATCCCTCTAATTCTGTTATTACTTCGACGCACGCAGAGTACCTTCCATCTCTCTCCATTGCAGTCTTCTGCTGACAGGTATTCCACTTCCGATAGCGACTGCATACTATTTACATCTGTCAGTATAAGTAGCGTACAACACAATCCTTACAAGTTGACTATTCTAAATACCGCCATACCTTTTCAAGTTTGGCTAAATAAAAACTAATGCTTATCCCGCAACCACTTTTTCTCCTTCATTTCTATAAATGGCTCAGTTGTCATCATTGATAATTAGTAATGGCCAGTAGCAGGATACAGAACGAGCACTTTGACCAAATGTACTATCATCCTTGCATTGAATAGCGACCTCCCACAAACTAATGTACTTAAATATACAATCTTTCACGTTATTAACGCATGGAATGGCTTAAAATGAGTTAGTAAGCTATTAAAAGGTTTTTTGGTATCTAGTGATAGATCACAAAAACCCACTAACAGTAACGCATAATAATAGTGTAGTGTGGGCTACTTATATCGACATAAGTAGTATATGTCGTGAATGAGGAATAGAATATGTGGCAGCAGAAGATCGACAAGAGAAGAAAAGAAATTGGTGTGGAAATCAAAAAACCATGAAGCCTGAGACAATTAATGAACATTTTGCAAATACAGTATCAGAGTATAGTTTTTGTCTTTTATCAAGGAATTTTGTAATTTGTACTGAATACATAATCGGTTGTCCTCACCTGTGTTCTCATTCACTACAATAGTAGAAACTTGTATCAAGTAGTCAGAGTGACAAACAGCTATGGTACTATAAAATCAAGTACACATATCCTTAAGACTATCAGGGCCCCCAAATGCCCTGATACGGACGAGAGTCCACTCTCCCTCTCCAAATGCTCTCATATGGCCACGCGTAGATAGCCTCTGACAGGGGAGTCCTACTCACTGCCTTCTCACACCACGGGTGTTGTTTACAAAATTGAGAGGACGAAAAGCGAATGTCCGGCGCTCTAACCGGGTTGGTAGACTTGGCGCATCCACCTAGGGGAGTTGGAAAACCCTGATTTCAAACCAATGGTGCACATGGGCTCCAGTATCATAAGGGAACAAATGGTGTATATATAAATCGTTGACCGCCGGCTACCATGGGATTGCACCTCCTCACGATGCTCCACTGCGATTGGAATTGAAATGAAGGAACAGTGAATTGTGAGACGATTAATTGACATTCGCTAATGAACAGTCAAAGTTCATAGATATTTTGTAAATTAAGTATTTACTGTTTTCCTCTCACATTTTACTAAGACATTCTGCAATTTTCACTTCAAATACATTGGATTGTCCCCACTCGTGTTCTTGTTGTTGTTCACCACACTACGACAATTACAACTACAAATACAACGAATTTAACAAAAACAGTACTACAACCACAAACAAAACCACGTCACACTCTCCACATTCTCACTCCGTCCCCTGTTACTTCCACACTTCATTTAATTCATTCACAACACCGCACAGTCACTTGCCTAGTCCCACTCACACACAACATCGTCTCCTCGCTGTATCCAACTACCTTTAGTCCGAAAGCTCCGGGTGTGGTCCCCTAAGAAAACTACCTGTTTCGGTGTGGGCACCTGGGCAGTATCATAGCCCTCACACAAATCAAATGATATTTGTGCGGCGCATATGTATTCGGTGCCCCTTTGTACCAATACTTATGTGTTCAAATAAATAAATAAGACTATCAGGACAAATTATGAACTGTATAACTTCCTATAGTCTTTAGAACAATATGAACTGAGTTTTTAAAAAAGAGAGATTTATTATTATCAGTCTTTTGATGTAATGCAACTTGTTAAGAAGTGCTTTTTTTGTACAGAATATGAACAATGTATTCGAAATTTGATAAAAAGTATAGAAAAGAAAAGCAAACAAATAGAATTATTAACATTTACGAGTAAACAAATTAGTATCAAGTTTTGTTGGTACAATAATTGGATGAAGTAGTTCAACAAAATCTGTAATTTCCTCTTGTAAATGATCATCAGCAGGACTGCCAACTACACTGATCTCTACCATCCAACTGCGAGAACATAAACGTCGCCAATCTTTGGGTGCTAATCCCTAAAGTTAATTGATATATATATATATATATATATATATATATATATATATGAAAATAATTATAATCATGTTTTCAATAAGAACTATTGGACAGATCATAAGTCCTAACAGTATGAAAGTATATTGAATAGTAATTGCTGGGGAGATCCAGAAAATGCCTAGAAAAAAAGCCCGAAAAGTGCTGGGAAACATTTTATTCAATCAGCATTGAATAGAAGTTTCTCAAAAACAACTAGAAAGTGAAAGGTCACGTGTCACATATCTATCTTACTACGATGTTTAGTAGGCTTCCAGAAACCCAAGGCTATCCGAACTGCTATAAATACCCTCAATTTTCTGTACATAAACTAACCTTGAAGTAAAGCGTTCTTCACAGATTTCATACCTTTTCTCTCGTATTCAAATCGTCATGTAGATTGTCTGGGGTTACTAGAAGAGCCTAGGAAACCGATTCAAGTGTTCAGTCAAAAAATTTATCAGTAATTCCTTCATTTTATAAAGTTGAGATCATGAGTCAATTGAAGATAGACCACCATAGAAAACGTGGAAGCACTGGAAGGCCGTTTCGTCCTATTATGGGACTCCTCAGCAGTGTGCATCCACAATCCCGCACTCGAGAGATTCGAACCCAGGACCTACCAATCTCCTTTATTTATTTATTTGTTATATAAACATGTTTAGATTTAATACAATGAAATCGTTCATTCAAAGATGGCAAGCTTATCTGATTAACAGAGTAATCTTTATTTAATTATCAATAAATATGAGAAAGTTTTAATTGATACTCTGCTAAGTGCAATTTTAAAAGACTATGATAACAAACTCTGAAGCACAAGCTAATTAAAATTTATTCTATCAGATTTTAAGTATTTTAAAATCAACAAAGATCATAATTAAGTTTGAACCCATTTACTTTTCAGCGTTCTGAAATATTGCATAAAAATAATTAGCGAAACATTAATTGGATATCAACTCAGTGTTCTAGATGTTAAGCGTTCGCGTGCGAGACCGAAGGTCCTGAGTTCGAGTTCTGCGTGCAGGATTATAGATACGCATTGCTGAGGAGTCCCACACTGGGATGAAACAATTGTCCAGTGCTTTCAGGTTTTTAACGGTGGTCTAACTTAGATTGAATCGTGAATTCAACTGTTAAAATTAATCATTCTTAATGAAACAGCATTTCCCCAATCATGTGAGCTTTAGAACGCAGTCATAATTAGAAGCTACAACTTTGTAAAACAAAATTTACAGATAAATATAATTTTAACATTTTTGAATAAATTGAACATTGGTTAGATTGTTATAAATAAATTAATATATTTGTGGATATACAAATGAGTAGAT